ATTAAAGAAAAGTGTCTGACAATGCATCACCAACATCACTTTTCTCTCCATTTTGCTCTCTCTCTCGTGTCCTACCTGTGGAGTAATACTCCAGCACAGGGTCCTTGCAGAAGGACTTGAACCTCCAGGTGACCAGGACATCTTGGAGGTTTGCAGAGGTAGAGTAGTCACAGCGGAGGGTCACTGAGGCAAACAGGGCCGTGCTGCGCTCCAGCTGGGGGACATTCACCTGAATACACAATGAGACTGTGGAGAGATTTCAAACAGATGGTTCAACAGTAGTTTGTGTATTTGTGAAGAATACACAGAGCTAACACATGCTGTAAAAGAAGCAATGCTTGGAGAAACGAGTCGATTGTGTATTGCCAAAAGCATGGTAAAAGTGAAACAACGTGCGAGAGGGTTTCTCACTACCAGAGGTGCTGCTTGTCAATTGCTTGGGGCCCAGCAAACTTTAAATCATAATCTAGCAGTGACTCAGAATTTAACAATGACAGTTGAAACCCTCCCTTATAGGGGGTCTCTTCTTAAAGTACTCAATGTTGTTGCACTGTTAAACCTCCCAATATTCCTGTGACAACTTAAATGTGTCTCTTAAAGTTGCTGCTGGTGTCTGTGATTATTTTTTTTTAACATAATGGTGATGAATGCTAGTTGAAGGCCCTCCCCTCCCCTCACGATGAATTTTGCTTTTGGTCCCCACAGACTCTAGAATCGCCACAGCTTCACAACGGAGGAGTTCATTTCAAAGTGGCAGAACCAGAAAAACAGGTGTCACAGACAAAGACACAGGAAATGGCTTACTGTGAAACTACCAAGCACACATTCATACACTGGAATGAAACCTGTTGAGTTTAACTGTCCCTAGATTTGAATGGCTCACACTATAATTCAATACAAAACGGGGAAGCTTTCTTTCTAGAAACTAAATGAATGAATGATAACAATAATTTAAAATGATCATTTTCAAAAGAAACACATTTTAAAGCCTTAACTAGACCTGGACTACATACTTTATGTAGGCGCTAACACGACATGAATCAAATAAACAAAACCTGTCATGTGACCGATACCTCCGGTCCGCTTCTGTCTAAATGATTTACAACAATAAGAAAATAAAACATCCAATTCAAAATATATTAACATGGCTTGTCTTTTTAAACGAAATGATACCAATATGTAAAGACAATGAAATTACCCTTCAGAAGCGACAACAAAAGTAACGCAGCAGGTAGCCTCCTCATGATGACGAAACAACACACCTCTGATTAAAAATGTAGGCTGTGGAACAAATCACGGCGAAAGAAGTTTTATAAAAGTGCAGAAAATAAACAAAAAAAAGTAAAAGGCCGTAATTCTCCCCTGAAGCTACAAACAACTGTTCATTGTTTCATGTGTTTGCCTGAACAAGTATCTACCTGAGACTGAGGCGGTCATCTTAGGCCACACCCCGAAACAGGTGCAATCATCATGACGTAACCACGTGCACAAAAAATCCCCAGGGGGCACGATAATACAAATTTAGCATGCATTTTAGTAACGTACACATTTTATTGTGAGGAGGATTTCTCAAGGCCCGCTGTAAATATCACGTCGGTGCTCCCTAAAGTTAAATGATGTAATTATAACAACAATAATTCGGGTTATTAAATGATAAAATGAAATATGGAAACAACAGTGCTGTGAGGCTTTCACAGAGATCTCTTTCTTAAATGAGACCATAAACACGTTTCTGAGTTTATCATACTCAAACAAACACATTATTTACCGTGACATTAATAGCATTCAATTTAAAAAAAAGCCAAAATAAAATAAATAAGGCCGTATTTCAGTTGTATCACCTTTTTGTTATATTTAGTGTATATATAATTATATAATTATGAGTGGGAAAAAGCTTTCTAAACCTCAAACCTCAACTTTTGAATATCACAGTTTCTAAATCTTTACAGATGAACTTTAAATAAATAATACATACTGCTCAGTTTGTGAAGTAATAATGCTTCTTGACAAGGGATCATTTAAAGGTTTATAACAAAGACAAAAATGATTCATATAACAGCAGCCACAAATCACCAAAATAAAGCTAGACTAAAGAGGGATTGTCAGTTTTATTAGATACACTTATGCTGGTATTTTGAATTTCCACCTTTGTTTTAACACACTGCTGTTGACAGATTGCATTTTAAAGTTGTCTTGAATGTTTTTTTTTTGTTAATGTCAACAGTCTGAAGGCAGCAAGACTTGGTGACCAAACAAACAGTGGGAGTCTGTTTTTTTTTTTTTTATTACATCCATTCAACACATGGCTGTCACTCTCAACTTGTACCACCAGATGTCAGTCTAGATTCAAGGGAGCGGTTTCTGTTTCAGTCTGAATCTTGAATTTGTACGACACATACTAAACCAAGCTGTTTATTCCCTGGGGAGAAAACTTTTAAAATGCGTCCTCCTTCATAAGAATAACAATCGGTTCATCTGCTGCATGTAGATGTGATTACTTTGTGTCGAGAGAAAAACTACAGATTGTAAAAGAATTCAAATACCTTGGCATTATACTTGACTCCAACCTGAACTTTAAAGCACATGTGAAAAAAAAGTCTGTAAACAAATTAAATTTAACCTTGCCAACTTCAGATTTATCAGAAACTCCATGTCCACTGAAGCAGCCAAGATGTACATGCATTCAATGATTTTCTCATATATGACCTACTGTTTGACAAGCTGGTCTCAGGCATGTCACACCACATAAACCACTACAGTCTTTGTATAAACAGACAATAAAAGTTTTAGACAAAAAAAACAAAGCAATTCCACCACTGTTCAATCCTCAAAAAATACCTCCTCCTGAGCTGGGAGAACATAATTAAACAAAAAAATCACACATGGTTTGGCCCGTTCCCCACTCAAGAGTTTGTAAGCATACGAACAAACACATATCACTTCACGAGGGGTGTCTCAAGAGGAATGGCACAACATCAGTTATCAGAGAGAGCAACACATATCATTCATTTAGTTCAAATCTGAAACACTGGCTAATTGATAATCACATCTGCCAGCACTAAACCTGTTCTGCTCGCTGCTGCCACCTTGTGTCTGGTTTTGTTGAAAGTGTCCTGTTTTTTAAATGAATGTGGCCTGCCGTGCTTTAGTTGTCTGTTGAGGTGAGCTTCAGGTATAGCTCACTCAATGTTTTATATTTTTATAGTGTTGCATGTTGTCTTGTTGTGTGCACATTACATTTACTTTAGTAGGTTATTGGATACGTGCTTTTAGTAATACTTGTTTTTGTAGCTTTTAGCGATGTTTGAATTTGTTTTGTTTTTTTAGGGAGCCTTTTATAAAATCTGGCCTGGGACAACATATGAAAATTTGCCTTTTGGCTAACTCTGGCATATTTACAAAATGTTTATCAATATAAAATAAAAATAAAAATAAAATAAAAAAAAAAAAATAAAAATGAAAAAAAAATAAAAAATAAATGAATAGAAGAGTTTCTCCAAATCATACAAATTGCCAAATACTGTTTTATCTCTGAGCTCACCCACTGCAGCTTCAGTGTTTATTTCCTTCTCTCCTGCCAAAATCTACTGTGTGTTCCCTTCTTATTCTCCCTCATATCCTGTACTTCAGCGAGGCCTTCTGGCACAAGCCCTACTTCCTTCCAAATTTCAATTGACTGAGTACCAGGCCAGTTCACGTATATCCAATAAATCATACTCTTTCTTCCAGGAGCCATATCTGGTTGAAGACAAATGGATGAAAAAAATCTTAAAGATTACCATAGGCCTACATAAATTAGAGTACATTTTGTTTGAAGAATTGGCTGATTTGTTGTTGAATAAACACAATGAAAGCTCTTGTTTGTGCATGGCAAATGTTTAAAGATACAGTCTTGAGGTATAAGAAACAGTTCCAGCCTCCTGCTCAGTGTGGTTAAAGTACATATCTTTGTTTTTTTAGGCTGTGGATTTTCTGTATGTCTGTATTTCTGATGTTTTTCTTTGTGTATGTGTCATGCCTTGATGCATGCTGCAGATTCAATTTCCTTCGGGATGATAATAAAGTCAAAGTTGAATAATGTCTGGTTTTAGCAGTTGTTTAATTTAAATACTGTGTATGGTACCAGATATTTCAACTCCACTTCTTCAGTGGCAGAAAGCCCACTTAAGTAACCAACATGTCATTATTTCAGGTAAGCCCCGCCCACATCACACCAGGCAGCACATTCAAACGGACACAGACAGACGGTTTACTCTCTGCTTTTTAACGGATGTCATGTTTTCCTGCTAATGCTTCAGCAAAACTCAGGAGGGAGTAGCTCAACAACATTCCTGACATACTGTTCAGCTGTGAGCGGTCACTGTCTCAGCCGATCCTCCCATCACAAACATGAACTCAGACAACTGAAAGAAGATGACACAACCCAAAAGTTCCTCACAGGAGTTTAAAGTGCAGAATAGAACTTTAAATGATCTCAGATGACTACAATGCTATCAGTAAAACAGAGTTTCTTAGCAGAATAAGTAGACAAATAAGGTATTTAAAAAATGTGGATTAGTTTGATTATTGCTGCCAAATCTTACTTGTTAAGTAGATGGAGAGTTTGTTTTTTAGGTTTTAGTTTTTTAGGTTTTAGTTTCTCCAAACCAGATCTGGCCCTTTTTTATGAACAGATATATTATTGTTGTAAGTGTTACGAAAAAAATGATTTATGTTGATGAGAAAAACCACTGCAATGCAGAAATATCTGTGGTTGAGCTGGCAGAGCTGATGTGTGAGTTTCGATGCAGCTGTGTGGATAAGACAGGCGGTCTGTGACTACAACAATGAACAAAGACATGAGTCATACTCTTTTACACATTGTCTCCTTTACAGAAAAGTAAAGAGTCATCTCTCAGTCTCTGAAACACACACACACACACACACACTCACAGACACAAGCAAACACACACTTAATCAGAACCACACAGCAGCAAACACATGGTAGAAAACGAAACATTGACGTTTGACTTTTTTTAAGGCAACATGGAGGCAGGAAGAACAAAATACCTCATGGGGTCATTTGAGAATAACATTAAAATTATACTGATCAAATTAGAACTTAGTCAGCTAAGATGTGTGTGTGTGTGTGTGTGTGTGTGTGTGTGTGTGTGTGTGTGTGTGTTAAAGAAGTGTGTGAATGTGTCTTGTTATAACACAGGAAGTTGTTGGTTTAGAGTTGGAGTCAGCATAGTTCTAAAACAGGGCTGAATTATTGTCATTAAATCAAATCAAAGACACTTGATCGTATGTACATAGTAACACTGAAAAGTTTAGGCAAACATGATCATTTATCACACAATACACATAAATAGATCACAAAAAAAAACCTCATAATGTAGCACAACAATCATAGAAGGCAAGTGGCAGGGCAACACCCTAAAGGTTAACAAAAAACCCCAAACTGTCAAGTGTTAGTCCCTTCTGAGAAAACTGTTAAATTGTCAAAACTAACACATTTAAACGCTGACATACTGGGTAGGAAAAACAATGTTATTTGACTTTACTTAGTTAATGCAAATGCTGCAAATAATGTGGGTCACATTAAGTCAGGAGCGGGTCTGCACTACTCCTCTACACTCTTATTAGTGTTCACTGTAGCTTTCTGAGTTTGAAATACTCTGTAGATGTCATGAAATTGAACATGTTTGGGCACACACAATGTGCCTCCTTTGTTATTATGTCCATAAAAACAAATTTATTAAACAGTATATGCTCATAATGAATACATTTTATACTTTGCAAGGCTGCTTCTAGAGCGGATTAATGTTGTATGGAGTAGATGACATTGGACTTAACTTTACCCAGCACAGCTGCATGCATGTTGCACTTATTTCACCTGAGTCTGTGCCCATTGAGAAAAAGGAGGAATAAAAGCAGAAGTAAAAATTGGACTGGCTTCTGAGTGGACGAAGAGAGAGTGGATTGCACAGTGGAAATGTAAGGGCAGTCCTTTGATCTATTGTTTATAAAAAAGCTTGTTGCAGCTCTAACAAGGTTACCTTCCTTTTCCATGGTAGCATTATTTTGTCAACCTTCTCTGTAGATATAAATAATACTGTTAATGTTGACCTCTACGTCTCGCTTAAATCAACATTTAAATGTCCTTTAAAAGCCGTCTGAGTTAGGTGTTTTAGTTACTAAACATGTTACTGAATGACACATTGTGTCTAACAACTTGAGCTACAATATGTCCTTTACAATAATGGTGTTGTCATACACCTTCTTCTCAACAACTGGGCTATTTTAATGCAGATACTGAATCCCATCAGATGGAAATGAATGCACTCATTGTGCTGGAAGCGTAAAGCGCGTCTCTGCGCTTCAGAGCCTTTTCTAAAGAGACAAGGGGAGATGGACAGCGTCCTGCTGGGAGGGACAGTCCAGGTCATACAACCGGCCAGCATTAGTTCAGAGTTAGGCCAGCTGACAAATGTATGAGGCAGCCGGTGACAGAAACCGAATGTTGATGACTTCATCATTCAGCGACGTCACAGGCAGGAACTCCAGGAACAGTCTCCAAAGTAAAAGTATCCACAAACTGTTCATTTCTTCATTCAGCTTTCCACAAAGGTAATGTGTACTTTGCAAAGTTTAGCAATCCAAACCTATTGCTATCATCTTTTATTGCCGACATGCAGTCCACGAAGACAGTCTGCTTTAAGTTATAAGTCCTTTACGGTTTCAGTTGATCAGACGATGAGGGAGTCCCGGCTGAGTAGAGTACTCTGATGAGAATAAAAAAGTACAAATGTTCAAAACAACAACAAACAGTTTATAAAAAGGATTAGAAGACATCTTTTTTTGGGGGGGAAATGGGAGATAAATAAATCTGCACACATTAGCCAAACAGGGTTATGATGGTGTTGTAGAACCTGGGACAAATTGTATTCAACTTATTGTTCAAAACGTTTGAAGATTCAATTGAAGGCAACAAAAAAGCTGCTTCAGGAGAATTTACACATAGAGCTTTCACACTTGAAGAAAACTCCTGAAAAATTCTGTTTGTATTCCTCGTATGTTTTTTTTCGCAGCAAGTCAGAGTGAGCTAATGTGAGAACGCAGCAGAATAATATCCGGATAATTCACCTCGAGCCAGTAGGAGAAGGTGGTGACGTTTATATCCTGTCACTGGAGTCATGAGCGCTACAATCTCCATGCACACATTTCATCTGCTGCATTTTGTTTTATGTTCACAGTATGTTATTCTCCGATCTTCAGTTAATATTGTGATTCCGTTGAACTACACGTAGCATTGACTGTGTTTTTTTTTTTTTATGTCACGTCTTACCTCAGGAGACCTTCCTCCAGTCTGACAGGTAAAGTCTACCGCTGTGAGGTGCATACTGTATGTGAATATCCTGGTCAGGAAAAAGTCTTCCTGAAATTATCTAGATATTTTCTATATATCCAGATATTTTCAGGAGTGCACATATGAAAACGGCTTTTTTGTGTCTTTGAAGTTGAAAACCTTTGACCCAGGTTTGTCAGGGGGGATAAAACCAGTTATGAACGTTACTGAGGGTAGTCGTAAACAGAACAGAGGAGTCTACCTAGCTTTCACTGTGGTAGCATCTGAACCTGACCTGTCAAAGGTACAACAACAACAACACTTACTGTAGGCCTACAAACCGTTTTGATACTGTCAGTCACAGTTTCTCAACCTTAGAGCTTAGACTCTGTTTAGGGAGATTGCACTTTTCCCATTTTTAACACGTTTGACACACATTGTGTTTTCTGTATTGCAGTTTGGAGCTCCATCCAAGTGTGCCATAATCCAATTCACATGATAGCTTTAATCTCAAAGTGCAGGACTCTAGAGCATTTTTGGCCCTAAAATGAGGTCACAGGCCAGAAAAGGCTGAGAAACTTAACTGCCAGACAAACAGCAACAACCCGAGCTTGCTGCACAAGCTCACATTTTTTATAGGCAAAACGCCGTCATCATGACATCTTACCAATCTGCTCAATTTTTGTTTTGTTTGGGAAGATTGCACAGATCAAATTCCTTTGTGCCATCTTAAAAAGAGGATTCTTTTCTGTGTAATCTGGGAACATATTTGGCTTTAAAACACTTTATAAGGTTATTCTAAGATATAGTTTAAGAACTAAATTAACTACACTTACTTTTGCACTTTGTTTTTGTTTCCACTTTCACTGCATTAAGATGAAGTGTAATGGTATTGCAAATTAGATCAAAGACCTATTTAAAAAAATGCAACATTTTTGAAAGACAGCTTTCAAAAACAAGAAGAAACAGCAGTTATCATGTTGATATTCACAGTTGTGAGACTGTTTGATTTGGAAGTAAAATGAATGAGAAAAGAGAACTGTATTTTAATGCTATTAAACAGCACAAGAAATTGCCGATCCTTGACCATAATGCGATTGAGGAGCCATCTGATACATTCTGTTTCTGAACTGCCACGTGGGAAATAACCTACGTGGAACTATCATACATTGCCTAAATATTATTCTTTGTTCCCAAAGTAAAAATGCAGATTTAGTTCCTGAGTTCCTCGTGAGGTTCTAGAGAAACTTCTTTCTGTAGGAAAGCCTGCATAGTGTCCGTTTCGAGATGGGACACTGAACGTTAAATACTTTGTCGTGAGACTAGTGTTAACAACTTTCTAACATTGTCATAACGTTAGCTAGTATTCAACTAGTAGAGATGCTAACTAGGCTATATTCACTGCCGTTGATCTTTGATTAGTATCATCAACTACAATCAACTTTAGGCTTAAATCTAACTCACCACTTTGCGGCTCTTGTCTCTGGGTTCCTCTCTGCGACTGGGCTGAGAGTGTGTCGGAGCTGGAGATGAGTGAGTGTTTGCATGGAGCTGCAGTGGAGATGGCCTGTCAGTTCTGCTTCGCTCTGTCTCTGCATAAGAAGGAAGCGATTCTACCTCAGGTCTGTTACTAGGAGAGCGACTGCAGTGACGGTTGGATTCCCCGCTGCTCTTTTTGGAGCTTCCTTTTGAGGGTGTGTCTGAATCCTCCTCGCCCCGGGCCCCACTCCTCCCCGGGCTGACCCCTCGCAGCTTCGACTTGCGCTCCAGCAGCTTGTTTAGGAACGTGCTGTCGTAATCCTTCTCTTGAGAAGAACTCGATGGAGGACTGACTCTGGGAGGAGGTGGGGCAGGGCGCTCGCTGTCCCAAGTGCCTCTTCTCTTTTTAGGGGAAGAGAGCGGGCTTATATTGTGTCTGCTTTTCTTGTTTCGTCTAGTATTACCTTCACGGTCACTGTACTCCTCGAGCTCATTTTCATCACTGTGATAATGTTGAGCAGGGCAGTCTCGGTAGGAAGGATATCGACTGAACTCCAGAAGCTCCATTTCGTATTCGCCCCTTTCTTCTTCTCTTTTCTCCGCCCCTCTCACTCTCTGCTTGTATGAGGCAGCAAACTCCTTCAGCTCATCCAGTGAGCCGGTTCGTCCTTCAGAGCGGTACGTCTTTCTATGCAGATGTTCTGATCGAGGGTTCCACCTGCAAATATAAAGACAGGCCAGAGATATGGCAAACAGTGAGAGCGGGTGAAACAGGAAAATTATGCAACTATGCAAGACAATAACTGATCAACACAGTTTAAACGTTAAGTGCACTAAATGAAATGGGTAACAGTTGGCTTTCTTGAGTAAACAGATTGTTAGAACTTCATGTTTTGTATAAGGGAAACTCAATGAGAGAATCTTTATTCCTGAAGCTAGATATCCCCTGCAGAATGCTAATTTTTTGTGTTTCTAGAAGTCTTTTTACCTAAGACAAAGATTTCACTCAAAATAATTCCAACTAAAGTCCAATTAAAACTGAAACCAACAAAAAGTTCAGAGGGTTGAAAACACTAAGCAGTGTGCACCAAAACTAAAGAGGCAGTCCTCCTTAATATTTAAAAAGAGTAAGTCAAGCTTCTAATTAGAGGTCAGATAGAAGGGGACATCCATGAACTAAACTGCTGCCTGTTGAATTGAATTTCCTGCCATTGTTACTTTGGTGCAAGTACATGGATAAATACTAGGTTCTGTACCTCTTGTGGTTCTCGTCATCGCTGTGATTCTTTTGCCGTTGATTTCGGACAGCTCTGTGCGGCTGCGAGGAGGGTGGAGGGTCGTCACTGTATCGGCGTGGAGGAAGGGGCTCTTCCTTGCAGCGGCGTTGCTCTGAGTCAGGGTTGTCATGATACCGTCGAGGCGAAGGGGGATCATCCCGGTAGCGTTGGTGCTCCGGGCTGCGGTTGTCACGGTATCGTTGTGGTTCAGGCTCAGGGTCGCGGTCAGGGATGGCGGGCAGAGCCTTTTGCTGGACATTTCGATATGTTTGGCGGAAGCTGTTATCTCCCTCATGGAGGGAACTCAGCTCGGACAGGTTACAGGCTGAACGGGTCAGAATGAAGGAGAGGTAGGATTAAAGAGGTACACAAATAAAACAGTTAATTCCTCCCTCACAAAGCACAGAAACAAATATGAAGAAGACACTACAGAAGAAGAAAGTCAGAGTCGAGGTCTGTGAGAAGTGACAAAACATTGTTGGAGTAAAAGATGTGAAACATATGCTTACAGGTAAGTAGGCATGCAAACCTGCTAGCAAGCACTTCTGAACTACAGGAAATTCAGTATGCAGAATGTCTGATCAGAGAGGCGGGCCAAAGCAGGGTCAATGGAATCAAAAGCCAAAGATACACATCATGCAGCAGGTGTAGTTTAATGATTACAACATGCTCTAGAAGATCCTGACAGCGCTTTGAGCGAGGAGATTTCATGGCAAAGGTTTCTGAAGCTTACACTGGTGGCTGATGGACCTGGCAGGGTTGAAGTGAGCCAGTTGCTTCTCTACATACTGAAGCACCCTGAGGGAGTCCTGATCCTGAGGTGTAGCCACGCGGTAGGGAACCCCTACAGCATGCATCGGCACTGCAGATACACAGCTGACTCATCAACATGAAGAACTTTTGTTTGTCTGAGTATGTTTGGGGTTTTCTTTGCGGACTGAGGACTATACCCTTGTTTTTGCTTGTTTTCAATAGACTGCATCATTAATGTTTCTAACCAAAAGTGCTAAAATAAGCAGTTGCACAAAAGCAAAAAGGCAGTATTAATACAATTAAATGACTCTTTTAGATTATTCCAAACCCAACAATTGCAGCAATTAAGTTTTCCCAAATTCAGAATAAACTCTGCGATTAATTTAAAGGGTTCCAGAGAAAGAAAAAACAAATCACATTTGGGTAAACATGCTTCTTCTAAAAACAAAAAGAGACCTCACCTGCTGTGAGTAAGCTGCCATCAGAAGGGGTGACCGAAGACATCTTGTCCACCAGGGATGGCGGGGCAATGGGAACCATTGTTGGGACGCCCGTGACAAAATATGGAGGGTATGTCGGTGACTGAGGGGTGGAGGTGCCAGTCTTTATACCCTTGCCTGCCTCATATACTACAAAAGCAAAAAAAAAAAAACATATCTTTTCAGTCTACAGAAAAACACACTTATTTGCACCTGCATGTACATGTGTTTGTACTCACAGTGTCGAGGGCAGCAGCATGTGTCCGGGCAGCACCAGCAGCTGACGTAGCAGCAGCAGGAGTGAGGACAGCACTGACACCAACAAACCCCAACCAACAACAGGAATAAGAGGCTGCCCAGTGCTACCGCAGTAACAAACACCCACTCTGTAAGAACATAGAGCACAAGGTTCTGAATGTAAATAACTATCAGCGCACATTTCGATGCAATTCAAATGTGATTACAGATTACTTGTATATATTAGTGTTTTTTTTTTTGCTTATATTATGTTTAATGTTTAACTTTGTACATTGAGAGCACAGTTACGGAAGACAAGATCTGTGTGTGTGTGTCAGCATACATGGCCAATAAAGCTGTTTCTATTCTATTCTATTCTATAAAAGACAAGATGATCCATAGAACAAAAAAGATATACAAACATAGAAATTGGTTCGCATTGACACAGGAACTGCAAATTTGAAGTCATTCTTGGGTGTGAAATGACTTATTGCTTAATAGAGTTTTACATTCATTCACACTCCAGTGATAGTCCAAACACTTCTTTATAAATAATAAAATCAATGCATCACAAAACCTAGAACCATTATGAAAACCTACAATGTAACTGGATTTTTGGTTAGAGCTTCATATGTATTTTGCAGCTCATGTAGCCTCAAGCCAAGATGAGGAGTCGACTATCTTTAATAAAGCTCAAAAGAGAGGATATCTAAATTTTATCGAAAGGAAGGAAAAACTGGAAAACATGTTTTCCTGTAAGCTGCTTTAAGCCCCACAAGGTATAATTTCCCTTGACATGATGTTATTTCTGTTGAGATGGGAACAAACATACAAAAATCCCCCAATAATTGAGCAACACTTCTGGAGAGGTTTCTGAAAAAATGTGTCTTTTGACAGGACTGTCAACAAGTCAGAGTAAAGTACATCTTGACAGATACATGAGTTACAACAAAAGTGCAGATGATTTGACTCAAAGTGCTGCCTTCTATTGAGGAAGTGAGTGATACAGCAAGAAGAACAGATACACTACTTTTTCTGTGTAAGGGGACAAAGCAAAGGAAAGGGAAGGGAAGGAGAGGACAGATAAGGAAATCTTTAACAATGTAAAACCAAGGACAACATTTCGCTCTCTCTCTGTCTACACACACACACACACACACACACACACACACACACACACACACACACACACACACACATACACACACACACAGACACTCACACACACACACACACACACACACAGGAAATCAGATTTTGCTGCAGGAAGGAAAGGGACAGTTTAGATTTATCTGTAGAATACTGAAGGTTTGGCTGTGACAACAAATTAGCTTGTAATGTTATCTCAATTGTAACTGTTATCTCACTCACACTCACACGCACACGCAAACACACACCAGGATAGTTACTGACACTGTACGTTCAGACATTTCAGAGCTCTGTGGGAGTTGAGTTGAAAGATAACCTGAGTGAATCATGTCCTGCTACTTCTTCAACACATTTGATCAAACCTTGATGAATAACATTTTTTTTACAGTAATTTGACTTGACAAAAACAAACCTCCCTCCTTCTTACTGTAATCAATGCTTTTTGTGTCTAAATGATGAGGGAGGAACTCTTCAACCACAGCCATAAATAACTATAATGACAATGATTGCTGTTTTGGAGCACATGGAGATCATCATGATAGGAGTGACAGCCTGCTCATTGGCTGACGGGCGTGGACCGGTCTTTTGGGTAAAACCAGCTCTGAAGACAAGTCAGAGCTCTGAAGACAAGTCTGGCAAAGCCTATTCATCATTATCTACTTATATGAGATAGAAAAGGTGAGACAGTATCAAAGTCGAAGCTGTTAGACATTAGCATGTGAACACACAACAAATGTGGTGGTTCAAGTCTTAATAGTTTGGCCTACCTTTGTTAGAATACATTTCATGTGTTGAATATTGTCCTAAAATGTTGAAAATGGTTCTAAAAAACCTCTTAAAAGACAAACACCGACGACCACCGTCTAAATGGTTCCTACACCCATTGTTAGAGCGGTTAGTAGGGTTAATATGAAGAGAAGGAACCAGGTGAGGGGGAGAATACATTATGCCCCTACCTGGCATAATCTTCAAATCAAAGTCTGGCAGGAGATCTTCAGGCATCCAAGAAAAACCTGGAGAGAGACAGAGCAGAGGAGGAGAGCAGGGGAGAGGGAAAGGTGTTGATATAAATGATTGATCCAAGCTATTCTGCAGCAGCATGCATGAAAAGAAAAGGAAGACAAAAACTGAGGGAGATGCAGAGAAAAGAGACAGAGATGAATAAATGAAGGGAGCAGATAGGTCAACAGCAGCATGCATCAGTGGACCTCTTTGCCATGTTCCAGAAAGCCTCCATATCAGAGCGTCTTGATCGTCTGACTTTTGAAAAGCTGAGAGGTAATCTTTCCGGTGAGAAGACTGACTGGAACATGAATCATCCTCATGGAGATAACATAAGGAGCTGTGAGTAATGTTACATGCAAAGCTGCAAACAAATCACGGCTGGGCTACATTCTTCACGTCCAGAGCCAGAAACAGACAGCAGAGAAAACATGGTGTGCTCAAAAGAATCACTTTGTCTTTGTTTCTGTTGTCTGGACAGTAAAGAGAGCAGTGTCTCCTTCATGAGAACAAACCTTTCAAATCATAGTGAAACACGCGCCTGTGGTTTTCAATTGATATTGTGACATAAACTAGAGATATTTAATAAAGAAATGGATGTTTACGTTGAAAATAAAATGTATATGACAAGCTACAGGTTTACAGGTGGCAGTGTGTGCGTCTTTCTTACAGTGATCCTATGGATTTATGTTGCTGGTTGCCTGACGACCTCACTTGTGAAACTAATATTTGTAGTAGAGTATCTGGCAGTATGGTGATGCTCCGGAATGACGGGATAAATCGTTGTCAAATGTTGACACATAATAAAATGATTCAAATATTTGTACAGTAACTTGGTTGAAATCATTAGGTGTTGTAATTATACCAGTATTGATTCATATGTATTGTTAATTTAAAAATGTCAAATGAATCAGATTGTTGTTGTTACCTTTCTTGGGATCTTCAATATCGTTCACCAGTGAGTCTACTCTATTAGCCCTGTGTTCAGTAGCTGGCAATGCAGTTTTTCAGGGATGCTCGAGACACGACTTTGTCTATTTACCGTAAATGCTGAATGTTTTATTATACAATATATTCACTATTGATGAAACTGATAAAACAATGTTTTTTCCCTTTCCACTGATGGGTTTGTTGTGTATATGAAAAACAGTTGTAGTTGTATATGTTAACAGTGAATTTTGTGTTTTTATCCTAAAAGGTTTGGATCTTTTCATGTTGTTTGAGGATAATTTCCCCTGATTTTCAGGAAACACTGAAAGAACAGAAACAACCAAAGTCCTGAAGAACCTTCACCACCTTTCAGATGTTTCTCCTGGTATCTTTCTGGTGTTATGTCTATCTCTTCCTTTTTTTCTTCTTGTAACACATCTTAAATGTGCCCCACACAAGGTCAGCAGACGTCAGAATGAATCATGACACACAAGATAAGAAGTGATCTGTCAGACGCTGGTACATAAATGTGCATGAGTTTGCTATTTTGGGGGGGGGGGGGTGCATGTGTGTCTATGTGAGCACCTGGTGATACAGCCAGTAGGTGAGTGTGAGTGTGATGTGAGCAGATGCCAGTGTTGTACTGTGAATACATTGTAATTCATTTAAAGAGGGGGTGCTGCTGAGTATGAGGAAGAAGCACTACAGAAACAGAGAGCAGGTATCTCTGTCTGACTCTGACATGTTGCACATACCTCACCGAGTACTTTTCTGGAGTGCTAAACTTGTCTTGCTGGCAAAAACAAAACAACTTGTGGAGAAGGAGGTAAATAACCACATCATAGTAAACAACAAGTTGCTAATATTTGCGTTACATGCATTTGCACACCAAATGCCCCCACTTGTTTTCCCACTCAGTTTCTGTTGAGTCTCCCTCTTGCTCAAGCAGTTGAAGGCAGCACACTTCTTGAGTTCTCCTCCTTCATAATTTGCCTGCAGGCTGGTGATCCTCCAAGACTTCCTTTCAAATATTTGGGGAATTAAGTGTGTTAGTTGGCATGTACAGAGGCTAGAGTCCATGAACCTGTTGCTCATTTTACGCATGCCATTCCACACTCTCTCTCGGCCCAATTTCCAACTCTATCCCCTGTACTGTCTCTCCAATAAAGACACAAAAAGCCCCAAAATAAATCTTTAAAACATGCAGATGAAAGAATATGTGTCCTTTTTAAATTTCCAAAAGTGTTCAGAACAAAATTTAAAATAATTTCCAGGTAACACTTGACTTCAAAATTGCTTTAACTTTTTATTTGGAAGTGAATCAAGCAATGAACTCCTTTTGTGTCTATTTTTTATGTATAATAATATTTCATTATAAACGAGCTTGCCCTCTCTCACTGTTAGCCCTAAACAACAGCGAGGTCAGGGGTCCTGGAGAGTTCAGGTGCTTTTCTAAATACATCCACGGCTCTGAGCCGCCCCAGAGCCTAAATTAATGATACAAGTAATTAAACAGAAGTTTGATAAAGTCTAAATATGGGCTCATAAATAACATTCAATGGCAAAAAAAAAAATGTCAAATGTTCAAGTTAATTTAGAAGCAATGTTACCATCGCATCACATTCAAAAAAAGGGCTGACCAGTTGATATTAAATCTGTAAAATGCATCACCTGGTATGTATCCTGAGAAGAATAAAAACAAAGTCAAACAAACCCCTCAAATGAACGTTAGAGATTTGTATCAATAATGTTAGTGTTTATCTACAGCCAATATACTGACACAGCATTAGGCTCCCAAATACTGATACCAGTTCCTGCCTCAAACGTAAAGTATTAGCTGGATAATATATGATACAATGACACATTGTTAAGGCTAAATGGGTTTTTTTATATATTAGGCCTCTAAGTTGAGCTGTGACTGTCAGCTACTAAAATTCAAACAGAGTGAACAGAAAAGGGCTTTCCGTTGAGTAGTCTCTACTCAAAACCATTGGCCCAAGTCAGTCGAGTGTCTCACATGGTGTCACCCTCCACATCATTAAACCTTTTCTGTATTCTTTGCTGTGAAAAGACAAAAGACCCCCGAGCCATTCATGGAGGCCCCAACTGTTGTTATGGAAACACTACAAGAGCCTCACATGCCATATTAGCTACACCCAGCCCGGGAAATACAACATGCTGGCACTGTGGCGGATTTCTCTCATGTTGGGTTGAACACTGCACGGCTTACTAAGGCTAACTAATACAGCAAACTCTAATCTTATCATTAACTGTGCAATATAATCATAAAGAAGCTGTACTCAATATTTAACCAGATTCAGAATGTACTCAAGGCTTTGTGGACTGTAAAAGCATATTGTCCTGTCCTTCTGTGTGTACTTCTGAGTGTGTGTGTGTGTGTCTTTTTGCACACACATTAGTCTCTGAGTGCCAGCCAAACAAAAGTTCAGCCGCAGAGTGAATTAGAGTACTAAGAGCCACATAGCCTCTCTGCTGTTGTTATGGTTACATCTGTAACTGAATGCAAACAAATACACCGATAATGTAAAGACACACCACATAACACATACTTAACATGGGACACACAAAACATCCCCCCCCCCCCACCACACACACAAACACACATGCACACAGACTAAGAATTTCCCCATGTCCAGCACTCAGGATTAAATTAAGAAACTTAATGAGAGTTTAGTGAACCTTAATGGTTGTGGATGAGACGGAAGAACTATTTGAAGAGATTTGATTGAGTACCAAATGTCCTACAGAGCTCTCACAAATAGGTTTACTTATTACAACAAAATCCTTAACAAGAATCACAGTAGAAAATTAGACCACGCTTACCAAGAACCAGCAGCTCCACAGAGGCTTCATTCTGTCCCTCTAAGTCATCAGAAATCACCACTTTACAGATGTAAACTCCGCTGTCTCCCCACTGGACCTCTCCTATGCGAAGGTCTGCCTCTACACGAGAAATAAAGGTTTCAGAGGTTAAAATGAGAAACAGACCTCCTAAACACAAAGCTTATCAACACTTCATATGTTCTGTTGCTGTTTACAGTACATGTTCATTTTTACTGGCTGAGCAGGTCAGCATGGATCAATTAAGATTCTTTATTATCTCATTTTCAGGATGAAGCATTAACAGAAGTTTGAACAGGCTGACAATGTTTGTGTATACTCAACCGACAGATGCCAAACAATCGACAAATGTTTGAAAAGATTCAGTTTAGAACAAGCAAAATGTCTTAGAATAAGGTTGGACTGAAATACCAAAACTCCACTCCAGAATAACGTGCACTTACACTGTTTGAAAAGGGAAGCAAAAGGAAAAATGTACCCTAAATGGGTTGTGAAAAAAATTAAAGGTTCCACAAAACTTTTATCCTTGGCTCAAAAGGTTTGAATCTCATTCCCAGAAAGTCATAAAATCATCATTGAGTGTGGTCTTTTATCTGCTCCTTTGTAAAGCGTCTCGTGATAACACTTGTTATGAATTAGCGCTATACAACAATAATGATTGACAGATGATTGATTATAACTGGCACGGCCCCACAATCGAAACACTCCGGCCATCAAACATAAGTCATTTATTTAATTTTTACTTAACCTCTATTTAACCAGGTAAGTGATACTTTCCCATTGTTTCCTGTGATAATGGTGTTTGATTATTGATTCTTGGGTTATCATCTCGTTTAAAAACTGCTACAGCACCAACATTTCATAACATATAAGGCCCTTTGTGTGTCAAAGGTGGCAGCCAGGGACGGGTTCACAGCTGTCATACCTGCAAGTGTTTTTCTCACTACACTCGGACTGTACACTTGTACACTGATTATAGCCCGGGTTTGAATGAATTAAATAAAAGTTTTTTAGATAAATGTTTTTTTGCATCAGATCGGTTCATTTTCTCAATCTGGAGAGTACATTTTGACTGTTTCTTTTATAATCTAAAGTGATGTTCCTGGGCCACTGAGTACAATGGTGGGACCAGTAATGTAATGAAAAGAGACTGGCCCGGGGGGTCAGTGTCAAATTTAACTTAATGTCAAACCCTGATATAGCGCTGCATATCTATTATAGTTATTATGATTCTGCATCCGTTTTGAGGGCTCTAATACCTTTTATGGAGATAAGTATTCAGGAATCCCAGGTTTTATCATTTACATGTGATTTTGTCTAGTGTCTAGCAGGTGTGTGTTAAAAAGGGGTAGAGGTCAGGGATCAGTTTCTGCCTGTCAAGTTCTTTGGCCACATGAATGAAGTATAAAACAGAAAGTTCCATTACATTCTTTTTGACTGTTTTCTAATTTCGGAAGCAAGATTCTGACAAGATTCCCAAATATAGCCTGAATCCAACAATACTGGTCCATTTACTCCATGGTACGCTGGTCAGACATGTAAATAAAGCAGACAGGAAATGGGTTGTATAATTCACTTCCTTTTCCTGTTAGCCGAGCAAAGGGGGAGGAGAGACTGGCTGACCAGGCCACACAACTCTAACCTGTCTCCCCTGTAACACAATGGATCATCCACTTATTCAGCATACCATTTTTATTTTATTTTAATGGAGTTTATGTTGTTTTCATTCAAAACTGCCCAAGATAAAATGTTGGTTTTCTTTGTTTCTTCTCATAGTTGTACTGTCTAATACATCATGTAAGTCAAATGGCTGCCAACTTTAAAATGAAGGGGAAAGGAGGGGCTTTAATCCGTGTTAGCCTTGTGATTTACAGTGCACCCCCTGCCCAGTGCATGCTGGGACAGACTCCAGCCTCCCCCTGACCCTGAATGGGATTACATGGGTGTGGATGACTGGGCTTCTCTACGGGCAACAAAGTGAAAGTTTTCACTTTTTTGTCCCTTTGCTGCACTGACCTGTTTGAGAAAAGATACAAAGTGACAGAGACGCCTTACAGTGAGAGAGACGTTTGTGTGGATAGTGGGATGTAGAGAGTTCCAGAGAGTCATAAATAAAAGCAAGACATTGAAGTACATCAGAGGGAAGGAGTTAGAGGTCAGGATGAATGAGAGGACAGCGTGAAAACCGCTTCTTTTGTCTGTGTTCCTGGCTGGTAAAGAGAAGGTTGATTCTTCAGCCAGAGTCAGAGCTCCATAAATCTGAAGCCTGCAAACAAGGCTACCTCTCTGTCCTCAACAAGCACACACACGTAACTACACAACTATGCACAGTTAGTGTATAGTGGTAAAGAAAGTAAGGGCATACAGAACCGAGGACTGCTTAGTTAGCATGATGATTATCCTGAAGTGGAATAAGTTGCTTTGGACTTATCAACTCTTGTGGCAACTTGTCATTGATGCTTTGACCTGAATTTAGTTCAATGCTTATTATATTGAAAGAGTTAAAAAAAAAAAAACATAATTATACCCTCTTATACGACACAGATGCATGAAGGGATGATGAGCTGAGCTGCTGCTAATGTTGGCCTGTAATGTGACCTAGCAGCAGAGTGGTTAACTCCTAATGAAAACTCTAAATCAAGGAGAGAGAAGTGATTAAATTATAATGCTAGAAACTGAACTTTTATTTATCCTTAGAAGTACCTTTGGATGTTGTTATTTTAGTAAAGACTAGCTGTCAAACAAGAACATGAAAGACGGTTCCCTGATTATCAATTTCTTCCAAAGGTTTTAACCTGAGCCAGTACATAAAACAATGAGAGCAATAGTATCACATCTCTACAGTATACATTGTGAGTTGCATATAGCTGTCATTTGGTTTACGCTTGTTTCAAATCTGTACTTTGTAGCAGCTGATGTTCAAGTTCAAGTCTGGGTATCAGAATCCATCATGGGAAGGGAAATGGCTTTGTAACATCTCTGGTGCCAACACTACATAACTGTGACAGGAAAGTGAATATCTTACCTGTAGCATGTAATGTAAAAGTTCAATTTCACAGTTGGAATTCTTTTATTAGGTCTGAACGTGTCATTCCTTTTTATGATACTAACAATATAAATTTGGCAGCATACTTTGAATAATACTTATCATACTATGTATCATACTTGAAGTACATGCCTTGACCTTCTCTGGATTTCTTTTCTTTTTTTATTCATTCTTCTTCTCATGCCGAACTGTAGAAGTTCTTGAGTTATATAACCCGATTGTCCTGAGAGTTAAACTTTCAGAAAAGCCTTTTCTGTCTCTTACTGTCCACAACGTGTGCAGAAAGACTTTTTATCAGGGATGTGTGTGTAAAATGGGCCAATGCTCAGATTTATGGCGTTCATTAAACTTGCCAGGTCCTCTACAGAAGAAATAAGAACATTGATACGGATCATTGTATTACCAAAACAAACAATAGGATCTTATTTTCCTTGTATGCACCAAGTACACTTGAAGCTTTTCTTATTGCCTTATGTCCATGTTTTGTTGTTTTTACTAAAAAAATAATCAAATCTTACTGTTGATGATGGAGATGTCTCTGTTCTTGTAATACTCTGACAGTGTGATGGAGGAGCCAGAGATGGAAGCCACAGTTCGGACCGTCCGGCTGCTGTCAGCACAGTCAAGGTAGCTTGCCGTCATCGCATTCTCGTACCCTCCAACAGCGCCGCCTGTTCCACCTGTCATCCCCCCTCCTCCCAGACCTCCACCCAGGCTTTCTGGGAAACTGAAAGAATCCCGTGTACGGTCTCGACAGTACGACTTGTAGACCCACTGCACCACGGGGGTTTGCGTGGACACGCTGTTGTAGTGACATGGCAGAACCACCGACTGGAACAGCACGGCATACCTCTTCTCGTCTCTCACAAACACATTAACCCCCAAACAGCCAGGAGGGAGGGCACCTGAGGGAGGAAGAGGAGATAACAAAGGGGAATCAGTGAAGTGTGAAATTAGGAAAGAATCATTACACTCACTGTGTTTGTAGGAAATGACGCAGTACCAAAGTGTGACTTATATTCAGCTTCAGTGATTAATGAGGGATTAACGGGATGGAGACCAGCAAAAGTCTGAATTGGACGGAAGGATTTTAAACGGACGGGTGGAATGAATGAGAGCTCAGAGGGTGCATGTTTGTGTTCTTTAAGCAAGAGGAAGTAAGAAACAGAAGATTGGCTGGTTAACAGTCGCAGCATCAACACTGATTGTGATCAAAGTTAATGGAGGCCTTTGAGGTATTGTAAATCCTTCTTGCCTTCAGTGGAGGGTATTGATTTAACCATCACACCTTGTTGCTGGGGAACAACGATCCCGTTTTCTAACATTTGTTCATTAAGTTAGTCAATAATTTAGTGTGAAGTTGTCAAAAAGATGAAAAATTGAATTTTAATACCCAAGGGCCAAAATTCTTGTCTAAAATTCGATTCATTTTTGCCACAAATAACAAAGAAAAGCAGCAAATCCTGTCTTTTAAATGTTTGACACTGACTGAAATGATTAACCAATCATCACAATAGTTGTTTTTTCATTGATTAATAGTTGCAGATCTACAATAATGGTACATTGCTGCTCTAGACCCAGTGCCAGAAAGAAAACCTTTAACAAACACGTCACAGATCTGGCAACCAAAGGAGGTTTAGGTAATAACAGGGAATGTGTAATGAGGGGGATCTAAGGATCACTACAGCAGACAGAACCACAGTGATTCAGATGCTGGGTTTAGTTTTAAGCAGACACCTGCTCCTGTTTGCTCACCCTTAAAATATCTGACACTCCTCATTGCAACACAGGAAGCCAAATGTTTCCATGAATATTTTTAGTGAAATCACCTATGTCTTCTTTAACGCAGTAAAGCAGAATGATTGATTAGATAACTCTTTTCCCATTAGCTGAAATGAAAAGATTCATCTTGCATTTTGGCAATTGAGCGTAAAAAAAAAAAAGTCGTGCTCAGGCTGTTTGGAACGCTTCTGCTCGTTGATATCTGACTGCGAGCTGAGTTGACCTGCAGTTATTTGGAGCCTCTGAAGCTGCAGGACTCTGGGTCACACGATGACCAGGAGCTCAAGCTCAGCAGTTCAACAGCAACACACACTGGAGATGTGACCATGAGAGAAAAACACACCCACCCACCCACTCACACACACACACACACACACACACACCCAGAAACATCTGTGTATGCAGCTGTATGTGTGTGTTTCTCAGACTGAGCAGTGGGAGGTGGGACTGATCTGGACCAGTGAACAGGGATGAGGTAAGGGATGAGAGGCGGGTGTTTCACTAATGCAGACCAGACCTGTTGAAAGAGCTTAGTCTTCTTACTGTTACTAGAAGCAAATGTAAACAAACACCTTACCCCTGGTTTCTGAGAACTGCTTCAATCAAAAATACCAACAACTGCAGAAAGCACTGCACATTGTTATTTTACAGTCTTTTGCTGCTTTGTTGTTAACAGACTTTCAAGTTAACACTGACAATAAACATAGATTAAAACTAGTGCTAAAACTATTTGTCAGTTGTGTGGTAAGATCATCAAGAGGAAATGTATAAACGACTACTTTGATATTTGCTAAAGTTAATTACACATAAATGTAAATATCTAGCTGGTTTTAGCTTCTCAGATGTCAGGATTTGCTGCTGTTCTCGGTTTTGGATTCTAAGTTTAATCTATTTTAACTCTTGTCTCTTGCTCCAACATAACAGGCATTTTGAAAGATTTCATGTTCACTGTTAGACATTTTTGAGTTTTTAAATGGCTTTGATCAATTCAATAAGTACTTATTCCTTATGTCATTAAAACATAATGAAAACAGTCATTACTGTGGTCCCTCTCTCTGGTACAAACTTCCTGCTGACCTGAGGTCTGTCACTACTGTCTTTACTTTTGAAGCAAAACTCAAAACCTATTCTCCCAAACATACGAATAGTTACTTTTTGTATAAGTGTGAATGATCACATGTGGTTATTCATTCATGTTTCCTCTGCAGTGTGTATGACTTTATTGATATGATTTCTGTATCTTATTCATGACAATGAAAACACTTTCAGTTGTATGCTGTGTTTTTTACCTCAATGTAAAGCACATTGAGCTTACCTGTAAAGGAATGTGCTTTATAAATAAAATTGCTATTGTTCTACGTTGTAGCCCTTTAGAAAGACAGTAACAGCCAAACTTAACAACAAAACTGTTAAAACAAAATGTGCAGAATAAAGTAAAACATTTCACTGAAGCCAAACACAATGTAATTTTTTTTAAGGTGGAAAAACTTAATGGTGCAACTTTCTGGTAGATTTTTGTTTACATTTGCATTGGTCTTTCGACTCATTTCTTTGACTACTTAATAATGCTATTCTTGAGGTGCCGATAGCCAGTCACACCAAACCAATAGGTTAGTGCACATGCCCCATGTTCGGAGGCTGTAGTCATCAGAGGGGGCAGCCTGTGTTCGAATCCAACCTGTGGCTCACTTCCCGCATGTCGGTCATTCCCTGGTTTCTCACAACATTTAGTACAACAAATTTACCTTTGGGCACTAATGAAGAAACCGTGAACCGTCTCACTCTATCCACTGTCCTATCTCTTCAATAATGTGCATCATTTAAGAAAAAGACATATTGTTTGAGTTCAGACAAAAAGGAATCAAGCTGACTCAAACACAATTTCCTCAGGGGGAACATTACACTAGCTTCTAGGAACTGGAGGTGGGTCTTACTGGGATCACAGGCTGTGTGGAGCAATCCATGCTTTATTAGTTTTCTGAGGAAACCACCTCCAGAGGAGAAAATGAAAGCAGGACAAAGAGGAGGAGGAGGCAGGGGTTTATAGTTACTGTTGTAATACTGAACTGAGCAGCCTGTCTGAGACTGATTAGAGTATAGTATTTGAATAGCCACATGGCTAAAAAGATAAATAGAGAATCAAAAAATTGAAGAACCATTGATGAATGGTCAAATTATTAATTATTGATGGACTCATTGAAGTTTAAATCTTGAATTTCAGGTCAAACTTGTGATTTTTTTAACATAGTTTTGAATGGCTGCATATTAGTTTGTAAATAATCCTACAGTATACTCCACATAGGCTACATCTAATTTGAACGTAGGCTACTATGCATTACGCAAAAGTTTTCAAATCACAGATACTTTGTAAAAAGGGAGAAACAGACTGTAACTTCAGGAAGGAATCTCATGAAATCTAATAACTCAGACCTCCTAATCCACAGCTCTACAAAGCTGTCGGCCAGATCATTTCACAGTCGACTGAAGAACTGCTAGTTTACCGTCAACTCTCCCAAACAAAAGAAACCAAGCAGTGAAGTTAATTTTTAAACTTATTTGGCTTTTAGCAGCTGAAATGATATCCCTCTACTAACACAAACAATTATTATTACTATGTGGATAAAGTTTGAATTGAAATGCGTATATCGTCGGTTTATTAGTAACATGTCTGAGCAGGTAAACTACATTAAAGAAGTTAACCCAGATTTAAATCAACCTGTTATAACTATGGTTACAACACTTGACACGGAGCGGTTCCCATCTTTTTTTCTTTTTTTTTTTCTCCGTTCATCATCTCTTACCTGTCAGAAAAACGATACAAATCCACCACTTTGGAAAAATAAACATATTCCAAATTCGGCAGGTGAATTTCATCAAACTTGTGAGATAAACGTCGTCTTCTTTTCTCTTCCGTCTCATCCCTGCTCGGTGAGTTTCGTGCTCCCGCAGAACTCACTGACAAAGTAACGGGACAGGACAACTCGGACGGAAGGACCAGCGTCAAGAGTATCAAAATAAGTCTCTGAACATCCGGAAGCAGTTTAGAAAATAAAAGCTTCCTTGACGCAGACAGCAAGTAAAAAAAACTGTTTTGAAGACTGCGGGCATTTCAATGTTGCTGTTGTTGTTTTTTTTTTTTTTTTGCTTTAACCAAAACAAAGTTTTTGTAAATTCAGTAGGCCTAATTTGATTAAAACTTAACGGAGCAAAGGCCACTAGCTACTGTTTGGCTGTAAATTAACTTTTTTGTCACTAAAGGAGAGAGAAAAAAAGCTTTGCCTAAGGTAAATAAGGAGAAGTAAGATGTAGCCTATTCGTGGCACAAATAGACATAGTGGGACATTACTGCATGGCAAGTTGCTGATATCGGTTGAGGAAGAGCTGTTCTAATGATTAAAATAAGTACAGCCTTGTAATCACCTGTTGTCGGAATTATCAGAAAGTTATCTAACTGGGAAATTCACATAAAGGTTCCATCAGATAGGAGCAACAACTTGTAACACTGGAATTTTGTTAACCTGGCTTATCAAAAAGTTGAAAGACTTGACGGTATATGCCGAAAAAACGACCACCGTGAGATCTCCATGTTGTCCTAACCATAGACAATATTAAGGACAAATTAATTTAAAATACCTTTTTGTCTAAAGCACTTATGGCTTCGAGGAAGAGTTGTTTGTGTGAGTTATAAGATTGTAGGCCTAAAGCATTTTACACCACCAATCACATTATTTCTTTTTTTTCTTGCATGCTCATATATTTTTATGTTTAATAAAATAAAAATGTTTTTTTTTTTCATTTTGTTTTGAAGTCCATATCACTCCATATCCGTTTCTAGTTTTTTGTTGTCGTTGTTCGACATCATTCAGCAGAGTGGGGGGCGCCAAGACGCGCTATTTCCAGAAACAATGGATGGTGGCGGTGATGGAGGGAAAGGAGGGGGGGGGGGGGGAGTGACGTATGAAACACAGGATGACCACCTGTTGAGAAAAAAATGGCTACATTTCCTAAAATAATTTACATTTTAATTCAGAAGGAGATCAAAAATATAGTCTTAGTAAATGAAGACCTGTACTGCCCCTTCTGGTGCTTGTCTGCTATGTCTAGCCTATTATACTAATACGAATATGTATTTTATTATCTTATCATTACTAGCATGCAATAATGTGATGAAAAGTTGAATTCAGTTTCTGGATTTTATTTATTAGGCTTTATTTTAACAGCAAATGTCATGTAGGCTAAGGACTACATCTTAAAAAGTTTCTCCACAACAGGATATTTACAAACCCAAATGGAAAAAGGGTAAAACTATAACTAAACTAATATCACTGTATATTTTCATGTCAGAATTTAACACAATTCTCTCTTTAAAATACTTCAACTCAAAAAAAAAAAAATATTAAGCTAACATGGCAACAGGCTATACTATGACTCATCAACATTCAGGCATAATAAAATAATTTTCATTTGCAATAAAAACAAACCCTGAGAGATCTGTGGTGACTGGTGACATAATCAATCCCAACAATCACAGGAAGTTGTAGTTCTAGGTGTTATTGATGTGAATCAAACAGAAAGTACCCAAAACAGTGACTTGTGTATATTTCTAAAGAAGGATATACTGTAAAAGATAGTCATATAAACAAAAATAATTCAATACAGTCTAACTATGGCACACAAATGAAGCCCTTTTCAGCACCAAACTAACAAATGGCCACCATTGAAACCCAACAGCAGAAGTCGCCTCATATCCAGACACACACAGACATAAGGCATTGCATAGTCATTTTCAAGCTGAAAAACACAAAGTTTTGAATAATACAGATCTTTAAAAACCTTTTCCTGATCGTTTTTTTTATTTTTATTTTTTATCTTGGGTATTTTTGAAATGTTTTTCCTGTACTTTATATTTAGACAGTGTTTGTATGAACCAGTTGGTTTGTAACAGTTGATCCCACCCACTCACCCAATCCCTGTTAAAAAAAGGATCAGACAGACTTTTCAGGTTCCCTGCACTTCCTCGACTAATCTACCAAAAACCTTGACTCTCAAAATTATTCCACTCTAAAACTTAGAATGACAGCTAAAAACTTAAAAGTAGTATTGTGGCATTCAGGCCAATTATATCACCTTTGCCACCTTTTGGACCGTAGTCAATTGAGCATATTCACACAGCAGCCATTTTTCTCAGACGTCTTTCATAGGGAGGAAAGTGGTGGTACAGGTGGTTCACTTTAGTCATTAAGGTCGCTCCTTGGTTTGTTAGCGGGTGGCAGAGGTGGTCTTTTACGTTCCTGATCATCATAGGGCTCATCATAGCGGTCATCATCATATCGTCGGTCTCTGTCGTCGTCATCATCATCATAACGTCGGCCTCTGTCATCATCATCATAACGTCGGCCTCTGTCATCATCATCATCATAACGCCGGTCTCTGTCATCTTCATATGGACGACCTCTACGGTCATTATCATAGCGTCGATCATCGTCATCGCGGCGGTCGTCGTCGTAGCGCTCACGGCGATCACTGTACTTGTCACGGCGGTCAGAGTAGTCGCTGCGGCGATCGTCATAGTCGCTGCGGCTATCATAGTTGCGCTCACTCCGTTCTTCAGAGCGGTCAGGTCTCCTCACAATGGAGTCCTCATAACCTTGTGGGTCCTCTTGACCATCGGCACGGCGACTCTCGCCATTTCCAGCCGGCTCTTTGTCGCTGTACTCTTCCTTCCGAACTCTGAAGAGGAAACAAATAGTGATTATGGGTGTGAAAGGTTTTTTAACCTCACAGTGTTTGTTTTTTTTGGCGGAGTTGACATGGAACAAAATTTACACCATGTTACCTGGTGTTGTTGTGATAGGTTCTTTATACTTTGAGGTACTGAGTTTACAAAAGGGGATGGCAGGTTTGGCCTGTTGGAAGCTGAAATAGTTTTTGCAAGCTGATAGACAGCTTTGATACCTCCACAGTATTCAGAATCAGAAATACTTTATTAATCCCAGAAAAAAAATTGATTGCTACAGTTGCTCATCAAAATCAGTAGGAAGTACAGATAAGTTCACAATATAAAATAAAATATTCCAGGTATTCTTCTCAACAAAATGAGATTTTAACGAAACTTTTTTGGGGCTTGGCTGAATAAAAGCATACACAGGCTGTGTCAAACAGTCGAAAATGGAAAAATATTTCTTGAATGCATGTTTTTGTTATGTTACTGTGACGCCTGAAGACTGTGCCCTTAGTTTGAAAGCAACTGTAATGACAACAAAGGCTTTCCTTCTCTCTCCATTCACTCAATTCAACAGCCCTCAAACATGTTTTGCATCAGACAGGGTGAGTGCGTTTTCATGTGTCTACAAGGCCCAAAATATTTACCCCATGGCGTATTCCTCCTCGTCCCCCTTCTTCTTCCGACAGCAGCAGCAATAGATGATGATGATGAGTGCAATTAGCGCAGCCACAACGCCACCGATGATTCCTGCAGTGGAGCCGATGTTCATGGAAGCTGCAGATGAAAATGTTGCATATTAAAACTTAATTTTTGCAAAGATGTATTCATCATGAAAAGGGACTTCCAGATTGTTTATGAAACAATTCAAATTATGCAACATTTAAAATAATTTGTAGGTCTCTCTCACGTGGCATGACTGAGAGGGTGATGTTGCAGATAGCGAAGCGGATCTTGTTTGTGGAGGTGCAGGTGTAGTATCCTGATGAGTCTTTGGAGATATTATACAGAGACAGGATGCCTCCCTCTGAAAGACAAAAAGACAGTCATATACATAAATCACTAATGTCATGATTCTGCAGTTTTGTCAACACAACACACTAAAGGGACTCAATCTATTTTTCGGAAGATGTTGGTATTAAATTGCTTTAATACCACAATAGTTGAAAAGCTTTCCTCATCTTTGTATGCAATTGTTCACCCTGAAACTATACGATCAAATGTTTTGCCTGCACTGACTGTTCAGAACACAAGCAGTCATAGTAGTATTTAAAATTCTAGCTGATGGAAACAAAAGTTTCAAAGTGTTTTGAAAGAAGATATGATAGAATTGCATTATGAACATTTTTACAGTTTAGCCAACGCATGTTTTGTCCACAAGAGAGTAATGAGAGGACGGTAAAATGTCCTACACAGTGAATGTCTTGGTAACATTTATTGAATTAAAAAAAAAATTAAATAAAGGTTCATTAAGAACTATCAAATATTAAAATTTGCTTCAAATATCTGGTATTAGCCTGGTTCTACAGAGATAATAATGAGACATTTATGTGCTGACAGTTGATTTATAGTCAGGATTAATAATCCTGTAAAATACTATGTCACTTGAACTTACTCTCAGTGGATTTTGGGCTGGCCATGCGAGGGACGTTCTTGACATCTCGACTTTGCCACTTGTAGGTGGGTTTCGGGGAGCCTTCCTCAGACACACACGTCAAGTTGATGTTCTGGCCGTACTCTGTTTTTCCCTGGATCTTACAGATCGGCGTAGAGGGTGCCACTAGACAAAATAATTAAATCAACTTAACTTGCTATATATATATATATATATATATATATAGAGCACTTTACACAACACTGTATATCCAAAGTGCTGAACAGCACAGATAGAGGAAACACAAAGCCTAAAAAAAAGTAACAGATTAAAGAAAACCAAATAAATAAAAAAAAATCGCCATTAGGATTTATGACTGCAACAAAGGTGGCATTTGTCTTTGAAAATGACAATAATTCATTGCAAATGTCATTCAGACAGTCTTTCCAACTGCAAGGAAAAACAGTCTTCTTTTGATGATCTACTTCCCCACATTGTGTTTTTTTACTTTTGCACACATTGCAGTAAACATGTTGCTTCACCAGCTTACATTTATGCTGAAAATGATTCTTGGGTAGGATATTTTAAAGAATGTCTCACTAGAAACAATCATCCAACTAAACTCTTTCACCCACTTATGAAAAACTCAAAACATTTCTTTATTACCTAGAACCACCAAACGTGCCGTGTCAGCCGGCTTGCCCTCATCGTCCCCGGGGACCAGGACGCGACACTCAAACATCTTGTTGTCATCCAGTGTGATTCTGTTCAGTTTCAGGTCGGCCTTTCCTGATGCAATGTCCACATCGAGGGACACTCGGCCTTCGTAAATCGATTTGATGTCAGTTATGCTACCAGCAGAGTAATACGTGACGATCTGGACCTGTGCGATAGCATAGTTATACATTAAGGCAAAGTTATCCTGTCATCTTTCTGTTCTTATTCATATAAAAAAAAATGAAATGACAGAATAATGCGCACATGCAGCATTTAAACACAAACACATCAGCAGCCTGACCTCTTTGGTGCCAGTTTCCACAGACCAGGCTATGACGACTATTTTGCCGGTGACTTTGGTGGTGAACCTGCAGGGCAGTGTGATGTTGTCTCCCCTAGCATGCTCATAGAGATCCTTTGGGATGTCCACTTGTAGGCGCCGACACCTGACAACACTGAAAGATTGTAAAAGAAATAAATGTACCTTTTAGTATTTGCCTGCCCTTACACCACGATGATCTGTGATCTTGTCAATAAAGTTATCAAGTTGATCTGAAGGCTGTTGTGCTTTTACCAATCAGCAGCAGAATCTGAGATCTACAAATACATTTTTACTCCACCCTCAAACCCCTCATACACACAGTGGGTTAAAACTGTAACAGTAAGTAAATTGATAGAAGTGGAAACAGGCCACCGTTTTCATAGTTGTTTTATTTTCTTATTCTGAATCAGCTAAATTTAAATTGTACAGCTTATTAAATGTGTCTTATCTGCTTTACAATTAAACTAAATATGTTGTTTTTTCCTGTTGTGACATAGCAAGACGTTTCTCAGATGGGATTTTTGTTTAACAAGTTCTTTTTCAGGTAAACAACAAAACCTTTATCTTATTAACAACATTTTAATTATCCTTAATTTGAGGAAGCCTGCAGTCTCTTCCTAGTAGGCTAATCATAACCATTCTTGCTGCGCCTATTTCAAAGCGGTAAAGGTCGAAATAAACAAACAATTATAATTATGTCGATTAAAATAGATTCAGTGCTGTCTAAATTTGACATGAATGCTAATTACATTTTTGAAAGAAATTAGTAGCTGACTGAAAAACAAACCAATGAGACGGGTCTCCTGCATAAATAGGCTTTGGGCCTGTTGAGTTACAGAAGAATACCTGAGGTGCTCAAACAGGTGTGGCAGCTCGGTAATGCGCAATGTAAAGAAGCATTATTTCGCACAGGAACAGCCAATACTCACCCAGAAACAGCAGAATCAAGCCAAAAATCCTCCTCTCCATTTTCACGAGTTTATTTCCTCGAACTCTCCGACACTGATTTTGGTCGGTGTCGCTGTTTTGTCTTAAATAAAACAAAGATCCGTAGCCGCCCAAGTAACATTTGCATCGAAACCTTGTCAAGTGTCGTGGGAGTGATGCGCCTCATGGGTGCGCCCGCCGCCTCTGGATGACTGACAGCGCTCTCAGCCAATCGGTGCAGCTCCTGCTGCACAGGTAACATTCTTAATCCGCCCATCTGGCGTGTTTTGGCTTGTCCCATGATCCCATTTACCTGACTTTTCAGGGATACTCCGTTCCTGAATGAGACAGGGTTGTTAAGACAGCAATGGTCTCAGTGAAGTTTGTTGGACTATTTTCAAATCTAACTAAAGACATCATTCAGAGACACTTATAGTGCGACTTCTATCTTTAATTTATGACATCAACACAACGTCAAATAAAGATAAATGTTGTATTTTTTGTTAAACAACCAGGTATACGTTGCAAGAGAAAATGGAGACAGTCGAGGGGCATAAAGGATTGTCAAAACCAGTCTCAGTGTGTAGGCGGTGCAGCTAAAAACTGATGTGTGCGGTTGGTAAAAGAGCAGCGCTTTCCTGTCAGACTGGTTTGACGTGAATTTGGCAAATCACCTGGGGGTTTACACACAAACGAAAATACACAACCTCAAAGAGAAACAGTGTAGGTTTCATGACCTTAGTTAGGTTTTTTTTTTTTAAGTTTGTTGCCACGCACACTAAATTGTTAATTCAGAAATATTGGAAATATTTTCATCTGCCAAAGGGGCAGAAAAAGTGTGGAACCCACTGACTAATGTGTATGACAGAAGATGAACCAAAACTTAGAACAGCCAAGGCTGCAGTTTGTACAATGTTTCTGTAATTACTCACTCAAATCGGCATTTGTGCATGGACTGCTGTATATGTGCAAGTCCACACAAGCTTCACTGTGACAATTAGTGGCATAATGTCCCACATCACAGGAAGCCAACTGCAACAGAAGCTCATTTTGTAACCTTTCCTTTTGTTAATGATAATTCGTTTTTCGTTTTCTGCACAAAGCCAAACACACTGAGAACAAAATCTATCCATTTACAGGTCTATAACTATGAGCATGTAATGAGTCTGAATGCAGTCCTGTCTTTTCTCCACTTCTTGAAGCTGGACCCCAGGAGCTCTTTTATTTTCTATATCATGTAATTTGCCTTGCAGCTCTTGACAAACCAGCGATAAACAGGGATTGAAGGTGTTCTTTCTCTGTGGCATAATACACCCTGCTGAATTACCAGACGCTACTTCTGTGTTTGTATTTGAGATGCCTGTGAAGAAACATGTCGTTGCATCACCTAAGAGTTCTTCATGGATCAATTTGCTTTCTTGAGTGCCTTGCTGAAAGCCTATAAGCCGTTTCTCATCCCTGATACCTGTGAATTTCCATTACTCTGAGGCGGCTGAGGGTCCATTGAGTTATCACTTTCTGCAGGAGTCCCTGTGTATAGTAATAAAAGACACTGAGCTGCCAGAAAGCCAGGTACATTGGCTCAATCACTCAATGAAAACATCACATCGCATTGCCCTTACAGGACACGTACTTGACTGACTCTCTCATGAGTTCATCGAAACCACTTTTGGACAACATGGAAGAAAATGTTTTAAACATGAAATCTGAACTTGACTCGAATTCTCAGCATGCAGTTTTAACACGAGTAAGATATAAATGGTTAGTTTCCAATTTTGATAAATGGTGGAAGACTGAAGGGACAGGAGCCATAAGACAAGTTAAACAATTGATAACTTGTTTGTTATAGTAAGACATGAACTATAATGTTAACGTTAACTACTTCCTTGCTAACGTGACTGTTTGAAAGACTTACACAATAGTTAAGGAAAGGCATACATTCTTCGAAGATACACAAGCCGAGGACTCCCTATTAGGTCCCATATTAAAATCATAGACTGTAAATATTAATGGATGAAGCCTGAGTGACGTATATACAATATGTACGTATTTGTGAACGCAAACAGCCAAATGTTTATCAAAAGTTAAGTGGAGATAGCATTTCCAAAATGAAGACTGCCATTGTTGACCTTCATAACACCTCTTCAGAAATCAATGGGTGACGCCACTGAAACTACATCCTTGTTTTATAATATCTATGTACTTAACTAGGGTTTACGCTAAGAAGTGGTTGGATGCCAACTGTTGTCTTATTGTAGCTAATAAGTCATATTTCTCTTTTTTTACTTGACATATCACATGCTGTCCATCCATATATTCACTTCCACGTCGCGGAAACCACAAAAGAACAGACATGGGTTAGAGAGGGAAGTGAAACAAAAATAAACAGGAAATGATCACTGAAATAATAGAAAATAATCAGGGACAAAACATGCCATATATAAACACAACACCTCACTTACGGTCTGGAGTCTGAGTATCACTTTTACAGTGGGCTACAGCCAATAGGTCTCCCAGCAACAACTTTTTCCATCATAGAAATATGTTTTTCCTTCAATTTAAACCAGCATAACATTTCCAGCTAAGTAGGCTTTAAGAGAAAAGGGTAAAGTTCATCAAGGCTTTTATTCAGTCTTTATTTACATCACACAGCAAAGAAAAGTGTAGAAGGGGTCTACTGTGAGTATTGGTGATCCCTCAACTGACCATTAGCACCATCTACTGGTCAAATTGTCTGTGACTTTAATAGTTCATAGCCAGTGCAATAAATCTGCTTATCAAGCAGGGGCGTTTCTAGGTTTCTGAAACATCCGGGGCTTAGCCCAGAGGGAAATGGCAAATGCGTGTGCCTAGTATGCTTTATTGCGCATGCAAAAATTTTCATAATGCTTCACCTAAATAAACAAAATACGCAGTTTATTATAGCTTTAAATAACTACCTGACTGCTGTGCTGCTTATCCCCAGACATCTAAAGTTCCATTCAAGTTATTTCAGAGTAAAATGAATACAAGTGAGACAGACCTTACATTACCTATATGGATCTGACTGGGGGTAGGATAGGTTAATTCACTTGAGGTGGTAAACAGTCTGGTTATGTTTTTAAACCCTTTATTCTCTTGCCAGAAGGACTATCTAGAAGGACTAGGCTACTTTATTTTGAGATGCCCCTGGAATCCCCATGTTTTTTTTTCTAGTGTAAAGCACACGGACATCCAACAAATAACTAACTACCTGCCGTTTTCTGCTGTCTGCTGTAACCTTGTATAGGCTGTGGCGGTAAATCTGACAGCGGTGCTTTCAGAGACACTCGGAAATTCTCGGAGATTTTGTTGCTCTGTTGTCGTGCGGTAAACGAGGGGCGTTCAAGGACCGTCGGAAAGTTGAATTTATTTTTGATTTTATAAAAAAAAAAAAAAAAAAATTATATTCGGGGCTAATTAAATAATATCCAGCCTAGAATAAAACAGCCTAGTGACGCCACATCAAGTACTTGGTAAATGAGTTAGACTTCCATCAGCCATCTGTTCTGTTTATGCAATGCTAATAAGCTAAATGTTAGCTCACTGGAATTCAGGTTTCATGTAGACCTGGTAAACATGAAATCTGCTAAACATCAGAATGTCAGCCTTGTCATTATATGAGCAAATTGATTTAGCAATTTAGCTAAAAGCATTGCAGCTCAGTAGAGTCTTACAGACCTTGGTTTAACATGAAGACACTTAATATCAACCCAAATCAATTTTGCAGAAGGCAGTCAATAACATTTCAGTTCTTTTCAAATGAAACATATCTATTTTTATAAGAGTAATTTCTAATGGCAGCTCAAACTGTAAAAGGTTAAAGGGTCTTCTAGGTTGTCCAAAAAAAAAGCATGCAAATACTGAGAATAAAAATAAAAATAAATCAATGTGATAGGGTTAAATAAAAAGGTAAATGAAAGAGAGGCGAGGCTGATCACGCATTAATGATAGTGTTTACTCCATTTTTGCTTTGACTCAGCATGTGCACCAATTTCAAAAGGATTTGTTTGGTGAAAAAAATAGAGCAAAATATGTCAAATCCCCCTCTTCCACTCCAACCATCTCTAGATCTAAACTACTGTGAACAGTACAGTAAAATGATTGTACTTAAATCGTGTTTCAGAAAAGCATAGCAATTATCCCATGTGTTTATGTCCAACAGTACTGAATTTTTAGGTTTTGATTGCCCCCCTGTCCAGTGTAATCAGGGTTTAGGGTTATCACTGAGAAAACAAAGGTGCAGTTTGGCGTCGAGGTTTCCTTTCGATTAAAGACACTGGCCATTTCAGTGTAGGCCTAATTGTTTCACAATCCAATATCATTCTGTCCAAATCCATTCGTTTAACCCCTATTAAGGCTGTTAAGGCCACTGCAAGGCTTTAAAAGCACTAAGTAAATGAAAAACAATAAAAGGAAGGCATTATATGCAATCAATAAAAGACCGAAAAAAGACTAATAATATATTTTAACAAAATAGTGCCACATTTTCAACCTTTAATTTTGAGAAGGACTCTCCAGATTGTCTTACTTATTGTTATTTGCTTATTCTCTGTCTTAATTCAACACGATGCACATTGTTCTTTATAGAGCGAGAGAGGTTTCCTTCAGCCCACAGCACTGAGGTGGGCGAGCTCACAAACCTAAAGTTTGGCACACAATTGCCACTAAATGTCATTTTACACATGTGAAACCTTGTAAAAGTGTTCGTAGACTATGTTTTGGATGGGGGGGGGGGGGGGGGGATCGGTTGAGTAGTGTTGAGCCTAACTGTGGGAGAGATGGAGCATCTGTGTGAAACGCGTCGCGCTGCGTCACTGCTCTCCAAAGCTCGGCACGGACGATGTGGTTCACCGGCGTGGCCATCGCTTCAGTTTACGGTGTAATCATCGTGTTTGGACTTATAGGCAACATCACTCTCATCAAGACGTTTTGTTCCGCCAAATCCATCCGCAATGTGCCAAATCTGTTCATGTCAAGTCTGGCTTTGGGGGACGTTTTACTGCTGGTGACCTGCGCTCCGGTGGACGCCAGCCGCTACCTGTCAGAAGAGTGGCTGTTCGGGAGAGTGGGCTGTAAAGTCATCCCCTTCATTCAACTCACTTCTGTTGGGGTGTCTGTGTTTACCCTTACGGCCCTCTCTGCTGACAGGTAGGATTCTGATTTTATTGTTATGTCCATCCAATGTAACCTATAAATAGTTTAATTTAATACAACTTCATCAAGGTAATGATTACTATCGCTGACAGATTATTCATATTTCCATTTTTTGTCACCATAAAGATGGTTACAGGCCATGATTTTTGTTAAAACCTTCAGTTTTATCATTATGGAAAACACACATTTAACACACACATGTATTGATCAGGGTTGCATTACGCACGACTGAGCAGTGAGCTTCTGTTTCGGTGTTGAAGCAGGCAAAACCATGAAGGTAATCTGTTGCGTCAGAAATAATCACTAATTCATTTCTAGAAAAAATAAAGATTTGAAATTCTGAATCATCACATTGAGTGGACTTTTGCCTATTCAGCAAAGAAAAGAAAAATCCCTGTCACAATCTGAATAAAATGCATAAATGTTTTATTTGATTGCTTGGCAATTAGTGTGGAAAACCGAAAAAGTGTCGCTGTGGGTCTTTAATGTCTGAGTGTACTTAAAAGATGTGGAAAACCTGAGCGAGAATAAAAGATTAGGCTACCTCAATCACCCATACACAGTCCCACAAATGTGGCTGACCCTTTTTTTATGAGCATGTATATTTTAACAGCAGGCTGCTTTTAAATTTTGTGTTTATAGAGGATGTCCCTTCACTTTAACTCTGAATAAAACATTTTTACTGTTAATTTGCACCTCCAAACTATTCTTAGACGGTTGTTGGACAGTTCCACCTGTTATTATTGCCTGAATCAGGACTTTGGTACACAAACTAGTTAATGATGTCACATGTCAATCAAGCAAATACCATCATAAATAAATGTAATTGTAAGGTTGTAAGTCTTACAATTGATATGCACAGTGAAGTTGCAGATATTGTCAGTGTTAGTCCAGTAACAGTTGGACCTCTGCCCCCCCCCCCCGCCCCACCCCCTCCCTTTCTCCACTGATGTCAAATCAGTGAAGTCAACAGTTTGATGGCCACTGGAATAAAAGATCTTCTGTGACACACAGTCGATTACCTTAGGGGTATAGGTCTTTGTTGAAGAAGCTCCTCCTCTTCACCAGCATGTCTATAACAGGGTGTGGAAGACTCTCTTTAGGATGCTGCTCAACTTAGAAAGGCCATTGTTTTCATTCTTTGTTAGCTGTCTCCCAGCTACTGGCATTAGTTTATATGTTTATTTATAATAGCTTACAGCAGTTTACTTGTCATGAAGAGTCCCACTCAGCATATAAAAACAGTCTAAGTGTTTGTTTGATATTGTCAGTTTGTGCCCCAGCTAAATAAAGCTACATTTTAAATCAAAGATTTAGGTTTCTGCATGAAGGACTGGCAATCTCTCATGTTTTATGTTTTTTACATGTTGTTGGGGCCGCAAGGCAAACTATTTGTATTGTAACCTTGCTTTATTTGAAACGACTGTGGGGGACCATGGGATTTTTTTGTTGGGTGAGAAAATTATATATAGTCATGCTGAAACTGAAGATTCAAAGTGCAAATCACATATATTAAAATGATCATTTGTCAGGTCTTGGGTTGATGATAAATTAAGGTTGCGGATTTCCAGATAGTGTACAATCCAATCCTTACAGGTTGTAATGCAGCACAAGTTGCCAGGTACACCTGCTTCACGTTGTGGAATGAGGATAGAAGGGGTGAGCTACAGGTCTTGGAGGTTGAACTTTTATTTGGTTGGAAAGCTTCTCAGTGTACATTGGCAATTAATAATTATAATTGGAAGCTAAAGGTCCAACATGTGGGAGAGAGTTGATGCATTAGAGGTGAGAAAGCTGCTGGAGAGGTGAGTGTTAATGTGCCAACAAACACCTCAAAGTCCTATGTCTGTCAGCAGCACACATGCTCCAAACCTTCTCTGCTTGATTAATACTGGTCTTTATTGTGCTTCTTAAGTTGTCTTCCTAGGAGAAGGATCACGGAGGAAGAAGCAGTCAGTTAAGAATGAATGAAAACTCGTGCCACTGCCATGCCTCAGAGAAAAACTGAGGATGTCTTGGTTTGCCATCCTTTGCTGTAACGCAGCTGAATAATTGTAAGATGAAACATATTGTAGTGGAAATTTGATGTCAGGGTCAATCAAAGACAGCTTTATTTATTTATTTATTTTCAAACACAATTAAAAGAGTTTTTCTTACTTGTGGTATCTGTCAGCACTGTTCTAGATGGACCAAAAAATTACAAAATGGTTCCTGTGGCTCAGAGGGACTAAACACCACTGACTGGAAGCTTGGTGCTTCAATACCTTCATGCAGTCACATCACATGTCATACTGTCCCTGAGCGAGACACAAAAAAAGCACTAGGGCACTAAATATGCTTTCTGTACTCTATTTACTATTTAGAAAATGCCAATAACAGTTGTCCACAGTGCTAGAAATAAAGGCATGATTGAATTTCTTTCTGGATGTGAGATATCTGGTTCCTGCTATTTGTATGATATGATAAAGAGCAAATACAGTTAATGCCTTAAAGTGGTTGTGTAAGCTGTGTCTGTAAAAACATTTGTATAATTGAAATGTATTTGTATCCTATTTACTTGCTTTATGCATGGTTTGAATGAATCCAATGGAAGTTATTTGGTGAGAGATGTATGTGAATCTGAGAGTCTTCTTAATTATTGTGATAAGCAATGTGTGATCTGAGCCAGAGCATTCTTAAGCTAAACAATAGTGGACCAAGAATTGAACCCTGGGGGTCTCCACATTACAAGTCAAAACCACAGATCATTCACTGGTGTATTTTGTGATAGCAAACATAATTAATAAATAATTTAATATATTCTATAGTTTGAAATGTATTTTCACAAGACACCAAGGTAGCTCATCCAGTGAGTGTACATTTTAAGATTGAGGAAGACTTCAAATTTAACCCAGGCCCTTTAACACAGTCTCATCGTTGTCTTTAATTTTCTTTCTTCCTATTGTGTTGAAAAATTGCGTGCACAAAAAATATTTAAAAATATGTTTTCTTGTTGTCTGTATACAGGAAACTACATTATGCAAACGCATATAAACTAATTTAGTGAGTTGAATTCTGTATCATCAGTGATCATTAAAGACAACCAGGTTTTGAAAGGGATGGAAGCTGTGCAGTGGGTTAAAGGCAGCTAACAAAAACTGAATTGTTTGTGAATATAACAATAATGGCTTTTTAATGTAATAAATCATTCCTCACTAAAGGTTGCAGAAATAATATAATATTAGTGGAAAATTGCTGCTGCTGGTAACCGAGCGTGTATTCTTATTATGCATAATACTCATTGTCTTTCTGCACAAACAATGCTAAGAACGACGTTTAGGCATAGAAACTATTTTTATTGTGTATTTAAGTTTCTTGATACCTGCCTTTCCCTGACTACTGAGCACACAATGTTACCAGATCATTTACATGTTTTTCAAGGTAATAATTCCACTTCAGCAGAGCATCCAATAGCCTTGCCATGAATTGATTGCCCTTTTCAAAAAGGTTATTTCAGATGTCTTTCTGTGAAACCTGGTAGTTCCTTTCACCACCAGGGTTAAACCCGTTCAAAGATCTTATTATTCATAACACCCTTTACATTTTCAAATTAAAATGTAATATAAACACAGAGAACCCTGATGTTAAAGTTGAGTCTTTTTTGGTTTAAAAAAGACCAACATTTATTAGGTAATGATATGAAAAGGTTCTTATTTTAGACATAAATCACTTAACTTTGTGTCTGTCTGTTTGTCTGTTTGTCTGTTTGTCTGTCTGTCTCTCTAACTAACTAACTGACTGACTAACAGGTACAGAGCCATCGTGAAGCCCTTGGACATCCAAACATCGAGAACCACCACCAGCATTGTCCTGCGGGCAGCGCTCATCTGGCTCTTCGCCCTGATCCTCGCTATCCCCGAGGCTGTTTTCTCTGACCTCCATACCTTCAACCTCACCTCCACTAATGAGAGCTTCATCACCTGTGCCCCTTATCCCCATCTTGGAGATCTGCACCCTAAGATCCACTCTATGGCCTCGTTCCTAATTTTCTATGTTATTCCCCTGCTGGTCATATCGATATACTACACCTTCATCGCCCAAAGCCTGATGAGGAGTGCCACAAACCTGCCTGTGGAGGGAAACGTGCATGCAAGGCGACAGGTCAGGGTTCAGACTCTACTTAACAAGGCCATAATGAGACTTATGAGATTTTAAGTAACCACAACCCATGCCCATCAATGAAATAAAATCTCTTGTATACATATATTCATGGTTGGCCTTTGATAAGGCAATGTGGGGGACAAAAGTCACTAAAAACATATCAACAAAAACCTTCAAACTATGCTGTTTTGGACTTATGCACATAAAATAATCGAAAAGTATTGGAAATAATTTCTAATGTTAACTTAAAAATAATGCAGATTTTGTAAATTTCATGAATTGGGGTTTGAATTGAGGGCAGTTCAGCTTTTTACAACCATGCCATTAGTTTCTTAAACCAATATGAGTGGTCACACAGCAGCTAATCTAAGATTGCTGCCAATCTACTTTCAGCTCTGGGAGTTCTGTGCAGGTCACTGATGAACTGTAATTGCAGCTTGTAGGCTGTAGTATAACATTACATTCATGGAAAACAAATGAAGTTATTAATAGTTTACATTGCATGTATATGCTATTCAGGAATCATATGGACAGCAAAGCAGTAACTCACCATTATTTGACCAATTGAAATTAATACTATTCAGATGAAACTCTGTCTGCTTGCTCTTCTGATTCTGAATCACACATCTCAGAGACACAGGCTGAGACTGTTTAAATTATCTGTTGTTTCATTGATTTGTAGAGCCAGGGAGCCTTCAATCAAAATTGGACCTGCCTTTATTTTTCGACATATTAATAACGTACCAAACTATTTAAGTGCACTCTAGGCTTTAACTATAAATTGTATTTTATGTTTCTTTTTATTGTCTTTACTTTAATGACAGAAGGATTCTCATGTTTGGTGATTTCAAGGCATGAGTATATATTATAGTTTATTGATTGATATTAATATTAAAAGCTGAAATTTTAGAGGCTTTGAATCACAATATTGAATCAAATACCCCTATGATAAATGCTCAAAAGGAAAAGACCTGCTACCTCTGGCATCAATGGTAGACGACTAAATCTTGACATTTTTTTCTTTCCACAACCAACAGGTTGAATCAAGAAAGCGCTTGGCGAAGACAGTTCTGGTGTTTGTTGGTCTCTTTGCAATTTGCTGGCTTCCCAGTCACGTCATCTACTTATACCGCTCCTACCACTACTCCCAGGTAAACAACCAACAACACTTTATAGTCCCTCTAAAGTATAAGCTTTGTTCATTGATTTGTCTGTTAGTCCAACAGGAGGCTGTAAGTGTGTAAAGAGTAACATTTTCCTCGACAAATAGATTACTCATCAAACTCTGGAGGATGGGTAGATAATAGGAGGAGGTCATGCTTAATTCAATGTTGGTCTGCGGTGTCTGATCAAATAAATGGGAACGCTTTAGGAAAAAGGAGTCTGTAATTTCTCACTGGAACATGTTGCATACATCTGGGTTTGTGCATGTAATGGAATGCTTTCAGATAAAGCTAAAGCAACAGGAGGAGAATTACAGCAAAAAAAACCCTCAATCTGTGTCTGTGCTGAGTGCATTCTTATCTGAGTGCATTCTTATCTGAGTGCATGCACATCTAATATATGAACGCCTCTATTTCTTTCCACCTTCATTGTTTTCTCAACCTCTCGCTGTCTTCCAGGTTGACACCTCCCTGATTCACTTTTTGTGCAGCGTGATTGCTCGTATCCTGGCCTTCACCAACTCCTGCCTCAACCCCTTTGCCCTTTACCTGCTGAGCAAAAGCTTCCAGAAGCAGTTCAACCAGCAGCTGTGTTGTTGCTGTTGTAACATCTATGAGCGCAGCACACAGAGTCCGACTCATTATAACACCCGCGTGACCTCTATTCGCAGCACAAATCACTCCATGGTGAGTCTGAGTGCGGTGAATGGCAAACAGGAAGAATATGAGGAGGATTATGTGTAAGAGAAGGTCTGCTTCTGCATTTGTTTGTGTGTGAGAGTGGAAAAAAACAGCATGCGTGGTTTCCGCTTTTCTTTTTGAGTTGCGTTCCTAATATATTAAGTACCGGGTAAGGTAAAGGTCAAAATAAAGACTTCTGACAAATCAGCAGAGGCTATCCTTGACAAAACCAATTACTGATCTGGTCGATTATAAGCTGCTGCTGGTAACTAAGTTACAATCTGTTCATTTGACGAAGGCATTAACTCTTGGCTCCAACCCACAGACTTTATATAAGAAGTGGATGTACATACCTGTACTTTTTTTCTTTGTTAAACCAGAATAATTCTTTAACAATGCTTTAGTTGCTATTAGAATATACTGATGAAAAAAACAAGGAACTCTTTCCATTGCATCTCTGCATTTCTACCTTATTAAATCTTATCTTCTGTTCGCAATGCTACCACGCTGCACTCCAACGGGTTTAACTGTTGATCAGTGTAGTTCAGTTTGTGACCTTGAAAACATTCTAATCAGCACCATGCACACATTAAAGCTGAGGCTCATATTATGAAAGAAAACAAAGTTTCCCTTCTCTATCTGTAAAGGTTGAAGTTTTAAAGATTTATTTTTGGGCTTTTGTGCCTTCAATGGAGAGATAGGACAGTGGACAGAGATGGAAATCAGGGAGAGAGAGTGGGGATTGACATGCAGGAAAGAGCCACAGGTTGGATTTGAACCCGGGCTGCCCGTGGTAAGGACTACAGAATCCATACATGGGATGCACACACTAACCACTGCGCCACCAGCGGCATGTAAAGGTAAAGTTGACTTAAGTTAATCAACACTGTATCCTAATCATGTTGCTAAAAACATTAATTACTTTCTACCACCAGTTCGTGGTATATAAATGACATTTCTAGGAAATGGGGTTGAGCTTTTCATGATGCAAAATAACACAATTGTATATCCTTTGTACCAAGTAGATGACAACAAATCAAGCATCCACAATCTTCGTTTCATATCACAGTAAAAACACATGAAGGCAGTGTGCTGGATTAGCTCCGTTGGCAGGGCAGGTGCCCCTTTGTACAGAGGCTACAGTCCTGGTTGCACTTGTTGCAGGTTCAATTCCTGGTCCTATCACTGTTGGTGCATGTCATCCCCCACTCTCTACCCCCATATTTCCTGTCTCTCTCAAGCGTCCTATCAAATAAAAGCAAAATAGCACTGACTTGTTGACTTGTTTGTTGGAAACTACAAGGAAAAAAATCAGAATATGCAGAGGTGGCACCTTGTACACATAGTATCAAGAAAATCCCACTTGTGACTCGAAGCGCCCCTACTTATCTACAACTTTAAGTCGGAAAAGGTTTTATTAGGTTTTTATAAGAACCCTAATAGATGATTGATTTGGAACCAACCTCAAACAGAAGTTTAAATGATTTCAAGCACAAAGTGAAATCCATGGATAAATATCTGTACGGTACCTTCCTGAGAGTTCAAATCCTACACTGGATATGGGGAATTTGTCATAGTTTAGATATGACATAAGCCAATAGATAAGCGATAAAGTCATGTGTTTTTTGGGGGGCTTCAGTGAATTATAACAATCCCCAATAGGGGACGATGTACAGTATCTAGAGAAATGAAAAGATATATTATCAAAGTGGAGACCACAGTTAGGCTTTACATAAAAACTGAAAAATAAACTCTTTAAAACTCAAGATGACGGCGCTTCAGGACTCAGGAGTCTTGCTCTTGCTCTTTTATAATGAATAACATAATGTGATTTTGCTATGATGTTGCCAAAGGCTTCAAGTTCAGTGTGTGTGCTCTGATATGTCGTTTCTGTTTATTTGTGGAGAATCTTCTGAATAGGGATTTTTTAAGATTCCACCGCCAACCTGTTTTTTTTTGCGTGTGTATACAGTAAATATTTTTTCAAATGTCATACGCTGTGCTGGCTGTGAATTTGAAGTGAAACGTTTAAATTGTAGGCTCTGATTACAGAATGTCCATTGAGCTGTGCTGTATAAAATGAACTGTGAATGTAAATGCATTTATTTAACAAAAAGCTTATTTGTAAATGATTAAATGAATGTGCAGTTATATGCAGTTTTATTGTTCATTGTATTCCTCAAGGACATTTTACAGACTCTAGGTGCTAGATGTTTTGAACATAATTGATTTCTGTTTCCAATAGAAAAAGAACAACATGAAATCGATATATAAAAGGCAAATGTGCACTGTATCATTTTCTACATAATGTTGCATGGTGAAACCTCAAGTACGTTTTGGACTATGACGTATGTTTAAAGACTGAGTTCTGGTGACTGATTGTAACCCATCTAGTTTCTGCTACCCTGTGCTCACTTGACACGATTATTGTGCTCTTGCACAAGCTGGATGTACAGCCAATGTAACACCATACACTCATTTGGTGTTTCACAGTGGGAGAGGATCATGCAGAAGGGTGGGTGTACAATTCAGTGTGGATATGGTTTGTTTTATTGTCCTGTATTCACTTTGCCATGTTTCTGTCCTGTAAGGTCTCAAGCATTCAACAGGAATGATACAAATAAAAAAAGATTAATAAATGAATTTGATCACATCTGTTAGGAGCCTTTCATTAAAGTTGTACAGGATTCTTGAAGAAAATATAAACGTCCACCAAAGCTAGAAATCTCCAGCAGAGCTTTGTAGAAAGACAAGGTTTGGATATTTAAAGGAATTCAGTATAAACCTAGATCTTGTGGGATGATTGATTACACCGTCATCCCTTGAGTTCATATGAGATTCTTCTGCTTCCTGAACCATTATTTCATAGTTCCTTCAAAAGGTCCCAGAAGAATTAACTTGTTTGGAAAGTGAACACAGCCTTGGACAGCTCATCTCGGCACATAAATGATGCTGAGAAAGTAGTTTAAGAAGAAGATAGTACAGAAATGTTGCATCATATACTTGTAAATTAAATACCGTATTTTTAAACCTAAGACTTTTTTTTCTGAACTGTCCATATACAGGTATTTCTTTAAAATTATTCAATTCAAAAAGGCATTTAGTGACATTAAGGACCATTAGATTGATAGATTGGCCATTGGCCATTTTCACATACATTACATTTTATACCGAAGTACCAATGACTTTTGAAATAAAGTCATAGCCTACGGCTTCCTGGGTTTCCAGATAAAATAATAATATATGATGCTCAGTAATGAATCCCTTAAAGTTGCCCAAATAAATTCAGCAATCAGTTAGAATTAACAACACAGTATATTGTAAACAGTGACATTCCTTGTGATATTATCATCAAAGTTTCTACAGGCTTTGACAGATGTGTCCTAGCTGTGGGTCGACATTTATGAAATAAATTATGTCCATTGCATCTTGTCACACAATTGTGATCTTGGCAGATCACAATGAAAACATCACAGTTATAAAACAGCACTGAATCATTGAGACAACACAAGACACATAATACAGAGTGACACAAAGTGGTACACCATGAAAACACACAGCCCAACACACTGTGTGTGTGTGTGTGTGTTCTTGATTTCTGTCACTCTGTATTATGTAGTGTTGTGTTGCTGTCGAGTTAATTCCGAGCTGTTTCATAACTGATGTTTTCATTGTGATTTGCCAAGTGACTGCAGTTTTGCTGAAAGCTAACACTGGTTCACTGCATCAAACATTTATGCAGTTAAAAACTTGAGTTGAGAAATGGCTGAATGCTGGGGTTTGCTGTAATATAAAAGTAGATAGGTCATTCACCTTATAGCTGATGTCCCTCTTTATTTTCCATTGTCTTTTCAGTTTTCATACAGTTCACAACAACAGTACGACTTCAGCCTTTTAGACTGACGTAAATGGAATATGGTCACTGCTTTGATATCATGAATCAATGGAAACAACTGAATTTAGGTTTTTAAATAAAACACTGACATGTGAATCATAAATCAGTAAAGGGGTGCGGGAGGACAATTCATCTGACACTCGGTGAGAGCTGTCAACACTCTAGTCTGTACAGGTTTCTTTAGTCTTTCACAGGACTGATACATTAGCCCCTTTAACACATGACAATTTCTGAAAATGTCTTCAACACCTCAGGACATTCAGACAGGCCTGGGTGGGACGTGTTCAGGGGGAAGAGTCCTCTAATGGTGAGTGCTTCTCTATTGATTTCACTGCACGATTAAAAGGGTGTTTGTACAATAAAAACACAATTAGAAAACAACATACAGGAAAGAAAGAGTCTAAAGTGGATCAAATTAGCACAAGGTAAACAACCTCATCTTTCTGTGCACTTGCTCGTGGTAAATGTTCCAGACTGTTGCGTTCAGTCTGCTTAAAGACAGTGTTGGCGAAGCGTTTGAAACAAAGTTGCAACCTGTCAATGAGCTGCTTAAAACTTTACAGGCAAGAGTGGATAAATATGAAGTGACCTTAGGATCTCTTGAATCATATGCAAACGAATCTGACAAAAGACTCTCTACACTGGAAAATGACCATAAGGCGCTTCAGAAAGAGAACGCAGTCTTGCGTCTGAAGCTGGATCAGCTCGAGAATCACTCTCGTAAATGTAATGTTCTCGTGCTGGGACTGCAGAACGGCATCAAAGTGGGTAATCTACAGAAGCGTATTGCATTCATGTGGGGAATTTCTTTTTTGCCTGGTTTCTTGTTATAACGAGATCTTTATCTCATAATAACAAGATCCTTATCTTTATCTCCTTATCCTTATATTTTTTTCTTGTAATGTACAGGGCCTTAATAGTCCCAATAAAAGAGCAGCCTTCTTAGATTTGTTAACAAGAAATCAAGTGGATATAGCTACGCTTCAGGAAACTCATCTCTTAAGAGAGGATGTCAATAAGTTAGAGAATGATCGCTACAGGGTGTCTGCTTTCTCCTCTGCTTTAAATAAAACAAAAGGGGTAATAACGTTAACACGTATAACACACTCCCGATCTCCATTATTGGTGAAGGAGGAGATGAAGAGGGTAGAGTTGCCTTTGTTAAATGTATATGTCAAGGGCGGAAAGTGGCCTTTGTTAACATATATGCACCAAATAATTATGACAACCTTTTTTTTTGAGCGGCTAAATAAAGTTCTGGCTGGTTTATCTGAATTTGAAGAGATAATTGGATCTGATATGAACACTATACTGGACCCAAAACTGGATAAATCAAGTAAAACACATTCCAATCTTCCTGCTACTAAGATATTATAGGTAGAGATACAGACCATCATGCATATAAATGTAATTTATTAATCTCTTCGTTACCCCAAAGAGCCACTAGGTGGCGATTTAATTTAACTTTGTTACAAAATCAAGATTTCTGTGAACAATTTGAATTGGAACTATTAGAATTTTTAAAGGCCAATAGACAATCAGTTAATGATGCTCAGTTTCTCTGGGATGCAGTCAAGGGTTTTATCAGAAATAATGCAATTTCATTTTTTTCAAAATTGAATAAGGAGCAGTTAAAGAAGATACATGATTTAGAAACATCACTCTCCATTCAAGAGCATAATCAGAAAATTAATTACTCTGAAGAAACTGCAAAAACTTTAACAGAGGTAAAGCTCGAGTTAAATTCTTTACAAACACAAAGAGCTGAATTTATCATACATAGAACTAGAGTTAATCATCTTTTTTATGGCAATTGTCCATAGTCGCCTGTTGGCTAATAAATTAAAAACAGAAAATGAATTTACAAATATAGCAGCAATAACATTAGAGAATGGGATCAAATCAAAAGACCCTAAGTTGATTAATCAAAGATTTTGTGACTACTACAGGCAGCTGTATACATAAGATAACAACTCTTCACCATTGGCTAGAGATAATTATATCAAGACACTTAAGCTGACTTCTCTTTCTTCAGAGGAATCCTGTGTGTTAGATTCTTTGTTGTCTCTGCATGAACTAAACAATCTTTAGCCAAAATGAATAAGGCTAGATCACCAGGAATTGATGGCATTCATCCTGAGGTATACTTGAAATTCTGGAGTATCCTAGGTCCCCAAATGTTTAATACTTCGATCCAGAAAGGATATTTTGGAAGAGATGTAAATACAGCCCTAGTAACACTACTCTTAAAAAAAGACAAGGATCCCAGTAACTGTGCCAGCTACCGCACTCTGTCTTTATTAAATGCAGATATGAAACTATTTTCTAAGGAGCTCTCAACTAGTCTTGAGAAATACTTGCCTAAATTGATACATCCTGACCAAAGTGGATTCGTCAAAAAGCGTCTATCGGCTGACAACATACGGCGTCTATTAAATATTCTAGAGTATTCTGATCATCTTTTATCTTCAGCCATACTGTCAGTCGATGCAGAAAAAGCTTTTGACCGCCTTGAATGGCCCTTTTTATGGTGTGTACTAAAGCGTATGTGTTTTGGCTTAAATTTTATCAACATGGTTAAAACAATATATGCAAACCCCTCTGCAAGTGTAGTCACTGGCAATATTTGTTCTTCTCCCTTCAAAATAAGTCGAAGCAGTCGTCAAGGTGATCCAATCTCTTCAATGTTGTTTATTTTGTCACTTGAGCCATTGGCACAGTCTATTAGGATATCACAAAACATCACACCAATAATACTTAAATCTACCAAGCATCATATATCACTCTTTGCTGATGACATCCTCTTATTTTTCTCTGATATAAAGAATTCACTTCCACATATACTTAATATCTTCGAAAAGTATAGTTTTGTCTCTAGTTTTAAAATAAACTAGACCAAGTCTGCGCTTCTATAAATTGCACGAATGTGCACATTTCAATATACCAGTGGTCTCTCAGTTTAAATACTTAGGAATACACATATTTCCATGCCTTAAAAAAGACTGTTCATAAGAATTATGCCAGCACAACATGCTTAAAAATGATATGGAGAGATGGCATAACTTACCAATTTTTCTCTCAGGCAGAATCTCAATAATTAAAATGAATGTACTTCCAAGGTTAAATTTCTGTAGTTACATCTTACCCCTAGCACCTCCTCCAAAGTATTGGGATAAAATACACAGCATCATCACAAGATTTTTATGGAAAGGAAGACGTCCTAAAATAAAACTTGCTAATTTACAAAGAAAGAAGGAGTTAGGAGGACTTTCAGTCCCTAACTTTAAATTGTATTTTCAGGCACTCTCCCTTCGTCTCATTATAAATTGGTTTACATTTCCATACCATGGATTAAAATTGAGAGGGACCTGGTAGATCCAGCTGCGTTGAGAGACATTTTGTTTACTCAGCTCTCAATTAGTAAATGCAAAAGTAAGTACGGTGAAATAATAAGTTATGCAATTGAAAATCTGAAAAAAATTGAAAAGTTATATAAATGGAAAATTAAATGGTATGCCAGCACACCATTATTCTATAACAGCTCTCTGAGGTCTGGAGGATTTTTCAAATCAGTGGTCTGAGTCAGGAATACATTGTCTGGGTGACATCATAGGTACGTCTGGATTAAGAAGCTTTCAGGATTTAAAAGAAAAGTGTAAATTGTCAACCAATACTTTCTTTTTGTTTTTACAACTACATTCTGCCATACGTGCTGTTAATATTCCGGTTGACCAGCCACCTGTTGTTCATCCAGTCATGATACTTATTAAGAAACTTTTACTTCTACCCAAAGGAGAATGTCTCCCTGATTTATAATACCTTCTTGGAAAAAATACAAACTCCTTTAGCAATTGTATCAAAATGTAACAAAGACTGCTCTGAGTCATCTATAAACTGGGCAAATGTTTGGAGAAATACATCGCATTCATCACAAAATCTAAATTATAAATTAACAAACTTGTATTTCATTTATCAAACCGATTGAACACCTATACGGCGTTACAGAATGCATATTGATAGTTCCCCCCACTTCTCCTTTTGAGAGTTAAATCAAATAGGGACATTCCTACATATTTTGTGGGAGTGTTCACCTGTTCAAAAGTTTTGGATGCAAATTACAGAAGTCCTGACTGAAAAACTATGAAAACTCCAGGTTTGTAGGGTTGTGTTGTCATACTCTTCTTTTTGATTTTATTTGCATTGTTATTATGACAATGAAATGGATGTATGAATTACTACCAAATGAATTTATTGGATGATATACACCTGTCAAGGCTGTCAAAATAAATAAAAAGTTGTTTAAAAAAAAAGAAGAAAAAAAAAAGACAATGTTGGGAAATTTTGAGGAGTGTAGTGCTTTAACTTTTGGTCACCTTGGAGACAAAGAAAACAAAGTCATGATGTGCAGGTCCAGTGTGACAATGTGAGAAATCTGCAACAGATCTTTTCACTGTGAGTAGGAGTCATTTTTAAACAGCTGCTTCAAGAATTATACACATATGTGAATATACACGAAAGTTTCAATTGGTCTGGGCCTGTTTGTTGTTTCCCTTGGTTCAGAGAATGATGGAAATTGAACGTCTTCTGCCTTAACATGCTGAATTCACAGTGTAAGGACTTTACAGTAATGATACCATCAGCTATTTCTGCAAATATAGAGTATATACTCCCAGGCTAATACTTAAGTTTATGGTAACTAAAATTAGGGACAATTGAAAGTGGAACCTGATAAATAGAAACCCTTTGACAGAGACAGTGAAAATGCAGGGAGGTAAAACAAGATTGAACCTCGGGCGGGCGATCACTCGAAGGAGAGAGCACTTCATTTGAACGGTTGACATGACTGTCACAGAAATGACATTACATGAATAAAAATATGAACATAGGTGGGGTTTATTTTTGTATAATCTATGCAAGCTCATTATCATTAGCCTGATAGATGGGCTATCTCCATATTAAGCCTAAATCTTTTATTCCATAAACATTTTCTGAATAAAAAAGCTTAACTGGGAAAGAGGGATTTTTCAGGGGGTTTACCCTCGGTTGAACATTTGCAGAATGAAACATATTTGTCACACTACTCTGTTAAAGTGAGAAGAAAAAATACTCGATCCTCGGTTCCCAACAATGAGGATGTCTGGGCCCAGAGATCTCGGTCTGTTCTGAGGATGTCAAATTTCGATGTGCACAAATCTACTAAAATCATGATAACACACTAACTGGGTTGTTTGTGTAAAGAACCTCTGGTAAGAACAATTGTGTGTCTGCATATTCTGTAGATATTTTATCAATGAAAACAATTACAACTGACGTTGATGGTTTTTGACAGCTATGTAGGCCTATCACCTTTTCCCCCCATTGTGGATCCTAACGGAGCTTTGCTTTCTTTCTTTTTTTAGACACAATCAGAGGGGGCTCAGAGGTAAAAAGGTTCTAGTACAGGTTCTGTACTCGATATTTGAAGCAATGCAAACTTATTAAGGGAAGAACAACACCAAACGTAAGTGATAGAGAATCATTTGTTTTAAAGGAATGACACCCAATGTAAAAATAAAAGTTGCTTGCCACATGTTGGTAATAGATTTGTCACTTAGAGAAAATTCACATCTTTGAAGATCAAATTAAAGATGAAAATCTCAGTCTGTACTCCTATTTTTCAACATGCACTTTGCTTGTTTACTTTATGAATTATGTGTTTAATATCATTTTAATTTAATCTAAATCATTGTAATTTAATGATTAATTATTTTGTGTAATTCTTATTTCTATGTTGTAATGTTATTTGTTAAGGATGAAACTGTGAGGAATAGTGAGAAAACTGGAGTATACACACTGTGCAGCTAGGGGGAGACAGAACTCCTTGTAACTCCAGGTCTGTGTGGTATTTTGGATCAAAAGATAATAAGCAGTTTTTAATGTTTTTTTTGGTCATGTTCAATAAATAAGGTTAAAAGAATAATCTCAAGAAAGGTCTATAAGCTGACATTGTGGTGAAGCTTTCTGGTAACAGTCTGTATCACTGTGTTGCTGAGCAGCAGAACCTTTAATTGTATCACACCCAAAGGAGAGCTTGTTTTAGTAGCAGACTAAAACAAGCTCTCCTGTAGTTTTGAGACTTGATGACAGAAACACATTTTGTACCTTGAAAACAAAAACAAAATTCTGATGCCGACAAAAGAGGGGAAACAATCTACCCTTTAATGTTTTCTTATTATTGATCATGAGAACGGCCTGAAATACAAAGTAACCACATTGGATATCAATACCATCACCAAGCAACAACAGCAAATGAACCACACTTACCAATAATGCTCCTATTTCATGACAAGCCGTGTATTTACGGTCATCTCTGGACTCAAAAAAAACTGCTTTATCCCTGCAGCAGGTCTTTAAAAATCCAATAGAGAACACAGCGGCTGGAAGCTCTTATACTTTACATATGAAATACAAAGCATACAGTAGAGATTCTTGGATTTTCTCATCTATTTCACCATCTGGCAAATAATTATTCACAATGAAGCACATCTCATGTCAGCAAACAGCTGCTTGTACAGTTTCTATCAAAGGATATGTAAAGGTATATTTTCTTCATTGAATCCAATAAGAATGTAATGTATGTGGCCTTTTGACAATAATCAACAGGAGAAAAATAAATAAATAAATGTCAAGCTGAAAAAAGGAAGACATTCTGCTGTATAGTATAAAGCCAAGACGTTTTTTGCTACAGTACTGTCTGTATTTATGCTAGAGTCAAGTGAATACACCTTTGACATTGGACAAATCCTTGAGTTTTTGTAGATATGTATCTATCAGCTGTGCACATGTGTGCAAAGAAAATGTCTTATTCTTCTTTACAGAGAAGCTAAGAAGAATAAAAATACTTGCAGCTGCACAAGGACTTTCATAGTGTTGTTTTGAAGGCTTTCCTCTTTGTCACGATGCCGGAGATGAACGTCTTGCCGGAAAATAAATCGCCCTCCAAATGTCAGGTTTCTTGCCAGCTGGATTTACATTTTCCTCTATTGATTCTTTCCTGTTAGTGCATTTACTTCCCCCCTCCACACTCACAACACGCCCTGCAGATATAATTGTATTTATACTGCAATTCATCAAAATCATTGACAACTCACAGATGATCTTAATTCTGGGTATGGCTTTAAAAAGATTGTTCCACCAGTGATGATGATTTCTTAGAAAAGGGATAAATGCTTGGACAAACAAGTGTTTTGTGAAATCGATTCAAGTCACTCTGTAAAACTCTGCTTTTGTTTTTCAAACAAAGATGGGGTTTTTCCTGTTAAATCACAAACAAAAATCTCAGTTCGTCCTTTCCATTTAATGTTGTAAAACTAAACAACTTCAAAAGACGGGTCAATCTTTTTTTATAGACTTTGTATTGAAATGAGATCTGAGGAGCAGGATCATCAGGTCACAGCGCCCTCACAGCCTGTCAGTCGCTACACAATTATTAGTTCTGGGTATTGTTCACTGAACAAATGATGACAAAATACAAACAGCTCATGTTGCCCCTTAATGCTTTTTCAAATCTTAATTTGTGTTCTCTGCAGCAGGATACAAATGGGACCAGGAACAAAACAAGAAAAAAATAATGTTGGTGTTTGTTTGTTTTTGACTAATTCATAAATACAAGGCAAATTCAAATGATATAAAAATAATCTTTAATATAAACTACAAATTCAGTGCACAAAGAACAAATGTACAAATCATAAAATGTTTCAAATTGATTGGAACAAAAAGCAGTCATGTTAAAAAAAAAATCAATTAACATTGTCGTGTGAGTTAATTAAGGTAATTTTAATTAGTTAAAGCGATCAACATAAATAGGACTGTAAATAAATTATACGTTTTTTTCTCTGCCTTCAAACACACAAACATCCTTTGCGAGCAGGTTGTCGAAATGTATTTCCCCGGTGGACTTCTACTTGGGCCATCTGCATCTGTGAACAAAAACATGATCATTAAAACCAAGCATGCATGAAACCAGAAGGACTATATATCACTTTGACTTTGCCCTTTCACTTGATAAACATGAACTCAGCGGAAGTGATCACTTTGTTTCACTTCTTCCCTGAATCCTTTGATTTATCATCCTGACCATTTCACCTATTCCCAGCATCTTTTTCATATATTCTTTTCATTGTTTTTAACAAATGCCTTATTATATTAAAGCTCTACCTGCAGGAGTTGTGATCAAAACGCTGATGCCTGTGGGCGCAGATGGAAGAGTTGAGATGACAGCGATGGATTGGTCTTGTCTGGGTGGTTGGCGCAGTTCTAGGAAGACAGTCACAGCGATCGACGTCGATCTCACAGTCGGGCATCCAGGAGCCGAGTGGAATCTCTGATAAGGAGGTAATGATTGGGCATGTGAGTTACAAAAAAGTACAAAAGGATGGGTGCTGATACTTAACAGATGTAATGTTCTCCTTGTTCAACATCTGAGTTTATTGTGTTAGAGCCATATCGTGTTATCTGACACCTTCACTATTAATAATGAAGCTCTTACCTCAAAAGTTCAGTCAGAGAAATTGTTTAATTATGCTTGTAGATACAGGTCCTCCATGAAAAACTTTGGCAGTTTATGTCCACAACAATTTGACCTTCCAGTATCTTACAAGGATAGGATAGGAAAGGATATCTAACAATGATACCCTTTTTAAAAAACCACAGGCGGAAATTACTTTTCAGTCTGTCATTGAGACATGCTACACAGACATGTGCACAAACAAGATCCCATGATCATGCACTAATCTGGAGAGATGTCAGTGAGGGGCTGCACATAAAAGACCGCCTGAGCCGTTGAAGGTTCAGTGCTGAAAGTCACTTCTGAAATGCTCAGGAGGTGAACTGACATCTCTCCAACTACCAGGCCATTTCGAGACTCTGCAACATGACTTGAACCAGCGACCCCACAGTTCCCAACCCAAGTCCCTACAGACTGAGCTACTGCCGCCCAGTGTCAGTGTGCAATACATAAAACAATAAATTAAAAGAACACCCGCCATGATGTTTTATGCAATAAATGTTTTTATATGGGGCCATTCTACTTTTTGCACACACATGATTACACACCTGGTGCACTGGAAGGGTAGGGTATGCATCTGTCTGTTGAACAATCCCAAATCAACCCACTGGCACAAAGTCTCCTCAAGTCCTCTGCGTCTGACAGCTGGCTCATTGGAGAGCAGCTGCAAACAAGCCAGGGGGATTAGAACTGAAATCAAACATCACTTCACACTCGTTTGAAAAATATGATTGCATAAGATTTCTCAACTCACCCGCTGCTGCTGCCAGGTTGAGCATTACGGCGTATTATGGCGGGCTCCATGCATCTGCACTCTGTGTGATTAGCTACTTTTATTAGCACTGGTTCTGGTACAAACTTAAATGGAATTACACTAAGGACCTGAAATACACAAACAGATATTGTTTTAACACAGATGTAAAACTAATGTAGCGGTTGCAAAACTACAACCCTCAGATAAAAGTAACATGAAAGGGTCTGCTGAGATCTGGCACTCACAGTTTTATTCACATATTCAATCGTTGTGTTTCTGCAGGTGACACCCTCTTGGTTGCAGCAGCCACTGCACCTATCAGTAGGAAACAAATTCACATCTGGGTAAATTGATGTGCATGCAAAAGAACTTATAAACAGCTGGGGTAAACAGAGCATACGATAAGATGTTGTAGCTGACTCTGAGGAGTTCAGGCTCTTCCTGGTTATGGGAGTTTTCTAAGATCATCACTGGTGAAAAGTCAACAACAACAACAAAACTACGCTTACAGAAATATTAAATGATTTCTAAAATCATCCAGATTAAATAAAGAAGACTTAGTGGAAGGTAACAGGTCAACATTATAGGGAAAACATTTTTTTCGCTGAGATGAACCAGGGACGGAAAGCTTAGCTTAGCACAAATAGTGTAAACAGGAAAACACCTCATCTGACTTTGTTTTAAGGGGACAGATCCTCTTAACATCTCTAACACCCCTTAATGAACATGCTAGTGTTTTACTGAGTATAGTTAGAAATATCCAGCTAAGCTAAGCTAACCAGCTGCTGGTGGTAGCTGTATATCCCGTAAAGAAAATTAAAGGGATTTATGACCGCATATTAAACACAACTTAAGTCTTCAATGGGCACTTTCTTGTTTGGGGCCCTCCCATCTGCAGGTTTGTAGAGGTCACATATGGTCATTGTTAACAGTGAATCCATGTGATCAGTTATTCAACATGACTGAATACTTTTTGACATCATACTGCAGTGAAGTTTGTTGTTAATTTGAGAAGGGATTGTGTTATAGCACTGAGCTTGGTGAACTATGTTTTATTTGGTCATGTGGTTACAAACCTGTAGACGGACACACAGGGGGGCTTGAAGAACATTGAGGGGTCTGTGCCCAGCTCCTTGGCCACATCGACACAGGTTTCCCTCGGCATGCACTGAGTCCTCTGCCACTCTTCATCTATGGCTGAATGGGAAAATCACATTGTCATACCCAGCACACATACACGTTATCATGGAACATATTGTATGTTTTATCCAACCTTTTAGTATCTCCAGGCTGTAAGACTCAGCAGCGTATCGTGTGGAGCGGTGTGAGCCGGCTGAAGGTTGGGAGGAGAGGTTCTCCGGCTGCTGCAGACTCAGACGACACTTCCATAACTTCCAGTCGGGAAAGTCTGCGAGCATCAGCAGTTCGTCCAAGCTGGAGGCTGAGCGTACCTTCCTCTCCCACTGCTTCATTACCTGCAAAAATATCGGAAGGGTTTTCATGAAGGCAAGGCATGAGCACAATCACAGCTTCTCTGATATCAAGTGAATTTGAATATTACATGGCTACTTATATTATTGAAGCATATTGAAGATAATGCACTGCTTTGTCAATAATCAAGGAAAACATAATATTGCATCAGAAGACCAAAGAAACTTCTTGGATTCCCCAAGAGTTGCAATGTCTGTGATTCATCCAGTCCAGCACTTTGGGCGAGAATATTGCAACTGCTGTTGGACAGATTGCCATGAACTTTCCTGAGGATCAGTATGATCCTAAGGCCTAATCTTACATGTTTCCATCCACTTAGTTTTCTCTCAAGCAAACCCATTAAGCTGACATGTGCAGTTTAGACATCAATGTTTCAAACACTGTCAAGATTATCATAAAATTTTGAATGGACGATTATGTTTTCTACATGAATGATTTTGGTGATTACTTGATTTTATCTCACCACCATGGGTGGTTAGTTCTGAGTGAAATATCTAAATAGATGGATTTGAAATCATTTTTTAAGGATCTCTAAAGTATAAACTCTAATGACTGTGATATTTGGTTTTACAACCCTCTAGGCAGAATATTAACTTTTTTAATACTTGTGTTTTGGCAGATACCAGGAAACCGAAAAATGTTTCCATAATCCTCATTTTAAATGTGTATGTAAGAATAGCTAATTAGAAAAAGTCAGCATGGTAACATGCAATACCACCATTATTTATTCTTAACTCTATTTGTAGTCAACAGAAAACAGAATACTTAAATTTAAACAGGAAAATTTGATTTTAGACACTCAATCATTTTTCAAGATCGCTGCAGGTACAGAGTTATAGGCAGAGGCGCTGCTTGTCAACAGGCAAGACAGGCAACTGCTTGGGGCGCCAGGCCAGTAAGGGGCATTTGATTGCTGACAAACTGAAAACCGCAGCAGTAGCTCAACATGTGCAAATTATGGAATGACAGTAGGAAACCTCCCTAATGGGGCCCCATCTGACAACACTCACTCTCATTGCCATGCTTAGCATCTCATGTATTATTACTGTGAAAACCAAAGTTAGTCAGGGAAAGTCAAAGAAAGCGGCGTCAGGACATTGGCCGAAATAACGGTGGTTGGAGGGGCCCCAAATTAATTTTGCCTTGGTCCCCAACAGACTCTAGAATCGCCACTGGTTATAGGCTACATAAGTTAGACAACTTTCATGATTAAAACTTAACTTTTAGAATTCATACAAAAAAACATAGGGAAAATGTTGTGTACTATTTAAAGAATAAAGAATGATAGCATTGTAAATTCATTATTAGTATTGTTGTGTTTGTACTGCCTAAGTTTAGCCCAACGAAGCTGTTATCATGTCTATGGAGTTGTAAGAAACTATACATGTAAAATATAGTTTACTGAAAGTGCTAAATTGAAATGAATTGTAGCGACACCACGTGCATCATTTCCTGCCAACGTGCCTAACACTGAGGCTGGTCTGATATGAGGCATGCTGTGGAGTGACTTGGAGCACTTAGCTTGATGTCACACCTATTAGTCAGAGTGTGATTATCAACAGCTGCTGCAGCAAATTTGTGCATCTGCTCCAGTCTGCCTGTATACCTTCCTGTCTCTAAAGACTGCTCATTGAGAAGTCTCACGGCTCTGCTACCAAATCAGTCTTTATATAAGTGAGCATGAAGACATGCAACTGGATTTAAGAGAAGGTACAGTAAGCTGTGCCATCCACTTCAAGACATGAACTGCATGTACACATGCACAGACATACTGGAACAAAGTTTAAAGTATCAGATTATGTCTGGCAGCTCTCCATTAAGAAGAGAGGAGCTGTGATTTAAGGCTGGGAGAAAACTGTAAAGCCACCTGTCATGCTACCACAGTAGGGCAAAGTTCCCATGATGACATAAACCAGAACAAAGTAGAAGCAGAATGGAACCCCATGCTGAAAAAAAAAGCATCAGGTTTGTCTTTTATAACATGAGATTTTTTTTTTATTATATCTAGTGTGGAAGATTTTCTGTGTTTTGTTTTAGTTTTAACTTGTTGAAAATGTACTAAGAATTTAAGGATACAGGGTTGGGACCTATCCAAGCATGAGAGCTGAGAAGAGAGGAGTTCAAATTAAAAGGCTCTTTTATTTAAGGTCTTTAAAGCAGGCAGGTTAGAAAGGAGGGTCTTGGAAGTTTGCACTTGTCTGCACAATGTTTGCTTCATATCCTCTGGACAATGGTAACTATCTGAGCTCTCTGATGTGTTCAGTGTGTTTCAGAACAGAGGGTGGGGCAAGTTGGCTGGGAAACTGCTTCCACTTAAATCTAAGAAACAACAACAGAAAATAAGGAGGTTTCCCCGTCATTATTTCTAACGGGACGGATCCACTAATGGGAAACAGAGGGGGAGAGCGCCTGACAGAGGGATGACAGGAATTGTAAGGGAAGGTAGAGATGGGGAGGTCAACTACTGAAGAATAAAGGAGATGAATGACAGCTGGATAAAGAAAATCAATTTTAGTATGACAGGAGAGATTAGGCTGAAATGGTTATCTGACGCAGATACAAAGTTGTGTAGTTCCTCTTTTAGTCACATGCAATTGGAAACAGGATTTTAGTTTCAGTGAACTGAACAGGGCACGTGTGAGCATGCAGCACTGGCAGCAACGAGAGTTTATAATATGAGAGAAGACAAGAAAAAAGTTACATAATAGAGAAAAAAAATCAGGCCCTGAATCAGCCAATAATTAAAGAAATGCAGTATTTTAATTTCTAGCAATGATACAATAAATCCAAGGGTTTTTTTAGCACCAAAAAAAAAAATCTCTTTACATTAGATAGAAAAAGCAGTGACTTGAAATAGTTTTTTTTGGCATTGCTACTTGTATATTACATTTTAATATCACACTGAATGCTTCACGTCACTTACCCTGCTTCCTGCCTCTCTATGCATGCTGTATCCAACGTGTATCCAGCTCAGCTCCACCACCAGAGTGACCAAGCAGGAGAGTCTGCACAGAGCCCCGCTCATCTTCATCTTCATCCCTTGGCTCCGCTCTCTTCTTCTGAGAAACCCTCAACAGTACAAGAGCAGTACAAGGCTGACTCAGTTTCCCAGACCAGCTGAGTGCCTCAGACCACACACACACACACTGAGATTCTCAGCGCCGGTATGTGCAACACAAACTCTTGATCTTACAGCTGCACTGTAGAAAGTGTGTGTGTGTGTGTGTGTGTGTGTCTAAGCCAGACGTAACCTGTCACGGAGACCCAGACACGCCAAATGGAGGAGGCTTTAAAACATGCACCTCTTACTGCAGAAGCTTTGATGCAGAGAGCAGGGTGTCCAGAAGCTTGAAATGAAACAAGACAAAACTTTCCTTTTAAATTGTCTCAACCGACACACTGTCTCTTCTGTCCAAACTGATTGAAGGCCTTTGAGATATTTCAGAGCCTCTAGCTGGAAAATCTAAACAAACTGTTCACACTCTTTTCTTCTTTTCCCACTTCCTGAAACTCTGCTGACTTCTGTCTTCCTGCTAATTTCAGAGGTCACAATATACCAGCATTTAAGTATAACGTCCTCTCTGCCAGTCGTCAGTTCTCTCTTGTAAATCCTTGTAGAAAAAAAAAAACCCACAGGTTTAAAAGTAGCCGCACAATTTCTTCCTCTTAGATGTGGGCGAACACTAAAAAAGCTTTGAGAAGCTTAGTTTGTCTGTGTTGGTGTCAGCCCTGCTGGTCCCGCTGCCTTTTTATTTGCTTGTGTGTTCCCCGTCTTCCTCTTTAAATGTCTGTCTGACAAGTGATCAAGTCCACTTAAATCCCTGATCAGTGTCTGTAGCCTCTGGACTTGTCGAAACGCACACAGCCAAAGAGCAGTAACATGTGTTCTAAATGTGATCCAGACCTCTGTTAAGTGTGAGGGGAAACAAGATGCCAGCACCACCCCCACTTGCCCATCCGCTGCACATTTGACTTAGGATATGAGAAAACAATGAAATACAATTTGCAGGAACAATTTTCACATTTGTATACAAATACAAAATCAGTAGCTTGGGCCTTTTTTTTTCAGGCAGCCTTAATGATGTTTTAATAATCATATTATAACCTTGCATAATTTCTGTTTCTTTACAGCAGGTATATTTAGTTTAGCATCAGCTGAAGAAATAAGGCTAATGTTGAAAACAGTGCACAGATGAGTTTCATACATGGAAACATTTCAAAACCATACTTACACTTACTTAAAATGAGCTTATTTACCTCCACTACAACAAAGTGTGCAAACAATTGCCCATCATTCCAGCTTTGCTACAGTGTACAAGGGAAAATGTAGTAAAGTTTGAACTTAACAAGGGGCGTGGAGAGCAGCAAGAATCACATTCTCCCTAATATCTATATCTTACAAGGGAGAGGGAGGTAATGTGTTACCACAAAGCACTTAAACATGGAACAAGTTGTAATACATGATGGAAAGTACGAGATGTCCTGAAAACACATATTCAGACCGAGCCCTTCAAATAAAAAAGTTAAGAGAAAAAAAAATATTTTTAAATATTCTTCTTACAAGTAAGGCAAACTTTTCACCAACAATCAGTGCAATATGTAGTGTTCAGAGAGAATCTCTGATCTTTGACCTCCAGTTTACAGCTCTCTCAAAGCCATTTGTGCCTGTACTGTAGTCCCTGATAGCCTGTCTGATCTCTTCTTCTGTGGTCATTACAAATGGACCTGGAGGGAGGGAGACAAAATAGAAAAGTCATACATCATTTTACATTTCTTAAGTTCTGTTTTGAGACTTTTGAAATGCATCAAGGATTGAAGGCCGAAAAAGAGGGAAAATAAATAAATAAATCACATACCGTGCTGTACCACAGGCTCTTTGATTGGTTCTCCAGCAATCAGTACAAAATGGGAAACTTCAGAGCCCTGATGTTGAAGTAAGAGGAAACATTATCAGCTTCGACTCTGTGAAGTGGATTGGCTATTGTCTTTCATTTGTTATGTTCCTCATCTAGGGACAGGGGCAGCCAAGACCACACATAAATCTGAGGGATTACAAGCTAAAGAGGATGAGAACCACTTCTCTAAATCAGTACAGAGCCAGAAAAATGTTTAACAAAAATTAATTTGAGGAAAATAAATACACAAGAATAATATGATTCTAGCAAGACTACTTAGATGTAACGAAGTGATATGTAATCGAAAAGTTAAACAATATTAATACATAAAAGACGGACTGATTAGATACAGAAGAAAATAAGGTGGTAGTGTGCATCGAACTAATTTGAATCCATCAAGCATCAAGCAAATCCTAGTGTCTTTCGCTATTAAAACAAAATCCATGGCGAACAGTCCCACCTTGTTTTCAAATTTGACACAGTCTCCATCTCCAAACACCACCGTGTGATGGGGCTCGACCTTCTGCTGCTCCTGATCTGGGCCTTAAAACAAGAAAATTCACAGGTTTGATATGAAGATGACATTGGTCCAATCTCTGAACTCATCAGCTATCGTCTGAGGACACTTTGGCCTCTGCGAGTGACGGCCAATATTTAAGGGTTTTCAGTATAGCTGGCAGATAATCGGATCACACTTTCGGGGCCCAGTCTTCCTCTTTTGATCACTATTAAGAGTCTGAGTAGTGAAAACTTGAGAAACAAGAGTTGTGTTTTAAATATATAAGTAGCATTTAAGTAGGCTACTTAATGCTGTATTGATTATTCCTGCCTAAACTCATGTCATCAAATATGTTATAACATTGTTTAAACGTCTCTTCATCTCCCTGTTAGTCTTTATCCATCACTCTCTTTGCAGATATGGCAGATGGTAGTCCAGTCCTGTTCTGCATGAGGTTTTGCAGAACAGGACTGGATCCTGTTTAAAGGATGATTTTTTTTTTTGCCAAATGTCGCCAAGCTCAGTGGTGGATTAAAGTTGGGTCTCTGTTAATAATAACAGTGTCATTTCGAGATGTGCGCTTTATTTAAAGGCTTATAGGTAGAAAACGTGGTCACATATTGGCATTACTGTTTATTCACAGAAAACTAGCCCACTGCTGCTAGTACAGTAACAAATGCATCTTGAGAATTATTAAATGTGTTTCACAAATCATTTCGGGATGTCACACGTCTAGGCTTAAAAAACCCAGCATGAATTAAATAGAAAAACCAACACCAGCATGATTCAGACATTTTGACCGAGTACAGCACTTTGTTTTCCTGCTGCAACACTTACAGTAAAAAGGTACAAAATCTTACCAGTAGGAAACCAGTCACCACAGCCAGCTGGTTGTGATTGCACCAGACTACAAAATTCAAATAACTTCATTAGTCTGAGCAGCCACTTTCTTCCTCTCGTGTCATCAAAACATCTGCCACCAATTACAGTTAGACTGAGAGACTTTGCTGTGTGATGATAGTGAGTAATCCAATCATAACTAATGTTATAAAAGAATATCAAAAGGGGGAGTCTCTGAAAACAAGTTAACCATCTGAAAGTATTTGTTCTCATGCGAGGGGAACTCCCTGATCACACGATTGTTGTCGTATAAGCAGGACATCACTATTATGTAGAAGTATTATTTCGTTCAATAGGGCGTAGTTATGACACGTCAGTGAAGTGATGTGAAGCCAAACACTGAGGAGGTCATCATTTAAAAACAGTAGCACTGTAATTTTTCCCCACGATGTTGGATAATTTCAGATGAACTGGAGCGGTAAGGAATCCGAAGAGATTTTATTTTAATGGCCAGTACATGAATCCATCAAGTTTTAAAGTTGGCTGAATGTAGAAGTCCAACATATTGGACTGAGATCACACACATACTTGTAACGTAGATCTAGCAGCAGGGATGGGAGGGAGGCTTGGAAACATTCACACAGGCTGATTTCCATTTCTATCCACTTGTCCTATCTCTCCATTAAAGGCACAAAAAGCCCAAAAATAAATCTTTAAAATCTGGTCAGAAATGATTTGTTCTTTGTTAATAAAAAGACGTCAGTTAAAAAGAAGAATTACATGATTTCTTTCAGTTATGTTCAGATGAATATGTGTAGAGTGGGACGTATGTTTAGGAGCGCGTTCATCAGACTCACCCACATGAATGGATCCTGAGAGTGTGTAGATGAATGCAGTCCATCCTGTCAAACACACAAATATTATGGAAAGTAAGGGTGTTATAAAGGAGCTGGTAGACCATTTTATAAAGAGTGTCCTCCTCGTAAACTTGCAATTAACCTGTAGGCAACGTAAATAAGTCGACAACACGATCGATGACTTATCAACACATGTAAGGGTCTTTTTGCCAACATCCTATTTCCAGGGCCGATACACAGGAACACTAAAATTATGACAGCTCTGCTTTTTGTTTCTGCCAACTCTTGATGTAAATATCTGTCCCTGTAGATGTTAATACTCCACTATAAGCAAGTTGTGAACTATGTCAGTCTGTTTCTGTGCTCAGCTGCTAGCTTAGTGTCAGGTTTTTACAGAAAGAGCCAGACTGTCTTTGTTGTAACTTTAATTGAGAAGAATATACGTGTATGTGTTGATGATTTGGAACTTTTTTTTAAAGCTTGTCGTGTCTGACAACAGCTTTACAACCTTTTGTGAATCCCTCCTCCACAGAAAAGTGTGTGTGAACCTTGTGCAAATGGACCAAGGTCCAGAATTATAGCAGATGGGAACTATGATTGACCTCGTAAAGTTTATGAACAGTGAGTCCTGTGGTTTCTTTATTTTCCATTGGTGAGGTGAAGAGGGCTTTTTGTAAATATTTTTTGATTGTGACGTATGTTTGGCAGCTTTTCATAAAATATAATTACAGATTATGATGGAAAATAAGCAGAACAGGCTAAATTATATCCATGTTGTGGTACCAAGTATCACTCATTGTTCGGTTTCCAGACACATGGGGGCAATATTCAATAGAGTCTGATGATCACTTTATGCTTCCTACTTTTAGCAACAAAACGAAAAAGAGAAAATGCTGAAGAATGGGCTGATAATCATTCAGAGCTGAAGGTAACCAGGAGGAGCTTTTCTGTTAGTGTCCTTATTGGCAACTCAGAAACATTTTTGTAATTAACAAACCATTTACAGACACACAATGGTGTACACATAAATGTATTTCTCCTACCTGAGGGGACTGGCTGTACATGCAAGGCCCCAGCCTGCAGTCTGAAGTCCAGGTACAAGGTTGGTGTCCTCGTGTAAACTTTAGACTATATAGAGGAAAAAGTATGTTAAGAAAATGTTCTAACTGAAACACAAACTTTAACAAAAGTGTAAAAAAAAACCCCCAAAAAACAGAAAACACATTCATGCTCGATTTAAAAGAGTGGCGCCAATATCTGTCATCATTGTGGGTTTACAATGTCAGCGTTGCCATCAATGCCATCAAGCGTTGCTCTTCCCTGGTGAAGGTTTGAGTAAAAGCAAGTGAAATCTGCATTAATGCTACCCACACAATCCTGATATGTGGTTTGACAGTACTATCAATCTCGTGATTTTCAAGAAAACAAAGTCAGAAAATATAATCTGTAGTTCCATGACTTGTTAAATATCTCTCTATGAAGCATATTTTCAGAAATATTACATAATATTCACTGTCCCAGCTAAATACAGTAATAAATAAAAACCTCATCGAAACAGCTCTTTGTATTATTACCGCTGAGTTGTTTTGATACTTTCCTTTGGTTTGTTGGCCAGCAGGATTATGGAAAAATACTGGCCTGATTTTGGTGAAACTTAGGGGAAGGCTGTAGCACAAATTGTGGGAGAATCCATTAAATGTTGGATGCAAAGCTGATTCAGGGCCACAACTTGCCCTGCAGTAACCCTGCATACTGTGTATACACACAGACACACACACAGACACACACACACACAGACACACACACACACACACACACAGACACACACACACACACACACACACACACACACACACACACACACACACACAATTAAATCTGCATTTGGCAGAATTTCACTTCACTCTCAACCTCAGTGGCCTTTGTTTGAGATCAGCCCTCTCTCATCATTCTGCACGTCATCTTCCACTCATTTTCCAAAGTGTAATAAAAAAAAAGTACACACACACACACACACACACACACACACACACACACACACACACACACACACACACACACACACACACACACACACACACACACACACACACACACACACGCAACACAAGTCAGGACAATCTGCTCTTCATTTATAGTTTGCTCTTTCCAAACAGACTTTCCTTATACTGATAAAATATATTCGTTTAACAGGCATTCCCACTCTTTTTTCCTCTTTCTTTCCCAAACACACAAGCATACACCGACACACACACACCGACACACACACACCGAGACACACACACCGAGACACACACACACACACACACACACACACACACACACACACACACACACACACACACACACACACACACACACACACACACACACACACACACACACACACACACACACACACACACACACACACACACACACACACACACACACACACAATCACCATGACATCAACAGCCACCAAAAAGGTAAACATCAGGTTCTTCTTTTACATAGCATGCATCTGACCGTGGCCTCTGACTCTTCTGGTGTTGTAGTGACATCACAACCATGTAGGTGAAATTCTGAGACACACACACACACTTAGTGAGACACACAAACGGACGCACACCTTTGCTTCTAAAGCCTCTCCGGATATGACGGCCACTGTAACTCCTCCCTGGCTAGGTGTGGGGATCTCAGAGCCTTTCAGCTCCTGGTACGTAGGTTCCACCATCTTGTCTCGACTCGGCAGGTTCACCCACAGCTGTAAGCCCACCACCGGCTCTTCTGACACGGGCATCTCAGCGTGGACAACCCCTCGTCCTGCAGTCATCCACTAGTGAACAAAGAGACATGCTTCACGCATACAAAAAGACACATAACATGAATGACTCACTGTATACTGAGGGTGTTCAAAGACGTCCGTATTTGTATAATTTATGATGACGGTAAAACATTGCTTCACTGTTGTTTTTATATTTGTATTGGATAATCAGTGGTCCTAAGGTCTTCGTAAAGACGTGCTTGTGGCAAGGTATTATAAAATGCAATGCACATTTCTTCAAAAGTCTAAGGACAAAATTGTTCCTCATGGGAAGCTGCGATTGTAAATTTTCACAAGAAATGCCAAATTTAATGGAACCCAGTGGTGTAAAACGTAAGATAAACACGACTTCACTAAAAAATATCATCCCCTGCAAATTTCTGCTCTCCGGGTTTGCTTCAATGCATCAACCACTGACAGTTATTTATCTGTGACTGTTGATCATGGTTGATCATGTTCTGTCTCTTTCTAGATAATAAGACATGCTTAAAAACTACTGGCAATAATTTAAACTCACAACAACTCAGTCTTAAATGATTTCTCTCAATGTTTATTCTATTTTGTAATATCGATATAAAACATAGGAAGTAGGAATGTCCGAATGGTTCTTCTCTGTGATTGTGAATTGTTTGTTTTAGTAATTTTTACATTTTCTATTTTAATATTTATTTTTTTCCTCCGTCATAATGCTTATGATGTTGTGTGTGAAGCACTTTGAGTTGCCTTGTTGTTGAAATGTGCTACATAAATAAACTTGCCTTGCCTTGCCCTCCTGTTTTCAGTATAAAGAAATACAGATGTGGAGTTAACTCAAACATTAGCTGAGAAATGCACAAACATTTTCTCTGCTGGCACAATTGATGCTTCACCACTTCCCTTAATAATGAACCCCTGCTTTAAAAATGAGACCATGTTTGAGTTCTTCCCAGAGGACCAGACATGACGTCTGAGCCTGCAGAGGGTGCACATGGTGGTTTAGAGCAAATTCAGCTGAACTGACTGCACCTCTGCTGCAGATGGAAGCTGAGTCAGCACACTCTGTGTTCGTGTGTGTGAATGTAACTTTACTACTTTCAAGACAGAGGAAAACCCCACAGGGCATTATATCCAATTAGTGGAGTGCACAACATCATAATACGTATGTAATGAGTGTGTGGGGATTAGTATGCCAATAGACTCCAGCATTGTTCTGCTTTTGTAGTTTGTGTGAATACAGTAAATACAAATATAATACATTAGTTATTAATTTAACTGAAAGGAATTGTTCATCATTTAGGAAAAGATGATTATTTGTTCATTCCAGAAAGCTAAATGGGAGTAGTGAGACCACTGACACTACAGACAGCAGCCAGTTAGCTTAGCTAGTAGATTAGATTCAGGGAGAAACCAGCAGCGTTGCACAGTCACTAGGTACAAAAAATAAAATAAAATAATATATATACTGTGTATATACTATACACTGTGCAGTTGCTACAATACAGACTACATTGAAACACACATAAGCAATGAAATAAGCTGCTTTCTATAGGGTTAGCTTAGCACTGAAGATTGAAACAGGGTGAAACAGCCGGCCAGATTCTGTCCAATAGTAAATACTTTGGCACATAACCCCACACTAAATGGTCAAATGAAACTTTGACACTTCTGTTTTTTAAACAAAGTAAAACAATATATAATTGGCGAGTATTAAAGATGCTAGTAGGTGGGTCTTTTTAACTATGGACGGAGATGGTGAGCTGTCTGTAGTTTGATGAACACTTTAAGAAACGATGTAGTACTTGCAGATCTCCCGGTTTCAGTCGCCCTGAATGGCCACAGAAGTCTTCATGAGCTGCGATCCCCTCTAACACATACGTAACCTGTCGAGGAAAGATATATGTAGCATTAACAGCTAAAACAAAAGTCTTACATGTGACTTCACAACCCATTCAATCTCAAGAAAGTCGTACATTGATTTATGGAATTTATCTTTCTGAGGTTCTTACAGCTAAATTTGAAAGTTATGAAGTTAATTCTAATGTTAAATCAGGCTGTGAACTTTCAAACAAGTGCTGCTCCGACGCCCATAAACTATGACCACGTGTGTAGTGGTTTTACTGCGCCAGTGGTCAGACTGGACAGGAAGACGAGGCTGGGCGTGGGGTCAGGGGGTTTAAAGGTGAACATCTGTCTTAGGGAGGAAGGCTGGAGACCCTGCAGTGGGCTGCCTGTGATCTGTCTCCACAGCTGTGGGGTTTCTAAAGTCATGTGAGTGTGAGCAAACACACCTGCTGAAAGGCATGCTGGGAGTGCAGCCTTCGTTCTGTCCACCCACACCGGGAGATTCAAGTTGCATCTGCCAAATCAAATACTCTTGGAGGAATGTCTGGCTATCTAAGGACAATATCTCAGGTTTTTAAGATGTATTATAAAGAAGAGTAACCTGAAACATAACCTTGATTCACCTGCTGGCATTGCTACAAATACAACCACAATTCAAAAACGTACACTTATTTAAATTGTCGATTCAAAACGTACACATACTTAAAACAAGCAACCCACTTAATAGAAAGACTCGTAGTTTCAAAGACAGATCAAGAACAAGACACCAAAGCTCTTTGTAAGGTCATTCAGTTAAGTTTGTTAAGTCAGCTATTCTCTTACTTCCCTCAGCCTGACAGCAGAAACAAGTAAATCCAATATTAAACCAAATGGATCTCTAATTCTAGAGATGTAACCAAATGATTAACTGAGTATATTCACAAAGTTCCCCATGTTAGGAGAACAAGCTGTAGGAACAGCAGTGATATATATCATCAGCTCGTGTTTATGGCTGACGTGCTTTTAGAAAAAGAGCAACATTGTCTCACATTTGGAGTCCTGTTTCTGTCAAATATAAGTCCAATACTCACTCTCCTTCCTTCTGTTTTTCTCTCTATCGATACATGAGGGACATATGGTTCCTAATCTGCTCAATGCTCTGTTTTAATCACCAGATAGTCCCTCACTAACTCAGGTTTCTTGTTCCAGAAGGAGGAAGACAGTGAGTTTAAAGCTGCCTGGTATGTAGTACTTTAAAGATGGTGGTGTCAGACCGATGCTAAACAGTTCAGCTGCAGGATGGGAAACTACATCGGTGAAGTGCAGGGTGATAAAATGCCAGCTTAAACTGACTGCAGATTTCTTTGGTGATATTTCACGGCAGGTACATTGAACTATGAGTCATACCTTTCTCATTAGGCGACAGAATGATTGTGAGTAAATCATCATCATCGATAAGTACAGAAAACAATTACTTTTACCAAACAAATTCTGTAACTTTTTGAAAAATCTGTCTTCTTTTTTTTAATTAATTATTTAATTTATCTGACATTTGAGTTAACGACAATGAGAAGCATAAATTGAAAATACAATTCTGACATTGAGAACTGTAACCAGCTAAAAACATGATCATTTTCATGATAATCAGTAATTCAGTTATAGACCTATTCCTTTAATCTTTCTCTGACATTTATATGCCGATAACTCACTTTAATTCATGTAAAAACTGATAATAAACGCTGCTGATAAATGATTAAATGCAGGGAAAGTGTGGGAAATACAGACAATAGGACAGATGTGAGTCTTGAACTGTACCTGACACTTTTTAATGTAAATCATTTCACACTGTGAGTATATCTACCGTATTAAAACCTAAACTAGATATGAGGTACATTTTAAACAAGGATTCAAAACAGAGAAGAGGCCGTCTGTTGTTTTGTGGTTATTACATTTTTGGTGGTGTATTCATATTAAACTCTTTAGTCAACAATAAATTTAGACAGCAAACATGTCAGGCTGTCAGCAACAATGGTCAAGAAAGAGGTTTGTTTTGATTGAGACATACATTTCAAACTCCTAGAAGAACAAAAACCACAAACCAAAGATTGTTTTACAAAAACACAGCAGAGGCCAGGACAGTTTCTCTATTGCAAAACAGGGATTTCATTTTTCATGGCTTGTCAGCTTATATTCTTTAAAAACAAAGCTCTGTGTGTTGATCCCTGAGCTGATGCAAACTAAGCAAAAACATCAGACATCATGTCTCTGATACCCCTGGTTATGTGTTCTTTTTTTTTTTTTTTTTTAATATATCAACCTTCATCAATACTGGATGGAAATGTGGCTCCTTCTTTCAGCACACTGTGCTGTTGTCGCCCTCTAGTGTTCAAACTAGAAATTACAATACTCGGTAACGCATTTCTACTCTGCTTCTTTTTTTGGTGACGTTTAATATGTTCAATACTGACATGCTATTGTCAGATATTTTGGGGTTTTACATTTTCAGCCTTCCTCTGTGTGCACAGTGAGTCCTTGTGTGTGTTTTAGAAGCCAAAGTATAAATGGTTTTATCAGCTAAGGTAGAAAAGCAGCTTTACATAAGTTTTCTATCTTTTCATTGTTATGCAAATCCCGATCTTCTATAGTTAAACTACTTTGTGACCCTGAGCTGACTTTAAAAGAAAAAATAGTTTTGGGTTTGTCCTGAAATGTGGATGTCAAACTCTCTGTAATAAATAATTCCATATAGCCTACATTACAAAGTACTTCATCTGAAAAGATAGTTTTAATTGTCTCAATGTTTCAGTAAGTCAATATGCTTGTTACTCTTTTTTTGGACTGCAGATTATCAGTGAGTGCCTCTGGTGATATTTAGGACACTTGACTCATCATGAGACATTTATGTATGGTTATTTTGCACACGATGTACAACAATGTACCTTTGTTTTCATATAAGGAGAGCAAAAATACCTACGACCCAACTGTGATGAATGCAAGAGAGTCTGAATAGTTTGATGGGCTGGATAAATGATGGGGTCCTGGACAAGTACATGTATATACCCTTTACCTGTCAGTGCCAAAGAGGCCAGAAAATTGTGATTCTTTGTTGCTTTTCTAAAATCATTTTGTAAATAACTGACCGTCTCAAATCCTCTGTGAGGATGGTCTGGAAAACCTGCCGGCTTGCTCACTCTGAACTCATCCAACATCAGGAAGGGATCCAGGTTCCTCAGCTGTGAGAAAGAAAAAAAACATGCACGGATCAGTTTTTTTTTTTTTTTTTTCTTAATTAAAAGGCATGACAGCTGAAGTAAGACATGAAGAACTTACCTCCTTTCTCCCAATGCTCCTGCGGACACGAGCACCCACTCCCTCCGACTGTTCCACACTCAAAACTGTCTTTTCAACTCTCCTCACAGACATCGTGCTGGGGAAGGTTTCACTTGTCACTACAACAACATAAAACACATGAACTGATACTTTAGACTAATGAATGAATTATGATAAAAAGCCTTCATACATAAGATACAAAAACGTTTTTTATAAGGAAAATGTAGAAAAAGGAGGTAGTTATACGCACATCACCTATAGGTGCAGGGTAACATCAGCAGACTGTGGAAGAAGACAGGCCCACACGCTTGTAGTTTGACTTGTTTATTGTGCTAATATTTTTTCATTTGTCTTTCAGCATGGATGTTCAATCCCATGAGTGTCTTCTGTTACCCTCATGATTTACCTAATTTGACAAAATAAACTTGCTACCTAAACTCAAATCTTGTTGGATTCCTGAATCCTGACCCGATGCCCCCATGGTGATAAGTACCTCAACTTTGAACCCTTCTTCACAATGAGTGATGTGATCAACAATGGCCAATAGGCAGACATGAATCATTTTACATTCAGTTATTAAATCACTGATAATACCCCGTATCTTATCCATTCCCTTGTTTATCTTAATCTGAAAAACTGCAGTAGGTCTTGTTGTGGGTGAAAGGTTTGCGAACACAATGGACAAGCAAAACAAATCCAATCCCAAATGGTCAAATATCGTGGCTTTCTCATGGCTCATACAGTCGCACCGGGGGTTACAGCCATCTAACTTATCTCGTGATAAAGCCGGTGATGGCAAAAGGTCTGTATTTGATAACCTGGAGTAAAAAAAGTAAAACAAATTAAGCCTATAGGGCATACAGGTTTATAGCCTGTCGCAAGTTAATATCTTTCAAGCACAAGCAAGATATGTAGCCTTCTGCTTTAATATTTTGACTGGCCTTGTGTTTTTTTCCAAGTTGACCCTGTTGCTGTTGTTGTTTTAATACTTGGGTGTGATCATCGAAATGACTCAAACTGTCCTGAAGAGGACAATGTGAGGGATATTCCAAGATTGAAAAAACAAAAACACACAGAGTAACATGACACGACAAAATAACCGGTGACAAGACAGACGACAAACAACCACAGGTTTTCCCTCTTTTCAAAATATCCTGTGTGTAAACTGCAGGTCCACAGCACAACAACAAAGAAGTGAAATTCTACAGAACCGATCAGCTGAGCGGATCAGCTGACGTCAGTAAGGCTAGAGGCGTTTTGTACTCAAACTTTTGCTCAATTCACTTTGAACACACTCCAGATGTTATTTCACCATCACTGTCCCTCTCTGTAGTGCATGACACAATCAAGTTGACTTCCCCAAAATAGGGATTTTCTGTACGAGCACAATGCTGAAGCAGCAAACTAAATGTAGACGTGGTGCATTTTAAGATCGGAGCGAGTAGTCCTCATGTCCCTGCTAAACAACACATCTTCACAATGTCTGCTTATGACTTGAATTAACCTGTTACAACTGGTACGTAACAGCCCCACCTACCTGAAGATATAATGTAACAGATCCCGTCACTGTTCTGCCTGTTTTTGCCGTTTTGTATTTGGTTGACATCCAGTTTATTGTTTATTTCAGCCCTCTTCTCTTCCTCAGGTAAGATTACAGATGCGGAAGTTCACCCGGGGGGAGGCGTGGCTACAGATCAACCAGTTAGACCCTAAGGTTAGACCATAAGCCCGTTGGCCTTTTCATTACGATGAACTTCCCGTTTTCTTTAACGAAACATGATAAGGTCAGGAAAAACTATTGATTTAAACGTATTGCTTTGAAACACACGGATCACGGGAGGGACATATTCAACATTTTCATCCAAGCAAAGTTCCAATTATTTTATTTTACCCCAAACAATAGACACCATGCAGACAAGACAGTAGCAGCAGCAGTAACATGTATCTTTAACCCGTCTTACAACAGCACCGTACTGACATTCACCCCCCCCACTGTCCCGAGCCCAGTGCAAAGCAACATCTAGATGTCATCAAATTCATGTAGAGACAAGAATAATAATAATACTGAGCTCATGAAAGAAAAAAAAAAAACAGTTAAATAGAAATAAACAAAAACACTCACAACAACAATTAATTAAATAAAATAAAACCAAGCAAAGTTATTGAACTTTGTGAATGAGCCTCTTATAAAAGGATGATTATTTGGTAATTGGAAACAAAACGTAGTTATGGTTTCCAAAAAAGTAAAATAAGACCATCATATCAGTGCATTTTATTAAAACAAGGCAATATTTCATCATCATCATCATCAAAAACAGATGGCTGCCAACACTCAGCACATGTTTTAGACTCTATTGTTAAAGCCATAACAGGCCTTGCATCTGTTGAATATATTCCTCAGTTTTTGATTTCCCTCCACTCAATTCAAAAGTGTCTGAATCCTCCTGCTGTTGAAGACACATGATGTCTTTTGCTATCCGCTTGCTGGCAGCCTGTCCACCAGCCAGGTTTACTGCATGAGGTCCAACCTGTGTGAGGTGGAATCAGGTAAGGGACACGTGGTCTATGTATTAATTGTAAAAGTTATGTTGAGACTTTTTTTCTTCATATCAAAACACTGCATAAAACCTACCTGTAGAGCGGTGTATTGACCCATTAGGTAGAGAGGACAATCCTTTTCCCACCGCAAGCTCTCCGATATGCACGGCCAACCATCAATCACCTGTATTGAAGGACAGTAAGGTGAAATTGTATTAATCCGTTGTAATGAGTTCACTTGTTCAAGTAACAGCATAAAAATGGAGAACAAATAAGAAAAAAAAAGGATTAATGCTCTTATCTCAAGTTATTTGGTCTTCTGTCCACACTTCTATACTATAGATAGCCTAAAAAAAAAAGCTTTGTTCCTCCACCCACCTGAATGGGGAATTCCTGCATCACCTCTGAAAGCAGCGGGTCCTGTTTGACATCAAGTTTGCAGCCGGTGGCAAGCCAGATCATGTTTCCAGTCCAGTGGTCCCCATTGCAGAGGGAGAGACTCCATGCCTGACTCCTGTAGCACCAGCTGGCTTCACTCACCTTGACAGTTACGCCAGATTCAGGTAAGAGGTTCCTGCAGTAGTTCTGCAGATATAGTGTCACATAATCTTTCATAAGATGGTCTTGCATGTTCTATTACCTGACAGTATGTCTTCACGTCCACCTGTCCACTCAAGATAAACGGTTGTAGGTGGATGTAGGCCTCTGGGGTGACGGCTCCTCCTTTCCTCGCCTGGCGGATCATTGCCAGCCGTTTGTGGAGACTCCTTTCATTGTAGAACTGTCGCAGATAGGCCTGACCGTCCATCTTAATGCCGTGCTCCACATGGGAGTAACGACCCACCAGACTCTCCACGTCGCCCACGTCAAACTGCTTTAACTGTAGAGGAAACAACAAAGATTTTCTGTGTGTGTTGGAGGCAGACAGGTGTATCTGTGCTCTATGGTTGCAGCTTTACTCTGTCAATAGACCTGCAGGTGCTTCCTCATGACCCATGTCACATGGCTGGCACCCTGCTGCAGAGCAAGGGAGACGACATGAGCGCTGGTCAGACCTCCTCCAACTACCATTACTCTCTGACCTGTTTCACACACTGCACACAGATCTAGACACACACAGGCATTCAGAACAAACATGTTTCAGTGAGGATGGGGGATCAAAATGCTACTGAAGAAATACCAAGTAAGTCAAAGTATTATCAAATACTCTAAAAAAACATAAGCAAAGAGACATTTAAAGCATCAATTTTAGTTTTATTTCATTTCGCTGTGTAAGACTGCATCAATTTGCAGATTTACAGGAAAAGAGGAGCCGGACGTCATTTATTTTAGCCAATTGTGTGTAAACCATCAATCATCATAATCACCAATAGTGGGCTACACCACTGGTTGCCAAATTATGTTTTATTGTATTGGTGTGTATGAGAAAACAGCCTTGCCTCACACTTTATTACCTCATTAATCACTTTCCCAGAAATAGTTTTGGTCTCAGTCGCTAGTTTAAGTCTTCTTCAACACAGTGATGTTGATTCTGTAAATGATTGTTCCATGAAGAGTAAAATAGATGATAAAGCACAAGTCAGGCCTGGAGGCTGGGCACATAGCCCGGAAAGTTCAGGTGGACAGCCAGAGGCCAACCGAACACTGAGAGCAGATTGGGGGGGCAGCCTGGATGCCGACCAGACGACAGGGGACCAGTGAGAGGCCGAGCCTCCCACGAAGACACAGCAGTGGGCGGAGTCAGCAGAACCTCCGACGAGAGTTCAGGAGTCACAGAAATAGCAGACTCAGCAGATCCTCTGATGACGGCGCAGGAGTCAGCAGGGCCTCTGACGAGAACACAGGAGTAATAGGAGTGGGAAGAGCCTCCCACGGAGACAGGGGAGTCAGATGCAGCTCAGCAGACACAGGAAACAGACGCGGTTCAGCAGGCACAGGGGGCAGACAACGCTCTGCAGGAACAGGAGGCAGATGGCGCTCCGCCGGAACCGGTGGCAGACAGCGCTCCGCTGGAACAGGAACACATGGCTGAAGAGGCCTGGGTTGAGGCCTAAGCTGAGGCTTGAGCTGAGGCTTGGGTTGGGTTGGTTCACCGGCTGCTGAGGACAAACAGGCTCAGCGGTATAAGACTGTGAAGCAGGCGTAGAGAAAAAGTCTCTAGTCCACTCAGGGACTAAGTTTTTCAGCCATGGTCTAGAAAGAATTTCCTTTGAACCGTGGAAATGGCTGCCAGTCTGTCCTTGCTAGAGCAAGCATATTTTAAGTCATTCTTTAAGCACGTGAGGTTATAAGTAACCTCACGCAATTCCAACGAAAATAATCCTGCTGGGTCCATTTTTTGGTCAGTTCATTCTGTCACGGATCGCGAAAACGAAGAGGAGGACCCAGATGCAGGATTCACGAAAACTATTTATTCGTCAAACAAAAGGCAAACAAAAACTTACTTCCAGAAAACCCAACAAGAGAAGGCGCCGCAGGTAAACTGACATGCAACAAACAACACCGACAAACACCTACAATGAACTGACACAGAAGGGATGAAACACAGAGACTAAATAGACATGGGGTAATCAAACACAGGTGAGACTAATAACACAGGTGAAGACAATGAGGGCAATCACAATGGAGGGAAACACACAGAGGAAGGAATGGACACAAGAAACACAGAGGACAACTACAAAATAAAATACATGAAACACTGAAGACACACAGAACTCAAGAATGAACAAAACCCACTAGAACATAAAGAAACACTAAACACTGAAAATACAAAACTAAATAATACCAAATCATGACAATATCCATGCATCATCATCACTGCTTTTGGGCGACTGTTAAAACATTGTTTTCCACCAAATGTTTTCTGTATCATAATAAATAAATAGAAGAAATCGGACAAACCTTGAGGGGGAAAGGCCTCTTCTGGTCTCTGACAGTCTGCGTCTTTTTGTTGAGAAGTTGCCAGGTGATGCATGAGGTGCACTGTGTGTTGCAGTCTCTCCTCTGGGTAGCTCTCTCCAATGTTTGTCACCCATGAAGGGACGTTGGCCATCTGGGCACGGGTTGGACCTGTTGCCATAACTACTTTGCGAGCCTTCAAGACAACTCCTTCTTGAAGTTGGACTAGAAAATATTCTACTCGCTTCCTCGTCCGATCTCCTTTCCGTTCAGTCCCTGTCATGGCCTCTTCCTCTGTTTCCTGCTCTTTTATCCAGTTAGTTTCTTCTTCTTTATCCGTCTTCTCTTCAGTTACAGGTGTGATGTGCTCCACTGTTCCCTTCACCAACACTTTGTCCAAGTTGTATCTCTCCACCTGCAGATTCATAAACCCAGCTACTCAGCTAATTTGGGAGCTCATGCAATCATGCCGTCATCATTCCAAGTTAATAATAAATGTTTAAAAATTGAGTTAAAAAACACAGTCAACAAAGTCGCAAATATGATTTTTGTGTCATGTGTCCCTGTAGAGTTAGCTTTATATTGTGAAAAAAAAATCATATAGTTTGTACTTGCTTGTAACGATATGATTGTATTGTCCTGTTGTTATACATTCAACCTCAAAGTTTTTGAAGTAATAACTCCAAACAAGCAAATACAAACTACACTAGAAGTTATTGAGATGCACTATTTGAAGCTTTTGAGACTCTATTTTATTACTATGAAGACATGAACAGACAGACCATAGTTAACACAAGCTGTATTTTTATAAGTCAAAAAAAACTATCTGTCAAGTTACTGAAATATAGTGTTAATGTCAGTAATTACATGAAACCTACCATGCATGAGAAACACACACTCATGCAGTGTGTCCAACCTGATCCTTAAAGAAATCCACACTCAGTTTGGTTCCTGGCAGACTGAAGGATAAACTCTTCTTCAGTGTTGAGGTGATGTTAAGACGTTTCTTTTCCTTTTTGCCCAGCCTCATGTCGTTGAAAAATGCGTTTTCGTCCAGGATGTAGAGCTGGTCTGGCAGACTGTGAAGCTCTGATGATCGAGCTGACTTTAAAACATACTCCTGCAGCGCCTTCTGTGCAGGAAAACAGACACATGTGGGTTTTCATTTTCTAGTAGTAATGTGAAAGTAATTTCCTTGTTTGTACTTTAGAGGAATCAGTTTGTCTTCTACCTTGTTGAGAGGCTCTGTGTGTACCAGAGTGTGTGAGCGCAGGTGAGGGATGTTCAGAGCTGTGAACTGGCTCTCCCACAGATTCGTCCACACACCGTAGGAGTCGACCACTCGCACACTCAGCGGGGGACAAACGACATTCTCTGATATGGTTGTCTTTGCTAGTTGCTCCTCCAGTGTCAGGCCTGCACAGACTGATCATAGCTGAGTTATGAAGCTGTACAGGAAGCAACAGAGTGATTTTGAAACAGCGCAAATATAGCGACAGCAACAGAGGGGTATTGACTTCCTTTGTGTTTTATTTGCAATCAAAATCAGGACTGGACTGGTCAAAGAGGCTCACCGCCCACATTTTGATTTTCAGCTTTTTAACTTAGATGATATTCAGTCTGAAAATCAGGCGTCTGCAAAGCAGACATAAGGGAAATAGTTGATAGATATTATAATACGGGGGTTGGAATGGTTAGACAGATTTGGAAATGCAATCAAAATGAATCAAGATAACTGAGTCGAATTCCTGATTTAAAAAAATATATTAGTAAGTTTTATTAAATAAAACTTTCAGTTTCATCCCAAAAAATTAAGATTATGAAATATTTCCTGCAACACAAGACAAAGCACAGCAGCAGATCATCCTGATTTAAAAATGATCCTGAATGTTTCACATGTATGCTTGAAAATGAACTTATTATTAATTTATTGTCGTAATCATTATTTTGTTTGTTTTGCTGCTCATCACAAACACAGATGACTTATGACAATAAGTCAGTTGTATCTTGATCTGAGAAGTAAAAGTGAGGGTACGGTACCAGTTGTGTTCCTCCTCCTTTTCTTGCCGTTGCAACGCTTGTTGTTGGACATTTGGGGGTTTGTTTGAGGCCTCAGAGGGTCGAGCAGCAGGAGGGGAGGTCAGGTTCAGGATCTGAGTTTGGACCACTTTCAGGATTTAATAGCAAGCTGGCCAGGGTCAAGGCATGAGGGCCAGCCCCTATTATTAACACATCGAGAATCACCATCTGAAACACACACAATGACAACAAACACACACAGATAAGACACAACAGTGTAATGACTCATACAGGTAAAAAAAAAGAGGATGCTGAGATGAGTTGGACAAATTTGTGACCAGTTATTTTATCAAGTCAGCGTGATTAATTGTGAAAGATCAGTGGATAGTTCACATGAGTTTAGCACAGAAGTCACTTCAAACTAAATCTTAGATGGAAATTAATTCAAACATTATTATTGAACTTTTTGTTGTAGTATTCTGATTTGAATTGTATACAAGACATTCAAGTATTAGTTTTAACATCAGTGCAATACGCATCAACAACGATAACAAGTTTTTAACTCTATTCGAGTTGTTACTTTAGGTCTAAAAGAGTAAAAATAACAACCCAACCGAGGATTTTATTTTAAACAACACAATGCTGTACAAGCTTAGGCTGATATTCTAGCGTCCTGGCAGGTAGGCGGGTTAAGTGTTTGAAATGGTGGTTTATGGGACAATACACCTCAGTTTAATGTGCTTCATGCACCTGGTGTGTTTTATAGTTGTCATATTAAACGATGTGTTCTATTTTTGACTTTATAGTTACAACCATGCAGTGATTTCCATGTGGAGGGTTTGAACCATGAGTGTTTGGATGCTCTGTAAGTGCCCAGTGCTCACACAAACGTTAGAGAAATGGGAAATGCAGAACACTGTAACATTTATTATTCACTTCAGCTGATTCAATATTGAAATACCTTATTTTCAGACAGACACATGGCATGCAGTGCATCACATTACCTTCAGATTGTCAGTGTGGGTCACTTTCTGAGACGGTGGAAACGTGGTCAGTGTCTCTGCTCTGAAGTGAATGTTGTTCCACCTGAAACTCTGCGACCGTGGCGTATGAATGTCTCTCATGTAACCCAATCCACCTCAGCTTCTCCAGATTTAGCTGGACTTCGACGGCTCAAGGGGGGAAGCTGGAAATAGCTACTGTGTGTGTGTGTGTGTGTGTGTGTTTGTACAGATTTAGTAACACAACTCATCCAAGCACGAAATCAGTAAATAAGTTCACCATCATATGTTTGCAGTCATGTGCTACACTATTTTCAATAGAGCATCTTTAATTGTCCTTTTGATAACTTTGTATGGGTCTCATTAGCTTAGCATAATTATTGGGCTCTCTGCTGGTCGCCCGTCAAACTCACTGTGGCAACAAGACTACAAACTCCATGAACTTAGTCATTTAAAAAAAATTTACCTTCAAAGGTGCTAGTGTGTGTAACCTGTATGCACTACGGTAGCTGTTGTTCCTTGTCTGCAGTGTTTAGGAAGCTAACCTGGAGCTTGTCCTTTTTTAAAAATCTAAACTTTTACTAACATGTCTTTTAAGAATCTTTCAGCCACAGCAACATGGCCATGAGATACAGATTAGAGTTTGAACACAATTGTAATTTCCAGTCAGGAATGAACTTGTCCAGCATTAAATGATTATTTTACATCGATAAAAATGTAAAAAGGAACAAGCAAACGAAGCGACTTGCATATACAAGTAAACCAGGATATCGTTCATAAAGTCACGTCCCTCTACACTTTGCAAAACCACAACATGATAGAAAGTGTGGCAAGGAGTTAACCACAGAATAGCCTATAACATTTTTAGACCCTGGACAGGTGATGTCAAAGGCAGGTCAGCATGATCTAAAAATATTGATCTTAATATAAAAAGCAGACAGAATAAATAACCCATTAAAGCTATGAAAAGTGGTTTGTTTTCCTCCCCTTTGTAGATCGACTCGTATGAATACTGTTTAATCTACACTATAGAGTAATTCAGTGCCACAGAGGAAGTAATACTCTTCCCATTGTTCCCATGTTTAGTATAACATACAACTGACAGTTATCATTTCCTCTTCTGTCTGGTCAGGATTGTGTGGCCTTATGAAAATATTTGACGGTAAACTTTCAGAGATAGAGGAAGTGAACGACCTGTAGGTCGAACGAGGTGGTTCATATTGTAGAGGTAACGGTTTGACTTCTTATACGTTCATTAGTCAGAGCGCTAACTGTGAAGTGATTGTCTAAAATCAATCTGTCATTCAATCAATTTTGATTTCTAAAGTGCCAAATCAAACAAAAAGTTATCCCTGGAAACTCTAAATAAAGAGGTCTACTTCTACTTTGTCAAATTGTATTTACAGAGATCCAACCTAAACAAGCGATCAACCTGTAGCAGAAACAACAGACAGAAACCTGACGCAGAACCAGACTTATTGATGAATGACTATTTGCCATGACCAGATTGGTTGAGAGAGGAGAGAGAGAGCGAAAGAAGAGAGGATGTTTTTTTTTAAAGTTTATAAAGATTCATTTATTTAGACACAAATTATCTTCATTGCTTTTATTCATGACTTCTTGCCTCTCTCGTCCTTTCATACTTGTTCTGTTTTTTACCCGACATACACTGAGTCACTTTTGTCTTAGATTTCCTTATTATCATTGGCTTCCCCTCCTGACATCAGTTCCTCTTCAGCGAGTGGCCACCTCAGTCCTGCTTCCTCTTTCTCTCGCGCAAAGCAGAAGCTGTGACCTTTAAGAGCGTCGCTTTCACCTGCGTCGTCTTTAGCAACAGCAGACACCTTCGGCAGCATGGATCATAAGGTGGGTGACAAAACAGACATATTTCAAAAGGTAAAAAGTGTGTTTCTTGTTTCATGTTGGACTAAAAAAAGTTTGTTTATTTATTCCTAAACATCAGGATTCTCAGGTTAAGGGAGGTGTGTTGATCGTCCATCAGATCCTTGAAGGGAAACATCAGTATGAAGTGGAGAATGTACTGAAGAGCAGGAAAGGAGAAAAAATGTTTGTGAGGTAAAGGTCAGACACTGGCACACTCGTTCTCTTTTCACAGTATGATACAGACTATTAATACAGCAAACCATTTCCATATATTACTTAACAAAGCCCTTAATGTTGTTAAGTGTGAACATCTTTAAAAAAAAAAAACTCAAAGAGGATCATAGAAATAAACTCTGTGGACAATATGTTTATTCATTCAAACATTTTTCTCCCTTTATGTAGGAAATGTCTGAAATGACATTGACACAATGATTTCTGGATCAACAAGAAAGTATTTTAATAGATTACTAATCATTTCAGTGATTCACTATTAGAAAACCCTGATCATCTGCTGGTTTTGGATTCTCATGAAATGTGACAGTTAAGTAGAAGACTAACTTTTAACCCTTTATTACTGCTCCTGAAAACTTTTTAATGAAAATGACAAAAAAAAAAAAAAAAGCAAACGAACAAAAACAGTTTGATGACAATCAGTAATTTAATTAGACTGTGTCACAAACTGGCTCAAAGTAACAAGGAAGTGTTTCACACAACAACAAAGGTTAAAAGGAAGTTCATTTATTATGAACTAAAGTTAAAGGGGCACTTAGTAGATTTGGTGGTGACATTTGAAAGTTGGAGAAGTGAAACAATTCTATGATATATTCTCTGAACTAAACACACAAACTTTATTCAAAGGAAACAATGGGTCCTTGACCACTGTTTGGAGCTAAAAAGCTACCAGGAGAGTTACAGTTTCACTGTTGCGGGCCCACCACCATAACTTCTCCCGAAGCATTTTATCTTCAAACATTGTTCCAGGGACCAAATTTTCCTCTGAGGACAGCTTGTGTAAAGAGTTATGAACAAATAACACAGAATCTGTACATTTCTCCAACTTTCAAATTTTTCTACCAAAACTCCATAGTGCTTTAAAACCATCATAATATTTATCAGTCTAATAAAACAGTCATGAATTCAATGTATGATTGAATGTAGTGAAATGCAAACCAACCAGCTGCTGGAGGCCTGCGAGGAAGAGAGGAAAGAGAGATGTGGACGCCGCATAAATAAGCTGAGGCCTGGGGCGCTGGCGGCGCAGTGGTTAGTGCGCACGCCCCAGTGTCTATAGTCCTCGAAGCGGGCGGCCCAGGTTCAAATTCAGCCTGTGGCTCCTTCCCGCATGTCATACTCTCTCTCTCCCTGATTTACAGTTCTATCCACCTGTCCTTTCTCTCCATTAAAGGCACAAAAAGCCCAGAAATAAATCTTTAAGCTGAGGCCTGATTAACTCAGGTGAACACAGTTAAACAATGTCCTTCCCAACTTCACTTATTGGCTGCTGAGACCAGGAAGTTCAACCAATCCAACCACATACAGGCATAGAGAGCATGACGTCACAATTGGTACACAGGAATTTCGGATCTTTTTCCTATATGATCAGCAGACGTGGCTATTTTTTCCAGCATGAAAGTCATGAAACAGAAGGGGTCTTCTAACATTTCAAAGCTGGAACGCTTTGTCACCATTGAGTGTCCCCAAAGGCTTATTACAAAATAAAAGTCGTATTACTCTGGAAATAGAGTTGAATTATGAAAAAAAAGAAAGCTTAATAAAGTACTTAGCTCATTCCTATGATCTTTATTTATTTATTTTTCCCAGGAAAGGAGACAAACTGATGCATATAAACGGCGTGGACCTGCAGGATCTCACACCAGAGGACTTGGCAGAAATGTTAGCGGAGGGAAATCCAATGCTGGTGAGTTCACTGGGCTTCTACAGTCTCGTTCAATGAGTATCTTCAGCAACTCTGTGACGTTATTGTACGTATAACCTGACCCTACATCCACTTTCTTTCCCCGACTTGCTGATCATCAGACGATACATAAGCCCAGCACGATGAAGGAGTACACACCACAGCCCTACCCAGCTGAGGACACCTTACGTCCTGTCTCGAAGGAAAACACAGTACTCAGTTTCTGCATGGAGATGAAGAGGGAGGAAGACCTGGAGGAGAATAAAGCAGGCGAGAAGGGAGACGATAAGGGGGATGGGTCAGATAAGGAGACTTGCTGTGCTGAAAACGGGCAGAATGGGGAGGGAGGGGATCTGCTTGTTATTTCCATGGTGAAGACCTCCATATCTGTGGTGAAAGGGAGGGGCTGTGACAAGAACAGTTCCTGTGGGGGGTGTCATGGGACAGGATGCACCTATAATGACGTGGTGGTGGTGTCAGAATCCAGAGAGGTGGTGCTCGGTGAGTAAGATTTAGGCTTTTGTTGTATTTTCTTCTTTTACTTAATGCAAATGGCCTTCAACAGAAATAAAAATCAACTGGTACAAAAAGATGGAAAACTGAAACTCATGAACAAAAAGAGCGTTGCTAAAAATCTACAAAGAATCCCGATCCTTTAACTTAAATAAAAGCACCAATTCAACAATGTCAAAATACTGTACACCCAGTAAAAATCCTTTAGACCTAACACACTGTTACTGACGACAGTGGTATAAGCTTGTTGAATTACTTCACAGCCTGGTATATATTTATAATGTCTCCTATGCTGTCCGCTGAAATACATCAGTCTTAAATTGGAACCATTTGGCTTATTATAGAATAACTGGAAGTTTATGTTTCCCTGTATTGGTTAAGGAAGCTATAATTTTCTTTGGCTAAGTCAATAATCCAGTAAAGCCTGTTAGACTTCCAACTTCTTAGACAAATATTCCTGGTAAAGAAAGGTCAAAAGATCAGTTTGAGGACAATAAACGACGGTGTTCAAAAATCAGATCAGAGCGAAGATTAATGGAGTAGTTTTCCCAGTCGAGCCTTGTAGTTCACTAACACACTGCTAAACTTTACTCTGTCAGAATAACCTGTCGGTACTCACATAAATAAGAAATGATCATCTGTAATGAAACAAAGTCATGAAAGTTTTTTGATTCTTGCAAAAGAAAAAACAACAATTCATTCAATGTTCTGATATGATTTTGCTTTTTTTAAACGCTCCAAGTTCCCAGAGGCGGAGGTTTCAAGCAGCTAAAACAAGCGAACTATACAATCAGACACGTTGCGTCCCAACAATACCTCAGAGGTCTCTGTTTGCAGAACTCCGTCTACGCTTCACCCAATCCAGGTTTGTCATTTGCTGCAGCATCACATTTACTAATTACAACGATTGTTTCCATTGATTTTGTTGATCAGAGTCTCTATTCATACATTCATCTTCACTGTGTACATGATTTAATAAAACATCTTCTGTGTTCAGAGAAGATCACCATCTACACCTACAAGACAACTTACTTTAGCTGGTTCCCCAAAGGAAAGCCTGTGGTCCTAAACTTCACCGGGTCAAACTGCTTCCTCAGGTGCTGCAAGGAAGGGGACCGGGTGCTGCTACGAGCCGAGGTAAACACATTTACCGAGCCAATCAGATCATGTACACACTGGTAGATTTAATGTACATAGACTTTGCCTTTAACTCAAAAACAAAAGTTTAAAGCACTGCTGGATTTAGTTTCAGAATCGTTCTCTATTTTAAGCCTGAGCGTAAGAGGCAGGTGACACAATGACGGACAGAATATGGAAGCAATCGCAGACTCAGCGTTCAAAAGATAGTTCTTTAATCCAGGAAGGGGTTAGGCGAAAGACAGGGTCAAAAAGGCAGGCGACGGGGCGCTGGTGGCGCTGTGGTTGGTGCGCCTGTGTGGAGGCTGTGGTCCTCCAGGCAGGGGGCCCAGGTTTGAATCCCACCTGTGGCTCCTTTTCCACATGTCATTCCCCACTCTCTCTCTCTCCCTGATTTCCAACTCTATCCACTGTCCTATCTCTCCATTAAAGGCACCAAAAGCCCAAAAATAAATCTTAAAAAAAAAAAAAAGCAGGCGAGAATTATACACGGGAGAGCTGAATACAAACATGCTGGGACAAGGTACACTAGGAAACACTACGAACTGGCAACAAGAGGGAGAACACAGTGGGATTAAATCGACAGACAATCAGGAGAACAAGACACAGGTGAGGGTAATCAGGGCGTGGCTGACACAGGGAGGATCAGGATCTGAAAGACAGAGACAAGGGTGAATACAAAAACACAACTTAAACCAGAAAATGAATAATGAAAAATGAGAAAATATGACTTAATGCTTGGTGGAAACTTTGTCAGCAGGATGTTACATGTCAACAGGTTAGGACCAGAATTAAGTTAATTTGTTGTTTTAGGCTGCTCAAATTTGTTTTGTTTTTTTAACAATGTCAGCGTCATGTATGGATTCGGATGACAATGTTTATGATTGGTCCTCCACTTCGGTCCAGACTGAAATATCTGACAGATAACTATAACTATTCATTTTCACACATTTTCCCGGTCTCCAGAGGATGTATCCTTTGTGAAAATCTGACATTTATCTCTGGAAACCATTCAAATGTTGACACTTAACTCTGTACTCCAAGTCATTTGAGATGGATGTTCATGTTACCTATAGAGGAGACATCTGATTTTGGTAATTCTCAGAATTTCTCTCTTTTTCCAATTTGGGCAATTAGCAAAAAAAAAAAAAGTTTAAACAGGTAAATGGCACCGTGAGGTATGTCATACATGAGAGGTGCTACATTAATAAACTTTGCGGGATTGATATCTGAGACAAGTTGCCAAGAATACCTGTCCCAAAGCACGTCATTCAAAAGAATCTTTGGGACATTTTTACCAGATAACTATACGGGATAGAAAACCAGGGGAACCATGAATTCAATTTGTAAGATTCCACCTTTTTAATGTTTGATATTTCTCTGGATAAGTCTTTTTTTTTTCTTCGACAAAAAGTGGTATTACTGTTTAAGAGAAGTCTTGGCATCCCATTGAGTCATTGCGAAGCATCATCATGTTACCATAAGTCCTGCTGCTACATGGCTCAATACACCTGTAGCCATGCAGCAGAGGATGCTTGGAGTGAAAACATGCCAAAGTCTAGACTGATCTGAACATTTTTGCAGGTTTTTGGTAATAAACTAAGTATCAGGCAAATTCAGTGTTTGACTTGAAACAGTCAGGGGATCACCAGTGAGTAGTCGGTAAGACACATGATCTCATTATCTTTGAACCTCTTTACCCCGTTAAAAAACTTCATGGAACTCTGACCAAGAATTTCAATCTGATGAATCAACTGAATGACCAACATCTGAACTTACAACCGATTCCTAAGGTGTCAAATTGTAAAAGGGATTTTTTTTCGTTTATTTTTTATTTTCTATTAATTCATTAATATGATTGTGGTTTTTGGAAGTAAACTATTTGAGAGAGATTGAAGATGTTGAACAGCTTCCTGAACTCTCTGCTCTTGTTGTTGCAGACATGTGAGAAGCAGCGGCTGAAGCAGATCTCGAAGAGCGACGAGAACGCCCTCTCTTTTGTCTTCTTCATGAAGTCCGACAGCTCGCTTCTTAAGTTTGAGTCAGCGCTGCACAGCGGCTGGTTCATCCAAATCGTCAGCTCACAGTCAGTTAATATGGCGACACTGGATGGAGGCAGTGAAGATCACTCATTCCTCTTCATTATTCAGAAGTGATGGAGTCACTTTCTCCAGGCGGATTCCCAGTTCTCAGTCAAGTCCGTTAAAACATCCAAACCCTGGTGGGATTATTTGGGACTTGATTTACACGTCGGTGTGTCACATTCTGCTATTGCAGAACAGCGTAGATATGTATCATACAATCTCTAATGTTTTCATGTGTTTTTATATTCGTTTATTGATTACTGATCGGTTTTGATTTCATTGCTAGAAGTGACCTTCAAAATGATTCAAAGTAATAAGAAATGTTATAAAAACTTTATTCAACACTTTTTGTACATTATAAAAAGTTGTTCTGATTCTATATTACACTAACATGAATCCAATGTATGATTACAAGTATAAACATTTATTGAATGCGTTCTTTAGTATGTTTTTATTTTATCATGCACCTTCATACCAAGCGTACATTGACAACATTCAATTTGATATTTTAAAACAAGTTCAAGTATGAAAAAGTTTACAAAAAATCAGACAATCACAGGCTTTTACAAAAGATTAAAGGAAACAGTGTGGAAAAAAAGAATCATTCTCCTTTTGATGGACTCTTGCATCCTGAATCTGAGCTGCATGGCACTTATATCATCTGAGTATTCACATCAACAAGAAACAGATCCTGCCGGAAAGGTTTTGATAAGATAAAATTCTGCAAATGACAACAAATCACCTGAAAGCATTGTTGAAGAATAATTGTCTCCTGTGAGAGATGTTGCACTGTAAATAAAGTTTGACACCAACACTTAATAGTGAACCACATTTACATGTGTTATAAAGCTATCATCGTGTGAAATGTAGTTTGATTAAAAAGAAAGTGTGCCATGCCTTCTTTTTTTTATATTTGACAAACCCATATAGCAAGTAAGAAGCACAAATTCAAATAACACTGACTGAATCAAAGGAGACACACAATTAATATCTGTCCTGAGCATGAATAATTTAATTACTATTCAAAGTATGATATTTACATTTTAAAGTATATTTATTCCGTTTTTGGATTGATTTCATGTATGTTCAGATTGTCCCAAAGGACATTAATAGTTGCCGATTTTTATAGTTTATTATAGTTTACAAAAAGTACATCGTAAAGAGGCAACATTCTTTCAATAAGTAAACTAAAAAAAAAAGCTTCCAAAATATGGATGCTCACAAAATAACACCAACTGAATTCAAGTGGAGTGATCTCATGTTCAGTTTCCCTTATTTGAGTTTGATAAGTCTGAGAATAATTACACACTAAATGTACAAAGATTAAATATATAATAATTTAATAATTTATCAAGGCTAGGCACTTTACAAAAAAGTCAAAATCCTCTTCAAATAAATGTTCCTCTCGTAGAAACATTTAGCATTTCTGTGGATGTTTTTTTTGGATGAGTTTAATCTACTTTAGAAATGAGGACACCTTCTCTCTTTTCTTCAGTGACATCGTTGACCTCACAATCCAGTTTGTTCATTGTCGCTGTCGTCAAAGGCTTTGTTAGTTTGTCCTTCCACGGTGGTGTCGTAGGGGTTCTCCACACTGCTCTTCTCAGGTTTCCTACAAACACACAAGAAACAACAACATGACCCACAGTGACACTACTAGCTGGTCCAACATGGTACAAATGTGTTTCAGAGCAAACTCACTTCTTGCGCTCCCTGACCCCAGAGACCACGAGGTAGACTCCTGCTAGAACCACGATTCCCATGACCACCCCGAACACCACCAGCCACACCTCCCACGGCTGCTCCACGGGAGTGGCCAGGGTCGGGGGGATTCCTGCAAACTCCAGCGTCATGTCATCCAACTGGAAGGCATCATTGATTCGCCCTCGACTTAACCTAGGATCAATATCCAAATGGGATCATTGTTATTCACTCCGATCAAAATCTTTCAGGGTAATGGTGACATCTGAATAAGAACATCAACCTGAGTAGGAAACACTGAAAACACAAATGTAGGCATACTGTATGCCGTGTTGTTGCTGAACGTCTCTTCATTGTCAGATGTAACTTCTACTGGTCTGGTCTGTCGTGTGACCTGCATGTGAAGCTTTCTGTGCTGCTGTCTTGACCAGAACTCACTTCTTAAAAACATGTTTTGTGTCTCAATGGGAATATTTCTGGTTAAACCAGAGTTTCAAAAACAAATGATGTAAAGACTATTTAGAGTGAACAAAAACACAGCTCTGTGTTTATAGTGTTAGCAGGCTTATAGTAGACACCTTTAAATATACACTGATCAATCCATCTTATTACTTACTTAGGTTTCATACAACCTAAGTAATGCAACACAGAGAGCTCTTTACTGAACCCTCCCTCCCCACAAACAGACACATAAAAAGTATTCTAAACATCGCTCACACAGTTACTTATAAAACATTCGTATTTAAAGGGTTCAATCAAATAAAAAAGAGGCTATTGGTAAATCTCATAAAGTCAGTGTGAGGAGACAAAGCAGTTTGTATATTCCTGTTTTAGGAATTTAATAAGGTAAAAGGGTCCTAAGTAATTAAAGTGATTATGTATTCTTTTATTTAAAGTAAAGACAGCTGAGTCTGATAGGAATGTTATTTTGTTTGGCAGGTATTTGGTCGTAAAGATAACTGATTATGAATGTTAAAGGTCGTTGTGGTTGATGATGAGGAGGACATTAAATGGACATGAATGAAGACTTGTCCTGCTAGTGAGAGAGTGTTTGGGAACTACGTTTTCTGCATCTCTCTCATGGTGGCACAAGAGGAAAAGTCAAAAGCTCATCAGAGTATCTAGGATTCATCCTCTGGGCACAATGAATGTCACAATAAATATTGAAACACTTCAACAGATGTTGAGGCGTTTCAACTGGACCAGTGTGTTTGACCGACACAACAATAGTCCCATACCAAGCTTGTAAGACTTCCTGTTTAAGTACAACAAAAATAGTAAAAGTTACAGCCTCACCGTATGGCATCCTCCACGTCTTTCTTTGGGACATACGAGGAGAGAGAGTCTGGATTTGTGACCACCATGTAGAAGGAGATTCTGGGAGTGTTTTTAAATGTGAGTACGTTTTCAGATCTGCAGGTCCAAGCAGAGAAAAACGTTTAAGAAAAATGAAAACGTTGGGTGGAGAAAATAAAGCACAGAGTATTTCAGTCATTTTGGGTCCAGGGTTGAGTCTTACGTGAAAGCCATGGTCTTGTTCATTTGGCTGTAGTACTGCCTCAGAGCGTACGCGATGTTGGCCTTGAACAGGAACTGCTCGTTGTCGTTCCAGGTGTACTGAAACACATGTCACTTGATTGATTATTGCCTTGATATAAAAGACACTGATGTTCACTTTAAATGTGCAGATATTTTTCCACGTGTGGTCATTATAACATTATAACCTCTCTAAAGTATTAATACTCACAGCGTTCTTTCCCAAAGCGGCCTTTAAACTCAGTCTCACTTTAATCTCGTACTCGGAATCTGTAAAAAGAATTCTTCCTGTTAAAGATATATATATATTGTGTCCTATTCTTCATGTTTTCAAATAACCAGTACAACAGTACATGGCATACTTTGCTGAACCTGACCACAACTCATCGGAGAAAAATAATCTGAGATGATGAGAACAAAGAAGTGGTTCTACGAGTCAGCGTTTTAGCTGTGCCTCTTCAGAGTAGACTTAGTTTCTTGCACTTTTCAGAGTCCTTATGCTAACAACAACTTGGTGCTGGTGTGACAAAAGTATCCAGTTATTCCCAGTTCAGCATTCAGTTATTTGTGAAATACAAATAAATAAGTTCATAAAATGAGTGAGTGTGGAGCATTTTAGCGCAGGCAGCTGGCCGCTCCTCTGTTATTGAACTTTAAAGTAATATTTAGATTAACCATTTCCCCAATAATTTTCTCTTTCCAGTGAATAAATGTGGTTTGAGTTTTTGAACTATTTGTGAAAACACCCGTGACATAATTCTGTGTTTTTTCCACTTCCTCAAAACTGTCCTCCGGGTTATTTTGGTTTTTACATCAGTGCCGTCTTGTTAAGTGCCAGAGCAGATTTCTCACCACAAGTTACACTTAGTCACACCTCTTACATAACGCTGAGTGTGTTGTGTTTGTTCTAACATAATTTTAGTGTCCCTGGGGTCATTTTATACATCCATCAAAAATGTTTTCATTATTGGGTTTGAGCTGGACTATAAACAAAATATATATTTCAGTCTAATTTCACTCGAGTCAGCTGGATGTTCTGAGCATGAAGCAAAAACAACACAAGGAGAGATTAAAGGAATAGTTAGACATTTTGACAGCAATCTCTCATCTGTAGCTATGTAAAGCTCCAACTTTGATTTAGCCTAGCTTAGCATAAAGACAGGACACAGACAGAAATGTAGAACCACCTTCAGTTTTAAGGGAACAAAATTAACCCACCAGCACCTTTTAAAATCCATAAACTGATCTCCTTTGTTTGACATGTACAAGGCTACAGTCGGACACATTTCGGCCTACATTTGTACCAAAACAGTTTGGGGCACTAACCACTGTGCCACCAGCGGCCCTACAGTTTTAATTTTTGATACTTAACTCTGAAATCAACAACAATTAAATCTGTAAAAAATAAAAACTGTTCATATAAACGTTAGAGAAAAGTTGACGTCATAATGTGTGACCTTGTCAGCAGGTGTGTCTAAACAGCTTTAATTGAGGTTCTGTCGCCATGGTTACTCTTTAATTACACCCAAGCTGATGGACACAGTTTTGATGAAGAACAGTGAAGAAGAGGGAGTAAAGATTAGTATCATCTACATTACATACATTGGTATAATTGTATAATCTGACCCCAAAAACAAGGCATAAAACATATTTAATGTTATTGTAGTGGTGATAATAATCTTCAATATGAGCATCTTTTTTTACTCACATGGGTCTACTTCTGTGTCCCAGCCGACAGTCCTTTTGTGTTTCTCGTTTTCCTTCTTCAGCCAGTCATAGAGCTTCTGGAAATAGTCCAGCAGGGGGCGTGCGTCCATCTTAATATCACCAGAAATCGTATGCAGAGCCCTGGTCCAGGACTGGGACCTTCCCAGCTCCAACATACTCCTAACAGCAGATGAGGATGATGAGGGTGAATTACGGTGCATGTATAAATCAATAGAGCTGTATTCATGATGGAAAGTGCTCATGATGGATAGGCCGGGTCTTTGTAACATAACAATAAGTAAGGTCTTTTACCTGCTTTTTGCAACATAACAATGAGTAAGGTCTTTTTACCTGCTCTTTCGTAATGTTAACAGACAAAGAGTAAGGTATTTTACCTGTTTTTTGTAAAGTGTCTTGAGATAACACTTGTTATGAGTTGACGCTATACAAAAATAAATTGAATTGAATTGAATTGAAGTTGAATTCCTTACCTGAGCTTGGTTCCTGCGTCTTTTGAATTGGTGATGTCACATGAGGACAGGGCGCCTGTATGACCCGCTGCATCGCAAAGCGCTTTCTGGAACTGAAACTGGTAGATGGTTCTGGTGAAGTACCTGTGTTTACAACCAAAGAAAAACTCACTGGTTATTTTTTTATAACAGAACTGGGGGATAAATACTCAGCTACTACTCTGATGAACAGTTCTTCGTTTTGGCCTAATGTAACCTAAAGGAACAACCATAAGTAAATCAAAATGTCCAAATATGTTCTTCGACTCTATCTAATGTAAATAAACAATACTACTATGATTGTAAACATCGCTGATATGGTTTAATATTCAACTAAATGTGGACAACTTTTTAATATCCTAACAACAATAAAAATGACAGAAATGGTCTCATACAGTGACCCTCTAGAGCAAGTTGATTTTGAGAAAATTCTGGTTCAAGGTGGCTGATGATATGTATATAGATATGCTGTTATTTATTTGGTTCTGGTTTTCAATCCAGGGAGTGTTACCTAATGAAAGAGTAATCTCCTGACACATGGAACAGAGCGGGGGGGTCGCAGTAGGTCTCATCTCTTGGCACTGGCTCCACAACACCAACCAGCTCCCTCCTAAAGACAACAGAGTCACAGAGATGCTTATACTCATGTCACACATACTACATGACAAGCTGATTATTTAAAGCTTCACAGAGGTCTCTGCTTACTTCATCTCCCACCAGCGCTCCATCCACTCGTCCTTGGTGATGTTCCCTGCAAACACCTGCCACCTCCACTCCTCCAGCATGTATGTGAACGGCAGTGTGGCCACGATGGTGAGCGCTTGTTTCAGCAGGAAGTTGATCTCAATTTCTGCAAGGACAAAATATATTTGATTGTTGTAAAAAACAAAAAGTTCAGAAAGCTGTTACTGTTCTGAAAAGGATTCTACAAAACACGCTTTGATTGATAGTGGCGTTGAGTAGTGTTGAGCCCCCTGTTTGAGATTAACTATGACACCTGTGCAGACCCTGTAGTGAAAGACAGTTGTGTAACAGTGAGCAGAGGGTCAAAGCAGATGTTATGCTTGATTATCTGGTTTCACTGAGGTAACCAGGCGACTGCAGGTGTGTCATGGTCTGTGCAGGCGGCCCAACAGCTGCTGAAGCTATTTGTTATCAAACATGCCATTCGAGGGCACCTAAACGTTCATCGGTTGTTGCTGGTTTAGTCTGTTGGGTGTTGGGTGTTGGGTGTTGGTAACATAGAGCATGGTGAGGTTTGAACTGTGATTTCTGAAAGTTGAGATGTTGAAAACCAAAACAATGAGCTGAAAGAAGAGGAATTGAGGCACTTTAAAGCTAGATAACAAAAAGGTGTCGTTCCTTTGTTTCTCCAAGATACAGTCTAATCTTGAATCATCCAATCACATGTTTTTGGAAATAACAGACTGTCCTACTTTCTTAAAACATCTACGGTCTGTCTCTTCTATCACTGCAGCTTCTGTCACATTATTGTTACAATGAATCTATCAAAGTTTCAGTTTCATTAGCAACAAGGAAAACAGGGATTTCTGCACATAATATCAAATATCATTCACACTCATCTGCTGTAGCATGTATCTGATCTCTGATCAGAACAGGCTGTTTCAGTGTGTATAGCTTTAAATGTGAATGCTGGGTTTGACCACGCCCCTCTGGAAGGGGTTTGGTGGTTGGCGCTTTCTTGCGCCACGCTAAATTGTTAACTGTGAGAAGGTAAACTCAGAGGGCAGAACAAGCACCTAGCTGTGGGAGGCAAATCCACCAAAGGGAGACGTTACTACCCTTTGTGATGTCACAAAGGGAAACATTTTCAGAAAAGTGGAGCAGGCAAAAGACAGAAAGAACTTTTCTCCTAATTGGGGGATTTGTAAACAGGGTAGGGACAAATTGTGTTTTAAAACCTCAGTAAAGTGTAATTTGCATAATAGGTGAGCTTTAAGAAAAACAGCTGTCATATTTTGGGCACCTGATCTTTCTTTGGATACGTGTCATTGTCATCTGCATGAATTGTACCGTTATCATAAATGAAGTCATCAGACAGGAGGCCCAGGCTCTTCAGGTGTTTGGGCGTCGCAGCAGAGAGGGACATGATCTCTCCGACGGCCTCATGGAAACCCTCGTTGGCTCCGTCCCTCAGCAGGTAGGACAGGTTACGGTATGCCATCTGGTACTGGTTGTGACCCATCTCGTGGTGCACCGTCAGGAAGTCGTCCATGTTGACCTTGGAGCACATTTTGATCCTGAAGACGTCAGATTAGAGGTGATGTTATCAGCAGGTATGATATGTGAGACAGACATGGCCAGATGCCATATCAGTCATAATTTATCATAAAAGAGCCTGCGCTGTCACATGTTTCTGATAAGTCACACATTACGTCCAAGTTCAGAAGAAAAACAAAAAGTCCTCCTTAGAAGGCAACATGGAGGCTAACAGGGTTTTCAAGGAGGAGACATTTCATTCAGAGGTTTTAGCACAAAGTTGAGGAGCTTTTGCTTTTGGAGAAATTGTTTTCTATTATAGAAACTTAATCTTCAAAAGCAGTCAGTGCTGATGCAGCTTTATGGATTAATATTTAACAGCATAGAGACTTTGGTTATCTTTATATTATCAGCAGGAAAGAATGACTCAGAAATTAATTGATACCATCTTCCCAGCAGGTTCATATTTACAGCTCTCATGTTCTGATCTACAGACAGATTATTGATCTCACACAGGACACAAAAACATAAAACTCCTCACAGCAGAAAATGAATATATATATGAGTATATTATGTTACATATAACCACCAAATGTAGCTTTTCTTCATTTCTACAGTGATGGATATGACTGTATGTGTGAGTGGTACCTAAAGTCCTCTCTGTTGCCCATGTCCCAGGCAGTGGGGTGGCAGACCACCTTGCGTCCATCAGGTTTGGTGAACATGGAATTATTCCAGAAGTTTGGGAACATCTGGTACAGGCCGACAGACATGAAAAACTTCTCTGCTTCTTCGAAAAGCCGATCTGTATCCCAGCCCTGAAATTCAGAAACATTCAGAGTCAGTTCCAATAGAGGACTTACATCCTTATTGTTTAATTTACAAATCACAAAAAGCTCAATTTGTTGTACTGTACCTCCGTCACCATGTTTGGGCTGACATCTATGTCTTCTTTCAAAGGGTAAGGGGTGGACAGAGAGTACAGGTTGGTCCAGAATCGTCCCCACATGTCACCTGAACAATCAACAACATGACCTTCATATTATACTCAAAGCAAACACTGATGAGTTTCTCCTTCCTTTAGTATTAAGTTAGATGTGTACTTTAAGGTGATTTGGCAGATTTACATGAATGAATTACGTGTAACAAAGGATGAAGGCTGGAACAAAAACCAGCTAAAGCAGAAACATACTGTATATGTCATAATTTGTTAACATTTTCCCATATAATAATATTTGTGTATTCATTCTTTTAAACAACCAAACAAAACAGTTACTGTTAAAGTAAAAACAAATATTCCCATTAATATCTGTTTAAATCTTTATAAATAGATATGTTTGGCTTATTTTCCATTTTTTTCAGTGATAGCTAGCAAAAGATGAATTTCAGAAAAGGAAAAAAATAGTCCATGCACATGTGTCAGAACTAAAATGACGAATGGGAACACAGAATGACAAGTAAAGGGATAATGCCTGACGAGCTGTCCATTGTCAGGAATTAATGGATGACGTGCGAAATCACTTATTGTTGGATGTAGTTTGTTATTTTATTCCAATAAATCTTACACAGAGGATTTTGTCTGTGTCCCTGTTGCTATGGTTACTCATCTTAGATACCGCCTGCAGCTCTTTAATTTGGATCAGTGAACAGACTGTTGAAGTGGAACTACTTACATAGTGTCCATATATCAAAAGTTAAGGGACACCCTTCAGCCAATCAGAATCGAGAATTTGCCCAGACCATGGTATAAAGATAAATATTTAAGAATAGTAACAAAATCCTGTTGACAATGACACACAAAGTGATAGTAGGAATATGATATATATGAGAAAAATGTGTTAACATTATATAATGTACAATCTGCTGCAGGTGAACATATAAATAATAGTCTATTGTTATTTTTACAAAGGGGTGTTGACTCTTTTCTAACTTTCAGGCTGTACTGTTATTTTGTTTTTGTTTTCAAAGCTTGTTTTGTTTTTAACATTTGATTTTTATGTCTGCTACAGTAAACTAGTTATACTGATTCTTTGGACTTAAATGACATAATAGAGATCATGCTGGCGTCTATTATTCATCTCTATTGCCAGGGAAGAGCTCACAGTGAGATGAGAAAAACACTTTAATGCTTTCTGAACAGACCGTCAACGTACCGAGCAGGTGGGCTGGCAGAGTCCCCTTTGAGTCGATGTGTCCAGGGTACTTCTCCATGAGTTTGGCTCTCACATAGGCGTGCAGCTCTTTGTATAAGGGCAGGATCTTTAAAAAAAACAATAAATGACCTTTGTTAGTCACACACATTCAAGAACACATTCGTAAGATGTTGTGTCACTGATCTTAGGCCGACCTCTTTGTATACAGCGCGGACGTCTTCCATCAGCTGATCCCTGGTGTACTTGAACTGAACGTCATCTTCAATGGTCTCGTAGTTATATCTCCAATAGGCTCCATAGTCTTCAAAACCTGTCAGTGTGTGTTTATGTGTGTGTCAGGGAGGAAGAAAGGACACAGAGAAAAAGAAAGAATAAGACAAGGACATTCCTATTTACAGAAACTGTCAGGACTACAAATTCCTTTTTTTTTTTGTAGTTTTGGGGAGGAAATGTTGCTGGCTCCCTTGTACATGCTGATATTTGTGATTGCACTGATGGTGATACATGAGTAAGATGTAAAGATGGGGATTTACACCATTCTGGTCCACAGGAAGCTGTTCTTTGGAACTGTGGCTACAGCTTAGTTATCTTCACAATCAGTTAAATCAGCATAGATTTTCTACATCAAGTTTTTTTTTGTCTAGAAAATGTTGAAAACTGATGAAAAATGTTGATCAGTGCATCCAAAGCCTTCGATGGTATCCTCAAAGGTCTCGCTTTTTAAAAAAAGTATTCACTTTACTGTCATAGAGGAGTGAAGACACAAGAAAAATATTTACAGTAAGAAGCTTAAATCATGGGATGTTGATGTTTTTTACCCATAAGAAATAGTTCTCAAAATCGTTTATTAATGAAATACTTAACAACAAATGAATTCATCTTTTCAGCCTCTACTAGCTTATATCAGCATTATTTCCTAACAGCCTTCATATCATTGTTTAAAACCTGATTTTCCATTATATGGAAGTGTAGGAATGATATGAGTAGATTAACAAGAGGACCAACACTACATTCCTTTTCCATTTACTTTGCCTTTCAACCCTTCAAACATTTAAAATATGAAACATCCTCATGATCATTCTCTAAACTCTACCATACTGCAGCCAGTGGCCTGATTGTTTGGAGATGTACCGTTCAGTTTGGAGGCTTCGTTCTTCAGATCCACGTAGTCTTCGTACAGCGGCCTCATCCTCTTCCCCACCTCCCTCCTCCATCCCTCCCACACGTGCAGACGCTCAGCGTAGTCTTCGCTAGAGGCCATCACGTGCTCCAGGCCTGAAAACACAGGCACACGTTTCACATCAATTCATGTCTATTTCATCAGATCCGTCAAAAAACACTTTCAGTTTAAAGTTTGAACTGAAACAAGTATGGAAGCAGTTAATGACGTTTATTTATTTTCTGTGATTTCACTTCATAAGATTTTGATTGCAGGATTTTTCCTTGTAATGATTTGTGGGTTGTGTTATTGCTAATTTTACACAAGTTAAAGGTCTCAGTGAATCTCCATCGTATAAAAGGTTTTTAAAAAGTACTGAGAAACATTTTAAAGATACTCCGTCACAAGGAAAAGTCTTTCAAAGTTTCAGATGTTTCAAAAGTAACTAAAAAAAGTCATCCTAAAAGGCTATAAAAGGTATACGACAAGTACAAGTATGAGATTGAAATTAATAATTCAACAATTTGTAACCTGAACTGTACCGCTGTAACAGCTCCAGGTGAAACTTAGGGCTAATTAAATTCATATTAAAGTTGGTAGTTTATTCCAGCTGCTGTCTGTGCTGGTGGTGAGGAGTCTTTCAAATCTGAGCAGTTTAAAGATGAAAAATTAAAAAAAAAGCTTCATCCTTGTTATTAAAATAATATTAAATGAGACCATCTGAGGAGTTCAAGGAGTCAAAGTTTAAAGTTATTCAACATTTGAAGTGTTAGAGAGTTTTTAAAATGTACAAAAAGACTGTGTTTTCCTTCTGTTTCAACCTTAATCTGAACAGTTCAGGTGACAGATAAACAAATATGAATACATGTTTTCGTCTTGAATGTCGTGTTTTTCCCCATGTACTGTATGAAGTGGGTTAAAATGGAGATATTACTTGTTACAGTAGTAGCCTATTTTACTTGATTAATTGTACCTTTTAACTCTTTCTACAGAAACATAGAGGATAGATATGAAACTGTATCTAAACCCTTTTTTGTCACAGTGAAATAAAAAAATAATCTTTGGGAGATCTGTGAGACTGTGTTAATTACAAACTACATTTATCTGACTCTGGCTGACAGTAGCAGGCAGTCACTTTGTAGTAACCCGTCCCTTTGAACAGAGCGTACCTGGCTCCAAAGTCTGGCAGTTCAGAGGGTCATCGATGAGACACACTGTGGCTGTGCTGTAGATCGTACTCATCTCACTCATCACCTTACTCAGCTGCAGGGAGATTTAAGGAGAAGTAGGGGATAAGAAGTTCAAGTTGAAGTGTAAGAATCAAGTTTGAACTACTTTAGATGCAAAGGGTTGAAGAAGTAGAACATGCAGTTATTGTCTTACATGTGCAGCTTTATCCGGGGAAAGCGCTCCAGCTCCTTTGTCTTGGAGCGAGATGAGCTGTAATTTGATTTCTGGAATTGTGATCTGGTCTATGGGGTATTTCGCTGACTCCTCTGACATTTTTGTGTAAAAATTGCTCCAAATTTGCCCCGCTTCTGCCTGGATAAAAAGAAGAAAAAAACATGCACATTAGCTTACACCACATCTGTTGTTGTGCCATTGAATTGAACTTTGAAGGCTTCTGAATGCTCACCAGTTTGTCTGAGTTCTCTTGTGTGATGTCGGTGTTGTAGGCCCATGATGCCAGCGAGTAGTTGTAGAGCTGCACGCTTGCCTCTTCATCGAACCTCTTCAGGAACTCACTCGCCTTGTTATCCACATCTGTTTGAGCATAAACAACGCAGGTCACAGCCAGCAACGCTACCAGAGTCCTGGCTGACATCTTGACTGCTTCACAAACAGACTCTGATGGGTTTGGACACTGCTCTCAGTTTTACAGTATCATTACCTTCATGCTGCCTTGGCCTTTGGTCGGCAGAGCCATAAACAAGGGTGGGTCTGAGTTTTTATTTACAGATAGGAAGCTTCACAAGGAAGGAGTCTTCATAGAGAAGTCGGTGTTACACTTTGAGACATAATCAGCTCTTGAATAGACACAAACTGATTTACAAAGGGTTTGTTTTCTTATAGGGAGTTCATGTATGATAAGGTGTCACACTGATATCAGTCAGCTAGATTGAAAATACATAAAACAAAATCTGTTGGCATGAAAATAAAACATTTTACCTGCTGATAAGAGCAAGAAAGAAAACTCACAAGTGTACAGTATAAACTACAATAAATGTTATCTAAATACAGAGAAAATATACTCAAAGCCCACCAGGTAAACATGATGCACCCAGCAGAGCATGAAGACCTTGAAAAAGTTTAAAAAGGGCAAAATGGAGAAAAAGAAAGTGTTCACATTGACTTTGTATTCAAAATAGAAGACAATAAACATACTTTTGTATGTGTTCTTAAATGCTCACAAGACATGTTCCTGTATTGATAAAATTTAAAGTGAATGCTTTTAGGTTTTGAAATATTTTGGGATTGTATCATTATTATTATTTTTTTATTACATCCCCCCCCCCTTGTCTCTATCCTTCTTCCTGCATCTTATCCCATCTCCCCCTACCCCATTTTTCAAGCCTGCCGGATTTGCGGTAGATGGCTATTTATAATGAGCCTGGATTTGCGGAGAGATTTCTCCCTCTTAAAAGGTATTTTTTTCTTGCCACTGTTACTTTGCTAAATGCTGCTTAGTGCTGTGCTCATGGTGGATTAACACTGGGTATTTGTAATAAAGCAATGAGTAAGGTCTTTTACCTGCTTTTTGTAAAGTGTCTTGAGATAACACTTATTATGAAGTGGCGCTATACAAATAAAGATTGATTGATTCATCATTTCAATAAAGTTCTATAATCCTAGACATAAAACACAAACAAAGGAAAAGTACCTGAGAACCAACAAATACAAAAAGTTGTTATCTCGTGTCTGCTTTCTGATTTTCTCTGGGAGTCATTTCTTAAGAAAACACGACCCTTTGAGGTGAAAAGGGTCAAGGAAACAGGAAAATAGAAGCTCTCTTAACCACCTTATCAGGTGGTGCGTTTCCCAGTGGCAGCTAAAATGCAAGTCATGCACTGTTAAGAAATGCTGATAAGAAATCAGCCACGAGGGCAAGGTGTTACATTTATGACCAACAACACAAGATTATCAAACACCCTCCCCCTGTCTCTGCAACAAAACAGTCAGCAATCTTTAAAACACTGATAAAAAATAACAAATAAAAACAAGAGGAGAAAGATCTCTTTATCAATATACTCTGACCTTTATGGTTTCTTCCCAACTGAAGGCTCATTTTTGAGTTTGACTTCTTTATAAAGTCATTTGTTTTTTACGTGTTTATTTATATATACTTGTACTTGTTTACACTTTTGTTGTGAAACATTCCTTACTGATCATGTTTCCATGAGAGCAGAAAATACAATCAAAGGCAGTGCACCTGTTTGAAAACCCTGTGAACGTGATCTATGTGCAACAGTGCCCTCCAGTGGATAAAGCTGGTACTATCATCTGAGAGATCAACAACACTTCCCATACAGAGGTTTTCAGCTGAAAAAGGGGGCCTGGGCGTTGAGTTAAAGCACAGGTGTGTAATTTGACAGGCATGGCTGCTTGAACAATATTTGCTTTCCTTGTCTGACATTCTCACACTAAACACACTGGATTGGATTTACTCAAATTAAAGGTGTCAGAATATTCATTGCATTTCTATGCCAAGTGCTTTAAAACTCACATTTTTTTACACGAGACATTTCAACTTATCATGGCATGAGAAATCCCTGTCATAACTGGTAACAGTTTATTTTTTATTCAACCAATATTTAACCCGGTAATTAACCCATCGGGATCAAGATCTCTTTCACAGTAACAATGGTTTTGGTTTTAAAGTGTTCCAGTGAGCCAGCAAGCCTAATACTCTACAGGACCCTGAACCTATGTGAAATGAACTTAATATGAACACCTGAACTTTTCTATGGTGATATGCTTAAAAAGTCATGGTGACAAAGACAGCAGAAGAAAGACAGTCTACTGTTACCTGTTATAATTCTTCTGAATGAACTTTAATAACAAAACGTTGAAATGTAATGTTATGGAAATGCTTGGGGCAGCTGTGGCTCAGTTTCGGTCGTCTTCCAACCAAAAGTTCTTAACCACAAGAAGCAACGTTCTCTTTGAAACTGATAGTTCTAATGTTCACCTGTGTGACTGCTGGTAGCCTCTCAGGTAAGCCTCATCACTTCCCAACTTTGTGATGAAATACATCTTTAAAAACCTAAAGGACAAATATTCAAGAAAACTTCAACGAACCTTTCCCAGTTTGCCCTGATTTATAAAAATATTATTGGTTTAAAAAAAACCTTTTTTCTGTTTAGGCATCTTGGGAGAGGTAAAGGGAAAGGTTCAAGAATATTCTCTAAAAAATGACAAGTTACTTCCGTTCAACGTTCTGGGGACTGAGCCATAGCAGAAACGCAAACAACTAGAGATAACTACATATATGGGTTTATTAAAGAATCCAAAAAACTATTCTAAATATCATTTGAGAAGCAAATCTTGTGAGCTGAACCTATGTAACCCCTGACTGAAGGTTTAATCAGTGAGTGTGATGAAAACACGAGTGGGAGTGCAGAAAGTTTTGTTTGTAGTCTGACAGAATACATTTCAGAGGAGTATAAAGTTAAACAACGTGGAAGTAGCTTGGAAGTATATTATTAGTATAACAGTATGGCAGTGAATCCCAAGATCTCCTAAGATCATAAACATGTTATATAAATCAATAATCGACATGCTTCACAGTCAGGGAAAGAGAAATAGGATTTTGTTTTGGAATTTGTAAAGGCAAGTAGAGTTTCAAATTGTTTCATACAAACTAACAGTATCATTCATTCACATCTCATAGCATTTGATGATCATTTTTAGGTTTGTCCTCCTGTCAGCTCACAGTGAGGCCCATGATGGGTTACTGTCAGCCTGTGCTGCCTCACATTTGCTGCTGCAGCAGGTTTACAGTGAACATGTCTATATACAGACTGAGGCCTGGAGGCTACAGGCTAATCACTGGGAATGAAACACAACAGACAGGCTTAGGAAAACACACATTCAGCAAAAAATATAATCTGTCACCGGCCATTGTTCAGCTACAGTATACAGGCTCTGCTGCAGGTGAACATTTCTGACAACTTTACAGTTTAGAAACTTCGATTTCAGTGTTTGACCAGCCTGATATAAGCTTTATAAGGAGGTGTGCACTGCATTATATTACACCTGATTACATTTACACCATGACTGGATTATTAACAGCACCTGCAACAGATTTAAACGTTATCTGTTTCTATGACAAATCAAAAAGACAATCATATAATTACACTGAAACGGACAAAAGGCATGAATACATATGACAAAATTATAAATGCAAGAACATTGTGTAGTTTCTCCATATGTTCATTAAGCATCTATCATCAGGTCTTCTGCAGAAAAACAACAAGTACAGTAATACAGTATACACAGGAGTAGTAGAAGTAGGCATCCAAAATATTATGCAAGTGAAATTGATGATGAATAGGTCTAAATAAATAAAAATCAGTTGAGCTCAGTTCTGCTTAACAGCTTTGTTTCTCCGTTTATTGTGTAGATGTGAATATGAGAAAACAAATCAGGGAGGCAATAAAACAGACAACATTATGTGATCCAGTGAAGAGGGCCTGCGGTATCCCGGACACAGAACATTTGGGTTAAAAACAATATAATCTGATGATTTGTGAACATTGTCAGAGTGTTAAAGGTCACATATATGTATGTTATTAAATCCTGTTGACACTTTTAGATATATGATTTAATTGTTGACCTAAAATTCTTTATTTGTCTATGTGTGCGGTACTCAACCATCACTGATTGAGGAGTTGGTATCTTCAGTGCACATTTTGAAAACAAATGAGTATGAACATATTTTCTTATCTGTTCTATTATCGTCAGTGTTACCAGAGCCGCTAAATCAGGGTCAAATAGAAAAACATTTTGGCATAAACGCTGCTCTCTGAGGATGTCCTAACAGGAAGAGAAACTTGTAGCTTTAGGTCTATTTTTTCTGACTGTTCACTGTCCACACACATCCACATCTCCGGGTTTTCCCTCAGTCTCCTCTCATCCTCTCAGCCTGCTCACTGTTCAGGCCACAGAGCCAGTCTGCATCAAAAACCAGCAATAAAAAACAAGGCTGGAAATGCGAGGGCAGGCCTTCAATATAAAAGCTTAAATCGTACAGACGGGGGTTTCAAAAATATTTGTGTATTTAGAAAATGGGTCTTACAAAGAGTTCTGTATATTGTTGTTTTATTGTTCATGAATGCCTAAAGTCAGTGTATTGTTTTAAACCTTTCCAGATCACTCCCCCATCCCTGTATCCCTAGATTTTACTTCGGATCAGGTTCTTATTTTGAAGAGTTTCACCGGTGTTTCCTTTACGTCCCAGCTGACTTGACGCTGCTCGGAGACAACCCATGATCGCAGACGCAACACGCATCCTCACACCACTGACCTGAGCTTAGCTGTGTCCTGCATGTGTGTGCATGTGTGTGCGTGTGTGAGCGGGAGTGTGAGTGATCCCCACAAACCAGCAGCAGGATGGAGGATCTCAAGGAGAATCTGGGAACTTTGGATTGACGCCCGGGGATAGCGCGCGCTCGGCCTGAACCTCACCGGGGTTTCTCGTGGGATTTATATATTTGGATGTTGTCTGTTCCCCCTTTTCCCCTTTTTCTTCAAGGCAGTGGGAATTTACACTTGGCTTACAACTCCGATTATTCGCGGCGAGCAAAATGCCGTTCGCCAAAAGGATTGTGGAGCCGCCGCTTCTGTGCAGGCACCAGATCCCCAACGATGAAGGTCTGCTTTTCGAGGACCTGTGCGCCATCAGTAACGTGGTTCTGTCCCGGACCTTGCGACAGCTGTCCGACCTGGCCCGGCACGCCTGCTCCTTATTTCAGGAGCTGGAAAACGACATCATCAGCACCAACCAGCGGGTCTGGGTCCTCCAGAACAAAATAGGCCAGATCCAGCAGTCTGCCAGTGCCCTAGACCCGAAAAAGGAGGCAGTGCGTAAGTAGACCACCACAAGTGTATCCATAACCCTTTAAAAAAAAAAAAACAACAACCATGAATTACACCTGAGCGCTGTGAGATTTTATTCATTCATGCTCTACATACATGTGTGCCTTCATGCTTCGAAGGGCGCCCACCTCAACATTATTTTTACCCAGCTGCACGCACGCACGTAAACCCGCACGCGACCGCGCTCTCATCCCCCCCCCCCCCCCCCCTCCATTGAAATGTGTCACACGGTTTGCTTTCGCACATTTGAGCATCCAGCAGCATCTAGACGCTTTTTTTTCACAGCGCAGGATGTGTTGACTGCTCATTCATTTGGCGGTCCAGACTCGGATGTGTGCGTGTGTGTGTGTGTGTGTCCGTCGACGAGGGGGGAGTGGGGGTTGGAGGGGAGTCCGTGTGTGTGTGTGTGTGTGTGTGTGTGTGTGTGTGGAGCGGAGGGGCGTGTGTTGCCGCTGCATTGGCTCAGCATCGCAGTCTCGTTACTGCGGGTAGCGCACACCTGAAGCATGTTCAGACGGTGCGTTCAGGGCCATTAAATGAAGCCGAATCGTTCATACAAATATTTCAATTCAGGGTCGAGTGGCTGTTAAAAAAGCTTTGGGATGTGTGTGATCGAGAGTGTGTGTGTGTGTGTGTGTGAGTGAGAGAGTGCGTGTGATAAGGTTTTCACAGACGACTCCCCGTGCGCCAAACCCACCCTTTCCACATGCAGCGGCACCAACACAGCATCAATAATGAATCCAGATGTCCGTTGTAGGGTAAATATGAACTGGTCATGCCTAGACATTCAGGTGAAGCTACAATTAAAGCACAAGACTGTGGAAGGATGAAAGAAAATGGGGGGGAAAAAAAGCCTGATTGGCATCAACGAGAGAGTCTGCAAATGAATGTAACAGCACGTTCTGTTGGGCAGCTTCATATTATTTATGTCCTCTGCAGTCCCTTTAGTATGAGGCTTTAGATTTCAGACGATCTGTTCAGTGATTTTAGTCCATTTCAGTGCTTAAAATTAATACCCACTTTAGGTTTTTCACAATCTGGGACAATCAAAGAGCATCCCGGGGCCTAAAGCAACTGTAGGCGAGTGAACTCCCTCTTTAGATTCACCCTTAAGCCCCCAACAACACACACACACACACACAATCACACATATCAGAGCATATGTGGCAGGGAGGATGTCTTTATTACATAAAACTGTGTGCTGCTCTGTTTACTGTTGTTTGCTGCTTGAATGAAGCTCTGATGTTGAAGGCTACACGGTGGACTCTTGAAATTAAACAGTGTGGGAGAGATTGTTTGCATTTTGTCCAGCACACAATGACAGGTATTTGAATTTAAGTCCTTATAGCGAATCACTTCCCAGTCCTCTAAATGCCCTAAACCAGTAAGTAAAACCCAGAAACCTGTCTGTCTGTTACACCTGTTGGGTTCAGAAATCCCTTAAATATTGGTCATCCGAGTGGAATGGGCTTCCCTGCAGCCAGTTCAGTTCGACAAGCCACTTGGCACATGCATTTCAAAGAGTCTCGTAACTCTGGAATCTAAGAGTGGTGAGCGGATGCAATCAATTAGGGATCCTTTTGAGGGAGCGGTTTACTGCAGGCCAGAAGTTCACAACCTAGGAGTCAGGATTACAAGAGTCCGTGGGACAAATTTAGCCTTTAGCGTCTCTACCAGGAAATTGGAAAATCACTTATTCTGAAGCTTCAGATTCTATATTTATTTCCAGTCATTCAAACTCTCTTGTGAAATGTAGTAGTTTAACCCTCCAGTCACATCATCAGTCAGTTACATATCATCCTAAAGAAACATTCCCAGAGGTTTAGAATTCACACTCTAACCTCTGAGTTTTTTGCTGTCACAGACAAATTTGATGCTCCTGAGAGAAAGATGGTGAAATCCTTCAAATCAAAACCATCATATCGTTACACATCATTGCCAACTTTAGAGCTTTGTTAATCTGCATCAAAACTAATATAATGTGAGAAATGTAGTCCCAACTTCAAACAAATTGACTTAAGGTACGTCAACACACTAATTACCAAACAGCTGAAAATGATGAGAATAAACTGGAAAGCTCGCTACACTTGTGGTAAATAAATAGCACAAACTCCCTTTCAAAAATAGCAATTTGATGTCCTTAATGCAACTGGCTTCATAATCTTCTCCTCTTCCTCTCTTTCATATATTTTTTTGATACATAGAAGCGCTAACATGATTCGGCAAAAGCTTAGCAAAGCATGATGGATAATGAAATGACATGTTTGTGCTTGCACGGGCTTTTCTCTATTTTTATCATAGCAGAAGGATTTGACCAATATCCAATCACACATTCTGACATTTCTAAAGATGAATCACGTACTCTGACCAACATGGTAACAAAATGTCTTCGACCCATCTCACAGTGTCATGAACTGACACGTTACAAATAACAAGACTTAGAATATGTCAAAGAATAATATGAATTTGGGACCTTCTGAGGTCCTTCAGCTCTATTTTGGTTGTTTTATTCTTCATTCAACACATTTCGGTGGGAAAATATTACTGCAGAATGACAGAGAAAATGTTTGGCTGTCTAGACTTGAACTTGGACGCAGGGAGAGTTTGAGTCCTCTGAAGACCAACACTCATACTTGGATGCCCACCAAAGTTTTGCTATTTTTACTCAGCTTTCAAAAGGGCTATTATCTCCTTTCTGACTCAAATGGCAGCAATAACCCAGAGGAGCTGAAAATCTGTGTGTGTACACACAAACGGATACTGAACGTCAATGAAGACAGGGTTTCCTCACTTCAGTGAAGAGTGTATCAAGATTCAAAGCATTCAATATGGAGCTGACACAAATTGATCCTAAACATAGCAGCAAGCGGTGTTCAGATGCTAGGGAGACCGTTTGTGTGTTTGGTTCACAGAAAGAAATGTTTCTAGGAACTTCATAAAACTTGGTCTGTTTTAGTCGTGATCTGCTGGCTTCAGTTTTATTAGCAGTTGTAAATATTCATTGGGGATATGGAGGTAACTGTCAGTGAAACTATTAGGTTGTCAGATTACTTTTCTTATAACTTTTCTGCTCTAAATATTTCAAGTAGCTCTCTCTTGAATAACAAAAAAGCAAAATGGTCGGTCGCGAACTGAAGTGCAGCAAGAGATGTTCAGACGTCAATTTATTACTCAATAGTGATTCTTATACGACCATTGGATGGTACCAGACACCCCTCTGATACTATTGTAGTAAAATATATAAAATATAAGTAGTTAGAATACATATATCGACCTTAAACCACATTTTGGAGCTTCTTGGGTATGATATCGGATCAGTGCATTGACTCTCCAATATCTGATATCAAAGTTTGGGCAGTATTGGTCTCTTTTCCAGGATATGTACACACACACACACACACACACACACACCTTGTAACCTCAATTGGCTGGTCTGTGCTCAATTTTGGACCTCAAACTGGGGAAAGCAAACATGCATCAGGATCCCAAAACGGAGTCTATATAAATGTATTGATACCTTGACTGCTTGATGAATGCTCGACTGTGTTTTGATATTTTTGCTGTTTGGATGTTAACTAAAAACTTCCGATGGCAGTTTCGAGTGGTTTGCTGTTGTTTGACTTTGTGATTGGTCAACCACTTGTTTCAGCTTGTACATCCATTCCAGTGATATTGACTCTGTTATGTATAGCTAAGAGTTCAATCTGACATAAATGCCATGAACAAAGACAGTCTCATCATGTTTTATAAGAATATCTAAACAGATATTTCAAAGATTCTTATGAAATTTAGGAAAGAAATTAATGTCCCATCCTTGCTGAATTTGACAAACTTTGTTCTGCAGAGCTTTTTTTAAATAGCGCCATCATCTGGTCATAACTTCAGTTTGTCAAACACTTTTGCAACTGCCATGCACTTTTACCATGCGCTGTAAAAGGGGTGGGACAAAGGAGGGCTTTTTAAGTAGTTTCATATTGTATGAGGTTTCACTTATTAATGAAACTCTAAAAATATGTTACACAGTCAAATATCCAAAATAAAATTTAGGCTTGATTCCTTTTATATCTGGTGGGACATTAAGGCTCTCAATGAGAAAGAAAATTGTGTAAATGTTTTTAAAGTCAGGATCACAATAGTATTCATTACATTTTCCTGTTTTGGCTTTGATACATGTAATCATAAAAACTGTTTTGATGCATTATGTATAAGGTTGAAATTACTAATAGGGGGGACAGTTTTGGGTTCAGGAGCAGAATCAGTAGCTACTCACAGCATACATAACCTCTCCTAGAGCCAGACACACACTCACACACATGAAACGTAGAGGGAATTTTTAATCTGAAAATATTGGTCTACAGCAAATACATTGTAGTGCTCTGGTAACACTGGTTTCTTTCTGGTGTGCCATTAAAGCAAATTTGACTTTGAATTTGAATTTGAGAGAGTATGGCCTGTGGCAGCGGGGGACGGCTCTATCTCAGTAGTCTGCATAGTAACAGGAGAGAGAGAGAGGATGAGAGAGGCCTGCTTTAACCTTTCAGCTGAGTCAATCCATTTCTCCCTCTCTTTCTCTATCCCTCTCTCTCTCTCTCTCTCTTTGCTGGTCATACATTTTTACTCACTGTTTTTGTAGTACAACTAGCTACGATTCTGCTGCACACATCATATTGTTCAAACAGTTTGTTGTGGACAAAATGAGATGAGCGAAAGAGAGTGAGAGACTGTGAGGGAACATAACAGTGTGAGCCTCAGTGGTGTGGAAGTAAGTGTGATTTTTTTTCTTGCAAACAAACAAAAAGTTCTGCAGTAAAAGCAGAAATAAAAACATATTTACCAGCTGAATATTGGCCAACAGGCTAATCTGTTCAGTCGGTGTTTCTGTGTGCGTTTCAGAGGTCTGATCTCAACCTCACGAGGCAGGTTAGCATACACTCTGTCCATGCACATCTTGTCCGTCTAACGCCTAACCATACACACACACACACACA